GCAGACACCCCTCCTCCACTGCTCTGGATTTGGCCCTTCTCTCTCTCTCCTCTCTCTCCCCTCTCTTCTCTCCCGTCTGTGTCATCAGCTGCAGACTCAGACTCAGTCCTCTCTGAGACTGACACAGACGTTTCACAGGTAATTGAGTTTTGGAGAGTTTCAGGTGGAGGCTAAACTCTGGGTTTGTGCAGAGTCCAGATGAATGTGCAGCGTTTTCTTTGTTCTTTGCAGGTCACATGAGGACACGGAGACTCTGAGGTCGAACTTTAACTTAGAGCAGCTTTAAAGCAGCTCTATGTAAGATGTCAACGCTCCGAACTGAGCCACTGTCGCCATGGTAACAGGAGTTCAGAGATATTAGAATTTATAAATTACTTTTCCAGCCCCAAAATCTTGTTATTGTTTTCATTTCGATGTCCCGCCCTCCACCGTTTCACCAATCAGAAAGTCTGTGATCCGAGCGCCAGAACTCACCGCGTGGAGCTAATCTCACTGGTAAAGTACCATGTGGAGCTAATCTCACTGGTAAAGTACCATGTGGCGCAGAACTAAAAAAGGTCTCGTTATGATTCTCAAATCATTAACGACAAAACAAGGAATAAAAGCAGGATTTCTATCTTTGTGAAAAAGGTGTTGGTTATAGATTTGTTGTTGACAAAACTCTTGTCTATTCAGCTGTTATGGTCCCAGCTGGATTCGTCTGCATATCTGGCAACCTGAGTCAGGGAGAGTGGGAGAGGGGTCCAAGTATTCATGGAACTCAGAATCTGCCAAACAACAAACCAGTCAAACCACACTGGTCTAGGTCTACACACTGGTCTCGGTCTACACACTGGTCTAGGTCTACACACTGGTCTAGGTCTACACACTGGTCTCGGTCTACACACTGGTCTAGGTCTACACACTGGTCCAGGTCTACACACTGGTGAAGGTCTACATACTGGTCTAGGTCTACACACTGGTCCAGGTCTACACACTGGTGAAGGTCTACATACTGGTCTAGGTCTACATCTGGTCTAGGTCTACACACTGGTCTAGGTCTACATCTGGTCTAGGTCTACACACTGGTCTAGGTCTACACGCTGGTCTAGGTCTACACACTGGTCTAGGTCTACACACTGGTCTAGGTCTACACACTGGTCTGGGTCTACACACTGGTCTAGGTCTACACACTGGTCTGGATTTGGCCCACACTAGTCTAGGTCTACACACTGGTCTAGGTCTACACACTGGTCTAGGTCTACACACTGGTCTAGGTCTACACACTGGTCTGAGTCTACACACTGGTCTAGGTCTACACACTGGTCTGGATTTGGCCCACACTAGTCTAGGTCTACACACTGGTCTAGGTCTACACGCTGGTCTAGGTCTACACACTGGTCTAGGTCTACACACTGGTCTAGGTCTACACACTGGTCTGTATTTGGCCCACACTAGTCTAGGTCTACACACTGGTCTAGGTCTACACACTGGTCTAGGTCTACACACTGGTCTAGGTCTACACACTGGTCTGGATCTACACACTGGTCTAGGTCTACACACTGGTCTGGATTTGGCCCACACTAGTCTAGGTCTACACACTGGTCTAGGTCTACACACTGGTCTAGGTCTACACACTGGTCTAGGTCTACACACTGGTCTGAGTCTACACACTGGTCTAGGTCTACACACTGGTCTGGATTTGGCCCACACTAGTCTAGGTCTACACACTGGTCTAGGTCTACACGCTGGTCTAGGTCTACACACTGGTCTAGGTCTACACACTGGTCTAGGTCTACACACTGGTCTGTATTTGGTCTACACACTGGTCTAGGTCTACACACTGGTCTAGGTCTACACACTGGTCTAGGTCTACACTGCTGGTCTAGGTCTACACACTGGTCTAGGTCTACACACTGGTCTAGGTCTACACACTGGTCTAGGTCTACATACTGGTCTAGGTCTACATACTGGTCTAGGTCTACACCTGGTCTAGGTCTACATACTGGTCTAGGTCTACATACTGGTCTAGGTCTACACACTGGTCTAGGTCTACATACTGGTCTAGGTCTATATACTGGTCTAGGTCTACACACTGGTCTAGGTCTACATACTGGTCTAGGTCTACACCTGGTCTAGGTCTACATACTGGTCTAGGTCTATATACTGGTCTAGGTCTACACATTGATCTAGGTCTATATACTGGTCTAGGTCTACACACTGGTCTGGATTTGGCCCACACTAGTCTAGGTCTACACACTGGTCTAGGTCTACACACTGGTCTAGGTCTACACACTGGTCTAGGTCCACACACTGGTCTAGGTCTACACACTGGTCTAGGTCTACACACTGGTCTAGGTCTACACACTGGTCTAGGTCCACACACTGGTCTGGGTCTACATCTGGTCTTGTTGGAACCGTCCGTTGCACCATCTGTGGCTCAGTGTCTTTACATCTTGGAAGGTAATGTAATCACCTGGGTTTGTCTGTTGGACTGAGAATACAACCCTCAAAAGTTACAGGTGGATTTTAACATTGTATATATTTATAATAAGTATAAATAGTATTATATAATACTGCTTTTATAATTATAATAATGTATCAGTTTTATTCAGCGCTCAAAGTCTCCTCACATCATTCTAATGTGGGGGAAGTGTCTTGCCCAAGGACACAACCACAGTTGGTATTTAACAGACATAGCCGCCCCATTGTGGCACCTGCTGTTCCCAGACGTCTCCCATCACAATACCAACCAGGCCCTGCCCTTCTTAGCTTCAGAGGTCTGACAGGATCTGGCTTTTGCAGCAGGTTTAACAAATGAATATACAAACATCTATTATTCTGTTTTAAGAAACTGATACCAGAGAGAGACCAGAGAGAGACCAGAGAGAGACCAGAGAGAGACCAGAGAGAGAGACCAGAGAGAGACCAGAGAGAGACCAGAGAGAGACCAGAGAGAGAGACCAGAGAGAGACCAGAGAGAGACCAGAGAGAGACCAGAGAGAGAGACCAGAGAGAGAGACCAGAGAGAGACCAGAGAGAGACCAGAGAGAGACCAGAGAGAGACCAGAGAGAGAGACCAGAGAGAGAGACCAGAGAGAGACCAGAGAGAGAGACCAGAGAGAGAGACCAGAGAGTGATAATGCTGTTTCAACCACAGTTGAACCTGATGAAATCTCACACAACAAAGAGACAAAGTTAATCTTTTACTTGTTACATTGTACAAGGAGAATGTCTTGACAGAGGCAAGGCACAGACCCCAGCCTCTCTCAGGACAAGTCTGAAGATCCACAGTCTACAAGCCCCTTTTGGTAGAACAAGACACACCTTCGTATGCAGATGGGAAAGGAAGAAACCAACACAACAAAAGACACTTAGCATATGAGCTCCCCAGACCTCCCGGTGTCTTCCTGAAGCTAAGGTGAATTACAATACAGAGCATTCAGCACATAGCCACATATGATTTACCAAAATGATAACTTAAGTTACATTCCAATATCAGAGAGAGAGAGACCAGAGAGAGACCAGAGAGAGACCAGAGAGAGAGACCAGAGAGAGAGACCAGAGAGAGACCAGAGAGAGAGACCAGAGAGAGACCAGAGAGAGACCAGAGAGAGACCAGAGAGAGAGACCAGAGAGAGACCAGAGAGAGACCAGAGAGAGAGACCAGAGAGAGACAAGAGGGAGACCAGAGAGAGACCAGAGAGAGAGACCAGAGAGAGACCAGAGAGAGACCAGAGAGAGACCAGAGAGAGAGACCAGAGAGAGACCAGAGAGAGACCAGAGAGAGAGACCAGAGAGAGAGACCAAAGAGAGGCGCTCTGCTCTGACAGAGTCTGATCTGGAGGTTCTTTATGAATCCTGAGTTAAATCCAGATCTTAGAATAATCAAGGACTCTTCTGGCTCCTGTAAAAGTCATGTTCCAGCTTCTTCCCTCTGGCAGAAGACATCGTTGGTTGCAGGACATCTGGATATGCTAACATGCTAACAGCTGCTTTCAGTCTGAACAAAGCCCTTTAATGTTCTTGTATTAAAGCTTGTTATGCTTTCACAGTGATGATTGTTTTTGCCTGTTTTATTCCTGTATTCCTGGGACTCTTGCACAAGTATTCCACTGTGGTTTTACTGCAAATGGAGAACAGTAAGACAGTAAGAGTGCAGTGTGGTAGACAAACAGAGAGTTGTGTATCTCTCTGACCTTTGCCTCGGCCCTCGTCTTCTCCCTTTGAACGGCACGTGGCGCTGCTCATGTCACACGCTTTAAGAACTATCGATCTCTGGATCATAATGTATGGATCTGAAACCAGGCTTTGATTTACTGGTTTTAAAAGGTCTGTTTGGAGAGAGTGGAATAAAATGTCAACATCTGTAAAGCCTGTTATGTGGGGAATCCTCGGTGAAGACCTACAGCAGGTGGAGAGAGCACATCGCCCCTGGACTGGTGTCACTGCTCTACAGGAGTTCATTTCAACATTCTGATACTTTTATCTATTTTACGGTTTTATATTTTATTATATCACTCTGATTTATTCAATGTGTGTGTGTCCATCAAGGCAGCGTTGGAAATATGCTTTAAAGACATATTTGATACAGGAGCATTCTAATTATAGTCTGTGTGTGTGTGTGTGTGTGTCTGTCTGTATCTGTGTGTGTGTGTGTGTGTGTGTCTGTCTGTCTCTGTGTGTGTGTGTGTGTCTGTGTCTGTCTGTGTGTGTGTGTGTGTGTGTGTATGTGTCTGTCTGTATCTGTGTGTGTGTGTGTGTGTGTGTGTGTGTGTGTCTGTCTGTATCTGTGTGTGTGTGTGTGTGTGTATGTGTCTGTCTGTATCTGTGTGTGTGTGTGTCTGTGTGCGTGTGTGTGTGTCTGTTTGTATCTGTGTGTGTGTGTGTGTGTGTCTGTATCTGTGTGTGTGTGCGTGTGTATGTGTCTGTATCTGTGTGTGTGTGTATGTGTCTGTCTGTATCTGTGTGTGTGTGTGTGTGTGTCTGTCTGTGTGTGTATGTGTCTGTATCTGTGTGCGTGTGTGTGTCTGTGTTTTTAGCTTTAGTTCAGAGACATTGTAGTAACATATTACTTTGAAACAACAGTAACAAGTTTTTGGAGTCACTTACTCTTCGCTCTAACCTTGTGGCTGCCTCCTGATTCTTCCTGATGCTTCTGGTGCTTCCTGGTGCTTCCTAGTGCTTCCTGGTGTCTCCTGATTCTTCCTGATGCTTCTGGTGCTTCCTAGTGCTTCCTGGTGTCTCCTAATGCTTCCTGGTGCTTCCTGGTGTCTCCTGATGCTTCCTGGTGCTTCCTGGTGTCTCCTGATGCTTCCTGGTGCTTCCTGGTGTCTCCTGATGCTTCCTGGTGTCTCCCGGTGCTTCCTGGGGCTTCCTGATGCTTCCTGGTGTCTCCTGATGCTTCCTGGTGTCTCCTGATGCTTCCTGGTGTCTCCTGATGCTTCCTGGTGTCTCCCGGTGCTTCCTGGTGCTTCCTGATGCTTCCTGGTGCTTCCTGGTGTCTCCTGATGCTTCCTGGTGTCTCCTGATGCTTCCTGGTGTCTCCCGGTGCTTCCTGGTGTCTCCCGGTGCTTCCTGGTGCTTCCTGATGCTTCCTGGTGTCTCCTGGTGCTTCCTGGTGTCTCCTGATGCTTCCTGGTGTCTCCTGGTGCTTCCTGGTGTCTCCTGGTGCTTCCTGGTGTCTCCTGATGCTTCCTGATGCTTCCTGATGCTTCCTGGTGTCTCCCGGTGCTTCCTGATGCTTCCTGGTGCTTCCTGGTGTCTCCTGGTGCTTCCTGGTGCTTCCTGATGCTTCCTGGTGTCTCCCGGTGCTTCCTGATGCTTCCTGGTGCTTCCTGGTGTCTCCTGGTGCTTCCTGGTGCTTCCTGATGCTTCCTGGTGCTTCCTGATGCTTCCTGGTGCTTCCTGGTGCTTCCTGCCCCCCTCCCCCACCTCTGGGCCACTCCTTCGTGACATATCGATCGGGCATCGGTGGCTGCTGCTGTCTGGAGGAGCAGTGGTCAATGAGGTCAGTGTGGGTCCAGACAGCTCCCCCTCCCTCCCCTTGAACCCCCCACAGTCTGGGCCCCGGGTCAGAGGTGTCCCGGGCCCCCCCCCAGACCCACATCCATCACCGTTTGTTACAATGGACGTGAAATGGCAAGTGCTGAGAGATGGTCCGAGCATTAGCAGTGGAAATGAGGCTTGTTATATTTGTCATGTGCTCATAAGTTTTGACACCCTGGCACATGTTGTTTTCTTACTCGTTTGAGGAAGACATTTGTATCAACGATCACAGAAACCACTAAATACAATCTTTCTTATTCTAAACACAAAAACTGAAGAGCATCTTTAGACTGAATGCAAAGGGGCCGAGCACTGAGCCTTGAGGTTCTCCGTGAGGTTCTCCGTGAGGTTCTCCGTGAGGTTCTCCGTGAGGTTCTCCGTGACGTTCTCTGTGAGGTTCTCCGTGAGGTTCTCCGTGAGGTTCTCCGTGAGGTTCTCCGTGAGGTTCTCTGTGAGGTTCTCCGTGAGTGACGTAGCCAGATGTACAATGGTCACAATCGATCAGGGAACGTGTGCTGGGCTTTGACCATCAACAGACAGGTTAGTAACCAACTGATGAGTCGTTGCAATAGTAATCCTGCTCCCTGGTCTCTCTCTCTGGTCTCTCTCTCTGGTCTCTCTCTCTGGTCTCTCTCTCTCTGGTCTCTCTCTCTGGTCTCTCTCTCTGGTCTCTCTCTCTGGTCTCTCTCTCTGGTCTCTCTCTCTCTGGTCTCTCTCTCTGGTCTCTCTCTCTGGTCTCTCTCTGGTCTCTCTCACTCTGGTCTCTCTCTCTGGTCTCTCTCACTGGTCTCTCTCTGTTCTCTCTCTCTCTGGTCTCTCTCTCTGGTCTCTCTCACTGGTCTCTCTCTGGTCTCTCTCTCTCTGGTCTCTCTCTCTCTGGTCTCTCTCACTGGTCTCTCTCTCTGGTCTCTCTCTCTCTGGTCTCTCTCTCTCTGGTCTCTCTATGGTCTCTCTCTCTCTCTGGTCTCTCTCTGGTCTCTCTCTCTGGTCTCTCTCTGGTCTCTCTCTCTCTGGTCTCTCTCTGGTCTCTCTCTGGTCTCTCTCTGGTCTCCCTCTGGTCTCTCTCTGGTCTCTCTCTCTGGTCTCTCTCTCTGGCCTCTCTCTGGTCTCCTCTCACTGGTCTCTCTCTGGTCTCTCTCTCTCTGGTCTCTCTCTCTCTGGTCTCTCTCTCTGGTCTCTCTCTCTCTGGTCTCTCTCTCTCTGGTCTCTCTCTCTGGTCTCTCTCTCTGGTCTCTCTGGTCTCTCTCTCTCTGGTCTCTCTCTCTCTGGTCTCTCTCTCTGGTCTCTCTCTCTCTGGTCTCTCTCTCTCTGGTCTCTCTCTCTCTGGTCTCTCTCTCTGGTCTCTCTCTGGTCTCTCTCTCTTTGGTCTCTCTCTCTCTGGTCTCTCTCTCTGGTCTCTCTCTGGTCTCTCTCTCTCTGGTCTCTCTCTCTGGTCTCTCTCACTGGTCTCTCTCTCTCTGGTCTCTCTCTCTCTGGTCTCTCTCTCTGGTCTCTCTCACTGGTCTCTCTCTGGTCTCTCTCTCTCTGGTCTCTCTCACTGGTCTCTCTCTGGTCTCTCTCTCTGGTCTCTCTCTCTCTGGTCTCTCTCTCTGGTCTCTCTCACTGGTCTCTCTCTGGTCTCTCTCTCTCTGGTCTCTCTCTCTGGTCTCTCTCACTGGTCTCTCTCTGGTCTCTCTCTCTCTGGTCTCTCTCTGGTCTCGCTCTCTGGTCTCGCTCTGGTCTCTCTCTGGTCTCTCTCTGGTCTCTCTCTCTCGGGTCTCTCTCTCCCTGGTCTCTCTCTGGTCTCTCTCTGGTCTCTCTCTGGTCTCTCTCTGGTCTCTCTCTGGTCTCCCTCTGGTCTCCCTCTGGTCTCTCTCTGGTCTCTCTCTGGTCTCTCTCTCTGGTCTCTCTCTGGTCTTTCTCTGGTCTCTCTCTCTGGTCTCTCTCTGGTCTCTCTCTCTGGTCTCTCTCTGGTCTCTCTCTGGTCTCTCTCTCTGGTCTCTCTCTGGTCTTTCTCTGGTCTCTCTCTCTGGTCTCTCTCTGGTCTCTCTCTCTGGTCTCTCTCTCTCTGGTCTCTCTCTGGTCTCTCTCTCTGGTCTCTCTCTGGTCTCTCTCTCTGGTCTCTCTCACTGGTCTCTCTCACTGGTCTCTCTCTCTGGTCTCTCTCACTGGTCTCTCTCACTGGTCTCTCTCTCTGGTCTCTCTCTCTGGTCTCTCTCTGGTCTCTCTCTCTCTGGTCTCTCTCTCTGGTCTCTCTCACTGGTCTCTCTCTGGTCTCTCGCTCTCTGGTCTCTCTCTCTGGTCTCTCTCACTGGTCTCTCTCTGGTCTCTCTCTCTCTGGTGCTCTCTCTCTCTGGTCTCTCTCACTGGTCTCTCTCTCTGGTCTCTCTCTCTCTGGTCTCTCTCTCTCTGGTCTCTCTCTGGTCTCTCTCTCTCTGGTCTCTCTCTGGTCTCTCTCTCTGGTCTCTCTCTGGTCTCTCTCTCTCTGGTCTCTCTCTGGTCTCCCTCTGGTCTCTCTCTGGTCTCTCTCTCTCTGGTCTCTCTCTCTCTGGTCTCTCTCTCTGGTCTCTCTCTCTGGTCTCTCTCTGGTCTCTCTCACTGGTCTCTCTCTGGTCTCTCTCTCTCTCTGGTCTCTCTCTCTGGTCTCTCTCTCTGGTCTCTCTCTCTCTCTGGTCTCTCTCTCTGGTCTCTCTCTCTGGTCTCTCTCTCTCTGGTCTCTCTCTCTGGTCTCTCTGGTCTCTCTCTCTCTGGTCTCTCTCTCTGGTCTCTCTCTCTCTGGTCTCTCTCTCTCTGGTCTCTCTCTCTCTGGTCTCTCTCTCTGGTCTCTCTCTGGTCTCTCTCTCTTTGGTCTCTCTCTCTCTGGTCTCTCTCTCTGGTCTCTCTCTGGTCTCTCTCTCTCTGGTCTCTCTCTCTGGTCTCTCTCACTGGTCTCTCTCTCTCTGGTCTCTCTCTCTGGTCTCTCTCTCTGGTCTCTCTCACTGGTCTCTCTCTGGTCTCTCTCTCTCTGGTCTCTCTCACTGGTCTCTCTCTGGTCTCTCTCTCTCTGGTCTCTCTCTCTGGTCTCTCTCACTGGTCTCTCTCTGGTCTCTCTCTCTCTGGTCTCTCTCTCTGGTCTCTCTCACTGGTCTCTCTCTGGTCTCTCTCTCTCTGGTCTCTCTCTGGTCTCTCTGTCTGGTCTCGCTCTCTGGTCTCGCTCTGGTCTCTCTCTCTGGTCTCTCTCTGGTCTCTCACTGGTCTCTCTCTGGTCTCTCTCTGGTCTCTCTCTGGTCTCTCTCTGGTCTCTCTCTGGTCTCTCTCTGGTCTCCCTCTGGTCTCGCTCTGGTCTCGCTCTGGTCTCTCTCTCTGGTCTCTCTCTGGTCTCTCTCTGGTCTCTCTCTGGTCTCTCTCTGGTCTCTCTCTGGTCTCTCTCTGGTCTCTCTCTGGTCTCCCTCTGGTCTCTCTCTCTGGTCTCTCTCTGGTCTCTCTCTCTGGTCTCTCTCTGGTCTCTCTCTGGTCTTTCTCTGGTCTCTCTCTCTGGTCTCTCTCTGGTCTCTCTCTCTGGTCTCTCTCTGGTCTCTCTCTGGTCTCTCTCTCTGGTCTCTCTCTGGTCTTTCTCTGGTCTCTCTCTCTGGTCTCTCTCTGGTCTCTCTCTCTGGTCTCTCTCTCTGGTCTCTCTCTGGTCTCTCTCTCTGGTCTCTCTCTCTGGTCTCTCTCACTGGTCTCTCTCACTGGTCTCTCTCTCTGGTCTCTCTCACTGGTCTCTCTCACTGGTCTCTCTCTCTGGTCTCTCTCTCTGGTCTCTCTCACTGGTCTCTCTCTGGTCTCTCTCTCTCTGGTCTAATATTAAAATATTTGTGTTCATTATTTGACTTGAATAAGCCACTGTAATCATTTTTGTATTACAATGTTTGTAGCAGAGGCTATTTCCCCAAAATAAAATAACCAGAAGAGCCTATTCTTAATGTTGTCTTCTTGGTTATTATTTTGGGGGGCCACGCAGACCCGTCAGATTTTTAAGGGGGCCTCGGTGTTACTGAGTTTGGGAATGGCTGCTTTAGACTTACAGGTCCACAAAAACAGTTTGAATATAAATAGTATCACTATACTCTCCATCGGATACTCGAGGGTTCATGGGAGTTTGCCCAACCTGTCCACATGTGCTTTGTGGATTTGGAGAAGGCGTTCGACCGTGTTCCCCGGGGTGTCCTTTGGGGGGTCCTCCGTGAGTACGGGGTTCGGTGTCCTCTGAGGGCCGTTCGGTCCCTGTATAACCAGAGACAGAGCTGTGTTCGCATTGCCGGCAGTAAGTCAGAACCTTTCCCGGTGAATGTTGGCCTCCGCCAGGGCTGCCCTTTGTCACCGGTTCTGTTCACTGTATTTATGGACAGAATATCTAGGCGGCAGCCCAGGGGCCGGGAGGGAGTCCGGTTCGGGGACCACAGGATTTCATCTCTGCTGTTGCGGACGATGTTGTCCTGTTGGCTCCAACGAACCAGGACCTGCAGCATGCACTGGGACGGTTTGCAGCTGGGATGAGAATCAGCACCTCCAAATCTGAGGCCATGGTGCTGGACCGGAAAAAGGTGCCTTGCCCTCTGCAGGTGGGTGGAGAGGTCCTTCCTCAAGTGGAGGAGTTCAAGTATCTCGGGGTCTTGTTCACGAGTGAGGGAAGAATGGAGCGTGAGATTGACAGGCGGATCGGTGCAGCGTGCGCAGTGATGCGGTCGCTGTATCGGACCGTTGTGGTAAAGAGGGAGCTGAGCCGAAAGGCAAAGCTCTCGATTTACCGGTCAATCTTCGTTCCCTCCCTCACCTGTGGTCATGAGGGAGCAGCGTCTGCAGTCAGAGCTCCCTTACCTCTGGTCATGAGCTTTGGGTAATGACCGAAAGAACAAGATCGCGGATACAAGCGGTCGAAATGAGCTTCCTCCGCAGAGTGGCTGGGCGCTCCCTTAGAGATAGGGTGAGGAGCTCAGTCACACGGGAGGAGCTCGGAGTAGAGCCGCTGCTACTCCACGTCGAGAGGAACCAGTTGAGGTGGCTCGGGCATCTGTTCAGGATGCCTCCTGGACGCCTCCCTGGGGAGGTGTTCCGGGCACGTCCCACCGGGAGGAGGCCCCGGGGAAGACCCAGGACACGCTGGAGGGACTATGTCTCTCAGCTGGCCTGGGAACGCCTTAGGGTCCCCCCGGACGAGCTGGAGGAAGTGTGTGTGGATAGGGAAGTCTGGGCGTCTCTGCTTAGACAGCTACCCCCGCGACCCGGCAACGGATAAAGCGGAAGAAAACGGACGGACGGAGTATCACAGAAACCACTAAATTCAGACTGAATACAAAGGGGCCGAGCACTAAGCCTTGAGGTTCTCTGTGAGGTTCTCCGTGAGTGACGCAGCCAGATGTACAATGGTCACAATCGATCAGGGAACGTGTGCTGGGCTTTGACCATCAACAGACAGATGATGTGTCGTTGCAATAGTAATTCTTTTCTCTGGTCTCTCTCTCTGGTCTCTCTCTGTTCTCTCTCTGGTCTCTCTCTCTGGTCTTTCTCTCTCTGGTCTCTCTCTCTCTGGTCTCTCTCTCTGGTCTCTCTCTCTGGTCTCTCTCTCTCTGGTCTCTCTCTCTGGTCTCTCTCTGGTCTCTCTCTGATCTCTCTCTCTCTGGTCTCTCTCTCTCTGGTCTCTCTCTCTGGTCTCTCTCTGGTCTCTCTCTCTGGTCTCTCTCTGGTCTCTCTCTCTGGTCTGTATGATATATTCCTTATTCTTATGGTTCATCATCAAAGTGCAGTAGTTTGTTCTTTTGAGTCGTGGTTCTGTTCTTAACACAATAACTCTCCAGAGCTTCCCCATGGTCACACCATGGTCACACTTACCATCAATCTTTTAAATTCATAGATAAGCACTAATTGGATTTTAGAGAGGTCCATATGAGCCGGGGCCATGCCAGTGCTCATGTTTCAGAACCTGGGCCACACGCCTGGATCTGGGTCAGACTCACTCTGGAATCCATACGTCGAAAATATTTACCACTGCATTCCACAAAGAGGTTCCAGAGGCCACTTCTGTTGTTGGGGAGGAGTCACATGACCACGAGTCCTCACTGACCCCAGGAGGAGGGGGGAGGAGGGGGAGGAAGGGGGAGGAGGAGGAGGGCAGGAAGGGGAGAGTCAAGAGGTCAGGAGGCTAGGAGACATGCTAGGAGAGAGGACAGAGGAGGCTAGGAGACATGCTAGGAGAGAGGATAGAGGAGGCTAGGAGACATGCTAGGAGAGAGGATAGAGGAGGCTAGGAGACATGCTAGGAGAGAGGATAGAGGAGGCTAGGAGACATGCTAGGAGAGAAGAATGAAGGTAAGGAAGTTAGTGAATCTTTATTTTGAAGTGTTTTAGTCTCCCATCAGTCTAAGCAGGAACGAGAACCCTCCCACTATCTCAGCCCTTGATATGGTGGAACAGCGGCTTTACTCCGAGCTCCTTAGGTTATCTCTAAGGAAGCGGCCAATCACTCTGCAAAGGAAACCCCTTTTTGACTGCTTATATCTGTGATCGTGCCATCGTGCCATCGTGCTCATAACATGGTGAGAGTGGGAACAGAGCTTTGACTGCAGACGCTGCTCCCTCCTCGCTACAACAGTCAACTCCTTCCCTCACTGAGAACACTGGAACTCTGCCTGAGGAGGGACCTCTGCACCTGGAGAGGGCAAGGCGATAAAAGACCTCATCAACCTAGTCAGACCTCAGAAGCTAAGCAGGACATGGCCTAGTAAGTATCACGATGGGAGACCTGTGGGAAGACCAGGTGCCAGTGTCAATGGGAGACGCTTCACGTTCGATGCCTGAGTTTGTCTTGTGAAAGATGTTCCAATAATGTTTCAAGAGTCTTTGGGCATGAAACCAGCTGTGCCAAAATAATGCATTGATACCATTTAAAAAATATAATTGTATTTATTTCAGGGTTTGCTGATGGCTCACGTCCTGGACAGAAGCCACTTGATTGTAGACTGGTACCCCCTGCTGGCAGAGGTCTGTACTACAGAGAAAAGCATCACTGCACTTATAGAAACTAAAACATTTGGGTTAAATAGATTAGTTATACCGTTCCATTCCTAAATACTAGTGTCTGCTATGGGGACCACACCAATTTAACATCAACGTATTTCAACAGGACTGTGTATAATGATAAAGGTCTACTGCTCTAAGTAACGACAGAGGAAGGCCGTCCCACTCTGTTCATGAGTTTAATCCATCCCACTTTTAAAGCATTAGTACAAAGACATTTATTCATTCACACGTGTCCACAGTCACAGGAGTAAACTTTAACATTTATTAATAAGTTCATCACTTGTTTTCATTAATAAACTATTTTAATGACTCAGTTTCTCAGACTTTGTGCCTCTATCTGCTCCACACCCTCCTCCTCCTTCTCTTTAGTGTCCACAGTCTCCACAACAACAGTGTCATTCTGCATCTCCTCTACATGAAAGTCCTCTCCAGCCTCTCCCTGTACCTGTAGGTCCTCTCCAGCCTCTCCCTGTACCTGTAGGTCCTCTCCAGCCTCTCCCTGTACCTGTAGGTCCTCTCCAGCCTCTCCCTGTATCTGTAGGTCCTCTCCAGCCTCTCCCTGTATCTGTAGGTCCTCTCCAGTCTCTCCTTCTACATGAATGTTCTCTCTGGTTTCTTCCTGTACATTTAAAGTCCATCCAGTTGCGTCCCGTGCCTCTGTCTCCACAGTCTCCTCCTCTGTGGTGGTCTCTCTGTTTGGTTCCTGCGGTGTCTCCACAGTCTCCTCCTCTGTGGTGGTCTCTCTGTTTGGTTCCTGCGGTGTCTCCACAGTCTCCTCCTCTGTGGGGGTCTCTCTGTTTGGTTCCTGCGGTGTCTCCACAGTCTCCTCCTCTGTGGTGGTCTCTCTGTTTGGTTCCTGCGGTGTCTCCACAGTCACAGTGCGCTGAGTGTCTGCTGGCTCTGGACTCAGGAGGTCCTGTTGGGATGAGGCCTGGACCTGGACCTCCTCTTCTTCTTCTTCTTCTTGGACAGCTATTGGGAGCCAAGAGTCCTTGTGCAGCTGCTCGCTCCTCTCCACCTCCTGAACACTAGGGGGAGATGTGGCCTATGGGGGAAAGTTTACGTTAGAACAAATATGTGCTGAGAAGTCTAGATATGATTGTCTATGAGCTGCTGAGATCTGGATATGGTACTGCGGTTTAACCAGTCTCCACATGGACAAGAGACTGCTGCTTAAATCCACATGGGCCGTAAAAGAAGCTGTACCCGATTTATTTTCTAATGAGTTCATAAAAATGCTTATTACTACATACAAGTTGTATTATAATCAGTAATTTAATTGAAAACTTGAGCTCATTGATTCAGCTGTGTATGAATTCAGGCGTAAAAAGTGCTGAGTAGAGACTCTCCTCCAATCACAGAACGAGGCTGCGTCCTCTAGCCTCTACAGCAGCCATTCCCAAACTCAGTAACACCGAGGCCCCCTTAAAAATCTGACGGGTTTGCGTGGCCCCCCAAAATAATAACCAAGAAGACAAAATTAAGAATAGGCTCTTCTGGTTATTTTATTTTGGGGAAATAGCCTCTGCTACAAACATTGTAATACAAAAATGATTACAGTGGATTATTCAAGTCAAATAATGAACACAAATATTTTAATATTACAAACAAAACATTATAAATTTAACATTAAATAATTATATTATTATTTTTTTTTTTTTTATGACCTCCCGCGGCCCCCCTGCAGTACCCTCGCGGCCCACCAGGGGGCCGCGGACCCCACTTTGGGAGACACTGCTCTACAGCTTTCACTCCAAACACAGTGGTGATAAACTACTACCGTAGCCACAGCTGCCCTGGGGCACACTGACAGAGCTTAGCTTCAGGGCTCTGATGGGATATAACTGTCCCCTACAGGTGTGGCCATGAGTTTGTGTTAGCTGATAAATCTCAATAAGCTACATTTGTCCTCACACGTGTGCCCAGTTACCTGCATGTGCGATGGCAGGTGCTTGAACTCGTCCTCGTTGACGTCAAAGTCCTCCATGCTGCGTTCGAGCAGCCACCAGCGGCCGGCGAAGCCCACGTCCAGGACCCGGTGGGGCAGGTCCCTCCAGCGCACGGCCAGGTTAGAGCAGGACGCCTCGTACAGCGCGCTCTGAGGGTCAAAGTCTGTGCTGTAGATGAGCGAGCACAGGCCCAGGCCCAGGTGCCGCAGCCGGCCCTGGTTCCACTGCTGCATCAGGCTCTGGACGTGGCGGTCGGAGGCGGCGTTGCGGATCCACGGTGAGAGCAGCGCCAGCTGGTTAGAGCGGTCCAGCAGCGCGGCGTAGAAGGACGACTGGTCGGGTTTGGTGTAGAAGCAGGCGTAGGCTCCTCCCAGCAGGCTGACGTACACAGTGGCTTTGAGGGGCCGCTCCCGGGCCCCCACCGCCACCTCCCTACACGCCTCTTTGTAGTCAGAGAACATGCTGCGGATCCACACGCCTGCACACAGCGGCCAGGAGGAGGGGTTAATAATCAATACCATAGCAGTACACATATTTAATGTATATTATATCTAAATGTGTATATGCCAAGGTTGTGAGAACAGAAATTATACACACATAGAATACAGTGTATTATTATATTATTTAGATCCATCCTAAAGCCACCTTCAGATACATTTGTGAACATGTCATTCTAACTCTCTGTAACACTAAAAAGTATCAAGTGAATGGAAGTTATTTCATTATGTTACTTGGAGGAGAGCATTCTGATGACATGAGATTGAGATATATATATATATTATATATATATATATATATGTGGGGGCGACAGTAGCTCAGTTGGTAGAGCATTGGCCTTTGGGCCTGAAGGTCGTGGGTTCAAGCCCACCATAAGACCTACTTCACGACTCCCACTGATGACTGCTGTCGTTGTGTCCTTGGGCAAGACACTTAACCCCACTTTGCCTGAAGCTCCCACTGAAAGATCTCAGCTCCTGTGGACTCACCACCTGCAGGAGGATCAGTGAGGGGCTGGTGCTCTGTGTACTGGGTGCAGCTCTGACTGCCACCCCCCCTGACCCAGAAATGGATTAAGGGGAAGAAAATGGATGGAAAATGGATGGATGGATGGATATATATATTATATATCCATCCTCAGGTTACTCTTACAAGACAGACACAAAATAGGTCCCCCCGCTTTAAGTATATAATTTATTATATTATTAACCTGGTCTTTCACAAATGTGCAATAGATCAGTTATAACCATAACCAAACTCAGCAACATATTCAATGTTTTCAAACTAAAATGTCTAATTATGAACAGTATTTTGTGCCATGTGTTATTCTGACTTGAGTTTTAAGAGACTTTTGAGTAAATGGAAGATAATTATCACAGAGTTTTAAGATTGTTACAGTTGTCAGTGCACAGTGACAGCCATCTGACAGTGTGTTCTCTCTATGGTTCTCACCGGCTTTACTCTGCTTCAGCCTCTCCCAGCGGCCCCCAGGAGCCGGGCTGGGGCTCGGGGTGGCGGCCGGGGCTGGACTCGCTTCTGCCGCGGTGCATAGTGCTCTCCTCACCGCCCGGAACGAGGCCATTTCAGCGGGTTTCAGCTTCTACGGTCACCTTCATCACATCATCCTCTCGTGGGCTACTGGCACTGGTCACATGGAACCAAAATGGCGACGCGAGTGCTACATCTATGACGCTCCGGAAAGAAACAGAAGCAAAAGGATAGTTCTGCCCAAGTCATCAGCAACGGCAAAGGCAACGATGTCTTTATTTGACAGGATTCTTATCATTAATATCTGTTTTAGGTTTTTCCCGATTTGTTAAAGATAATAATTGAGCACATTAAGACAATTCCAGAATAAACAGCACATGACCATAGACTGTAAATATTAACCATGACAGATTGCGTACAGATAAAACGGGCTGCATCCAAACAGAACATAAGCCAACACACGACCCTCCTTCCTTGTCTTTCTTTATCCTATCTCGCTCTTTGAAATAGTGTTTTTATGTTGCTAAGCTCCAAGTTTGTAAAATATAAAACATTATAAAGACGTTTATATTGACACGTAGGTGAAATATCGTGTCAGTTCGTCAGTTTTAAAAAGGAGCAGACCAAGGGAGAAAATAAAGCAGGTTTTGTTCATGAATTTGGATGGAGCCACTTGATTTCAGATGTTAATGTGTGTTTATATATTTTTTAATCAACGCGAATTCAAACGCATTTTTTTTTCTTTTATGTTGGTTTCAAAATGGGGTTTTATTTATGTTTTAATATTACGTGGATCTGGTCAACTGCTTTTGACCAGATCCACGTGACGGCTTTGTTTACGCAGTGACGTGTACCGGAAGTGTCACCAGGATACTCGGCTGTTAATCTAACAGCGAGTGGATTTTATCACAATTCACCGCTTTTTTGTTTTCTTTGTGAATTAAACTTTCGTATATTTGATTGGAGCGGCTGTTTATGTCCAGGTCTTCTTCAAACATGCAGTGATCCTCGGTCCGTGACGCCAGCTGTCACACCTGGGCTTCAGCTGTCATCAGTCTCTCTGCACCGTGAGCACCTTATCTCCTTTTATCGCGTTTATTAAACTGTTATAAAGACACTGTAAAGATGGCTGTGTGTAGAGTTTCCTTCTCTGTTGAAAATGTATAATTATTTGCTTGCTAAAGGCGTTGTTTTACTTGTATTTAGGTCCTGGATGTGGTGACTCTGCTTTAGGCGAGACTATGGCGAGTCCTAATGATCTGCAATTCCAAGGTAAACTCTCAATCTATCTTTTCATAATCAGCAAGGCAAGTTTATTTTTATAGCACAGTTCATACGCAAAATTATAACTAATCACATTGTCAGAGTCTGTCTCACATTTTCCAGAAGACTGTTCCAAAGATTAGCTGATTAACTCTAAAACGCTACCTCCTCATGTTTAGTCCTGACTCTGGGACAGTCCCTGTGCTCCTCAGAGTCCCAGCAGGAGGCCAGTCCCTGTGCTCCTCAGAGTCCCAGCAGGAGTCCAGTCCCTGTGCTCCTCAGAGTCCCTGCAGGAGGCCAGTCCCTGTGCTCCTCAGAGTCCGGGCTGGTTCATATGGGACTAACATGTCACTAATATATTTTGGTGCGAGGCCATGGAGAGACTTGTACACAAGCAGAGCTTACAAGCTTACACAGCGAGACAGCCATCCAAAAGAAAGTCCCGTTCCTCCGCTCTTCCCGGTTCTATCGTTCTATGGTCACGCCATCCACGTGCAAATCCATATCCATGTATTATCCATATTGGGAGACGCTAACTCAGTCCCAACAGTGGGTGTGTGTGGGGGCGATAGCTTCGTGGGTGCGGGGAGGGGAGCAGAAAGAGAGGCCAGCGAGTCCACGGCTTCAAAATCCCAAAGTCAGTTAGTGCAGCTTTAAACTGACTTAAAAACTGCTCAAATATTGTCCAGGGCGTCTTCCATCATAGACAGGCCGTGTTCAGGTTTTAGTCACATGGTACGATTACTGTAGAAATGTCTGATTTTCCACAGTTTTATTTAAAATAACAGTAGTTGTAGTACTTCTATTTCTGATGCGCCAAAGTAGCTCTCCTCAGACCCCTGCTTTAGTTTAGTTTAGTTTAGTTTAGTTTAGTTTAGTTTAGTTTAGTAAGGACCTTGTGCAGTTGCATTAAAATCTGCTGCACCAGCTCCTTCCCACATCTGGTCCTGACAAAACAATCGTAAAACTTACATTTTAAAAACAGTTGAAAAAAGTGCTGTATTTTCCAACTGAAGCCGTTTATACTTTTTGGTGCTTTTGTGTCTGTTGTGTGACTGTGTTGTGTGTTGTGTGGCAGAGTTTGAGGAGGCGGCGCAGCTGTTGTCCTCAGACCCAGGGGCCTCCACCCTGAGCACCCTCCTCAGCCCGACAGCAGGGGGCAGCAGTGAGGAGGTGAAGCTGGACCTGTCTGATGAAGAGGAGGCAGCGCAGCACGAGGCCGCAGAGGTTCCTTTGATCTTTACAGTATTTCCTTCTCAACGTTTCATTTCTCTTTAAGCACTCACCTTCGTACAAAGACAGATCCAAACGTTAGAAAGACAGAGACTGGATCATGTTTGAGCTAAAAACACAATCTGTGTGTGTCTAGCTCAAAATCATTAGTTTTATCTCAGAGGACTTTACGTGTCTGTGTGTGTGTAACTGTGTGTGTGTGTAACCATGTGTGTAACCGTCTGTGTGCGTGTAACCATGTGTGTAACCATGTGTGTAACCGTCTGTGTGCGTGTAACCATGTGTGTAACTGTGTGTGTAACTGTGTGTGTGTGTGTGTAACCATGTGTGTAACCATGTGTGTAACTGTGTGTGTGTAACTGTGTGTGTGTGTGTGTGTGTGTGTAATCATGTGTGTAACTGTGTGTGTAACTGTGTGTGTGTAACCATGTGTGTAACCGTGTAACTGTGTGTGTGTAATCATGTGTGTAACTGTGTGGGTGTGTAACCATGTGTGTAACTGTGTGTGTGTGTGTGTAACCATGTGTGTAACTGTGTGTGTGTGTAACCATGTGTGTAACATGTGTGCGTGTTGTGTGTCTCTCAGGGCCCTTCTGGATTAGTGTGTGTAACCATGTGTGTGTGTGCACTTGTTTTCAACTCCTGGTGGGTTCCATAACCTGAGATTCCACTCACGTCATGGGGACTGGTTTTACGTGGTGGGGCCCGAACACCGGACCCCACTGGTCCAAGCTTAATAATCAATGGGTAATGCTTTTCTAACGGTCCTTATGCAGTCTCTGTAAAAATATGGAAAGGACCCCTGGAGGTTTACTTTCCTGAAAAAAGTGTGTTATGTGTCGGAACCCTGGTGGTGGGTTGCGGGATATCAAGGAGGGGCACACTGGGGCAATTTCAGTCCAGCAGGCTGGAGCCAATCATGGAGCAGCACAACAGAGGAAATCAGGTGTCAGGCTAGAAAAAGGTGCAAGTGTGTGGTTCATTAGGCTGCAAGAAATCATGGAGGAGCACACTGAAGCGCACGCTTACAAACCACTGGTAAGTGCTGACTACAAGTCATGACTTCAAATTGTTATATAGAATGATTACAAATTATTTGTTGTTTGTGCAGCTTAGTCAAGAGTCCCTAATTGATGAAGTCGACTCAGATTCTGACGATTTAACTGTCAAGAAGAAACCTGTAAAAAAGTATGGAAAAAGAAAAATCAAAAACACTTTTCTTCAAGACTCGGAAAGTGACGAACCAAAGGCAAATAAGATTGTTATCATGCAGCTGCAAAAGAAGAAAAATGGGGGGCGAGTATACAGCAAGAGACACTTCTGCCTCTACTGTTCAATGTCCTGCCACAAAATGTCCCGTCATTTGACTAGAAAACATGGAAATGAAAGTGACGTAGCCAGAGCATTGGCTCTACCTGTGAAATCTAAAGCACGTAAACTTCAGTTTGATTTGATCAGGAATAGTGGAAACCGTGAGCACAATTTTGAGGTTTTAAAGGCCGGCATTGGAACTTTAGTCCCAGCTAAACAGCCAAATTCCCCAGTTAAATCCAGTGAGTTTTTGCACTGTATAGACTGTGGGGCATTGCTTAAGCGAAAGTCGCTGTGGAGGCATGTGGCCAGGTGCCGGCTTTCACAGAAAGATGCCCAGGCTAAACCAGGTAGAAGTAGGGTCCAGTCCCTCTGCTCCCTAGCCCAGCCTGTACCGGAGGGCATCAGCAAAAAGCTGTGGTCTTTAATTTCGGCAATGCATCAGGATGAGGTCACGGGTGTTGTCAAAGCAGAAAAGGGGATTCTGAGACTCGGAGAGCACCTGTACTTAAAACACGGGCATGATAAGACTAAGCATGATTACATTAGGCAGAAAATGAGAGAAGTCGGTAGGTTAATTAACGAAGCAAAAACCGCAGGGAAACTGAAAACAATTAAGGATTTCTTTATTCCTTCCAACTTTAACCATGTGATTGATGCAGTCAGGTCTGTGGCTGGATATGATGAGGAAACAAATCAATACAAGACTCCATCCTTGGCCCTCAAACTCGGCCATAGCCTCAGAAAGCTAGCAGATATTCTTGAATGTGACTCAAAAATGGAGCATTGTGTTGATGAACTATTTATTAAAAACCTCCAACGAAGCCGGCTGCTTTTTGAGAAGAGGTGGGACGTCTGTGTTTCTTCTGCTGCCCTACAGACCCTCCGGCAAGCCAAGTGGAACACTCCGGACCTGCTCCCTCTGACTGAGGACGTTAGAGCCATGCATGCACATATTGAGGTATGTCGACCTGAATATGTGCAAACCCTAATAAGTGAGCCAACGTCTAAGCATTGGTCTAAACTGGCAGTTTTGACTCTTTGTGAGGTCATCATTTTCAATCGAAGAAGGGAAGGTGAGGTTTCAAAGATGCCACTGACAGCCTTTACCTTAAGAAGTAAGACTGGGATCCATTCTGACATTGCTCTGGGACTGTCCCAACTTGAGAAAAAGCTGTGTCAGCATTTTCAACGCATTGAAATTAAAGGGAAAAGAAGTCGGAAAGTGCCGGTTCTTTTGACTCCTGAAATGATTGCTTCGATGGAGGTGCTGGTGGAGAACAGAAGGGCCTGTTCCATCTCTGACCATAACCCATACTTCTTTTCCCGCCCGGGCGCAGACACCCACATCAGGGGATCAGACTCCCTACGCCAGGTAGCCAAAGAATGTGGTGCGGTGCATCCAGAGATGCTATCCTCAACCAAACTTAGAAAGCACATAGCTACTATGTCTACAGTTCTCAATATGAAAGAGAATGAGATGGACATACTTGCCAACTTCCTCGGCCATGACATTCGCATCCACAGGCAATATTACAGACTACCAGAGGGGACACTGGAGCTGGCCAAAATCAGCAAAGTGTTGATGGCCATGGAGCAGGGAAGAGTGACGGAATTCGAAGGAAAGAGCCTCGACCAGATACAAATTGAGCCTGAAGGTAATTCTTGATATTATTAAAATATGTATGATTTTTTTCCCCTAAAGGCCACTTGTATTTTTATTTTCTGTGCGACAGGGAGAGCAGTAGAGATCCTCTCACAAACGGACGGGCTAAAAGAAACTTCAAGCGGAGAACCTTCAACCATTCATCCAGATGCACCCCATGGTAGTGGCAGTGCCCCTTCTGGTAAGTGTACCAGGTGGGGGATTACAGCCAGGCTGCTTGGTCCTCACCCTGGGAGTGTATATTGCTAATATATTTTTATTTCTCTCCCTAGAACGTGTAAGAAAGCCATGGTCTGCATCTGAGGTGAAGGCTGTGGAGAAGACCATGACACCTTTCATACAGACTGGAAAGGTCCCTGGGAAGTCTCACTGCCTGGCCTGCATTAATGCCTCACCAGATGACCTTAGACATCGGACATGGAGTGGCATTAAATTCTATGTCAAAAATAGAATCACTGCAATTCGAAAACAAAATCTAAAATAAAATTCCTTTAAAATAGTTGTTTGGTTTCTATTGACTGTTTTGTATTACTTAAAGTCTTGGTAAAAAAAGATTATGTCTATGGGTCCCATTCTGAACGGCCCTGTCAAAGGGACCCACCAGGTAACAAAAACGTGTATGTGTGTGTGTGTGTGTGTGTGTAACCATGTGTGTAACTGTGTGTGTGTGTAACCGTGTGTGTAACTGTGTGTGTGTGTGTGTGTGTAACCATGTGTGTAACTGTGTGTGTGTGTAACCATGTGTGTAACTGTGTGTGTGTGTGTAACCATGTGTGTAACTGTGTGTGTGTGTGTAACCATGTGTGTAACTGTGTGTGTGTGTGTGTGTGTGTGTGTGTAACCATGTGTGTAACTGTGTGTGTGTGTGTAACTGTGTGTGTGTGTGTAACTGTGTGTGTGTGTGTCAGCTTTTAGGAGGGCAGAAGTCCACAGGAGGATTCTGGACGTTCCAGTTTTACCAGTCCTTCTTTAACGTGGACACGTCACAGGTACGCACACACACACGGGTACACACAGGGGTACACACGCACACACTCTCAGGGTTACACACAGGGGTACACACACACACTAACAGGGATACATACACACATGGGTACACTCTCTCAGGGGTAGACACACAGGGTTACACACATGCACACACACACAGGGGTACACACACACTTCTATGACGTGTTCTTGTAATGAGTTCTTTTCTTCTTTCATTTTAGTTTTAAGTTTGTGTGTTTGTTTTTTCACACATTTTACTGCAGTAAAACATGCAGTAATGTTGTTGCGTTGATGTTTCTGATCCTTGTGTTGTTGTTGTGGTGTGTTGTTGTTGTGGTGTGTGTGTTCAGGTCCTGGACAGAGTCAAAGGTTCTGTGATGCCGATACCAGGACGCAACTTCATCAAACACCATCTGAGGAGCAATCCGGACCTATACGGTAAACGCACACACTCTGGCTGTCACACCACCTCCTGCAAGTGTGTGTGTGTGTGTGTGTGTTGTGTGTCTCTCAGGGCCCTTCTGGATCGGTGTGTGTGTGTTGTGTGTCTCAGGGCCCTTCTGGATCAGTGTGTGTGTTGTGTGTCTCTCTGGGCCCTTCTGGATCAGTGTGTGTGTGTGTGTGTGTGTGTGTGTGTGTCTCTGGGCCCTTCTGGTTAAGTGTGTGTGTGTGTCTCAGGGCCCTTCTGGTTAAGTGTGTGTGTGTGTCTCTGGGCACTTCTGGTTAAGTGTGTGTGTGTGTCTCAGGGCCCTTCTGGATCAGTGTGTGTGTGTGTGTGTGTGTGTGTGTGTGTGTGTCTCTGGGCCCTTCTGGATAAGTGTGTGTGTGTGTCGCTGGGCCCTTCTGGATAAGTGTGTGTGTGTCTCAGGGCCCTTCTGGATCAGTGTGCGTGTTGTGTGTCTCTCAGGGCCCTTCTGGATTAGTGTGTGTGTGTTGTGTGTCTCTCAGGGCCCTTCTGGATCGGTGTGTTGTGTGTCTCAGGGCCCTTCTGGATCAGTGTGTGTGTGTGTGTGTGTGTGTTGTGTGTCTCTCAGGGCCCTTCTGGATCAGTGTGTGTGTTGTGTGTCTCTCAGGGCCCTTCTGGATCAGTGTGTGTGTTGTGTGTCTCTCAGGGCCCTTCTGGATCAGTGTGTGTGTTGTGTGTCTCTCAGGGCCCTTCTGGATCAGTGTGTGTGTTGTGTGTCTCTCAGGGCCCTTCTGGATCAGTGTGTGTGTCTCTCAGGGCCCTTCTGGATCAGTGTGTGTGTGTTGTGTGTCTCTCAGGGCCCTTCTGGATCAGTGTGTTGTGGTGTCTCTCAGGGCCCTTCTGGATCAGTGTGTGTGTGTTGTGTGTCTCTCAGGGCCCTTCTGGATCAGTGCGTGTGTTGTGTGTCTCAGGGCCCTTCTGGATCAGTGTGTGTGTGTTGTGTGTCTCAGGGCCCTTCTGGATCAGTGTGTGTGTGTTGTGTGTCTCTCAGGGCCCTTCTGGATCAGTGTGTGTGTGTTGTGTGTCTCTCAGGGCCCTTCTGGATCAGTGTGACCCTGGCCGTCTCTGTGGCCATCAGTGGAAACCTGTCCACGTTCTTGGTGCAGATGGGAAACCCGGCGTATCACTACACACCACAGTTCCACAGAGGTAACCGGGGGAGCTCCCTGGGGTGGGGGCGCATGCAGGGGTGGGGGAGCTCCCTGGGGTGGGGGCGCATGCAGGGGTGGGGGAGCTACCTGGGGTGGGGGCGCTATAACAAGTATAACATCAATCCTGTATATTACTTAGTTTAATCTATTTTTACTGATTTTTTTAAAAAAACACGTTCGTTGTAAAAGCACATGTTATTCCCATCTCAACCACACCAGAGAGGGAGACCAGAGAGGGAGACCAGAGAGGGAGACCAGAGAGGGAGACCAGAGAGGGAGACCAGAGAGGGAGACCAGCGAGGGAGACCAGCGAGGGAGACCAGCGAGGGAGACCAGCGAGGGAGACCAGCGAGGGAGACCAGCGAGGGAGACCAGCGAGGGAGACCAGCGAGGGAGACCAGCGAGGGAGACCAGAGAGGGAGACCAGAGAGGGAGACCAGAGAGGGAGACCAGAGAGGGAGACCAGAGAGGGAGACCAGAGAGGGAGACCAGAGAGGGAGACCAGAGAGGGAGACCAGAGAGGGAGACCAGAGAGGGAGACCAGAGAGGGAGACCAGAGAGGGAGACCAGAGAGGGAGACCAGAGAGGGAGACCAGACCGCAGAATCAAATCATATCCTGTCTGTATCGCGATATGTTAAGAATCACAGTAATGTTGATTGTGGGACAAATCTCTCAGTACCATAGAGCCCTCACATGTTGCCAGTTCCCAGCCCTGATAATAACAGTTAGTCCTAACACTGTGGTCCCGCAGTGACCGTGGCCTCGGTGGTCATCTTCCTGTACGCGTGGCTGGTGCCCGTGGCGCTGTGGGGGTTTCTCAGCTGGAGACAGGGCGTGGAGCGGCAGGTCGGAGGGTACTCGTTCCTGGAGACCGTCTGTGTCTACGGCTACTCTCTCTTCATCTACATCCCCACCTCTGTGAGTGAGACGCTGCAGACCCGGGACCGAGGCTGCAGACCCGGGACTGAGACTTCCTGATGTTCCAGATCCTGTGGGTGATCCCGCTGGAGTGGCTGCGCTGGACCCTGTTGGCGGTGGCGATGGTGGTGTCCGGCTCGGTGCTGGTTCTGACCTTTTGGCCCGTGGTCCGAGAAGACACCAAAGCCATGGCTCTGACCGCTGTGGTCACGATAGTGGCTCTGCACGCTCTGCTCGCCGTCGGCTGCAAGGTCTGTCTGTCATAACATACTATACTATAATGTACTGTATCACTTTCTGTCTCTAACCTTTGAACCTTTTCTAGTTAAAGATGTCTTTCATGAACAGGCTGCAATCTATTTATCTCAAAAGTTCAATTTATTTATGTATCGCCCTAAATCACAAGTTTTTAATCTCTGAGGACTTTAAAAAACTCTCTAATCTGTGTTGGAGAATTGACAATCACACAGTTCAAACACGGGAAAAACAAACACAAGACATGAACACAGACATTGGTCCATAAGGAGCAGAGACCAAGGTCCAGTACACTTTCAAAACATCTGCTGCCCCCTGGTGGACAGTGCATGTGCTGCCCTCTGGTGGACAGTGCATATGCTGTCCCCTGGAGGACAGAGCAGGATGAGCTGCATGACAGAGAAACCCCGGCTCCAACGGGAGGTTCTCTCTCATGGATCTAACATCTGTCTTCTCTTCACACTATTATGGCACAGTGTGTGATTTAAAAACCCCTGTAGTCTTTGGAGGAAGCATCAGTCGTGCTTTGGTCCATTCTTCCAGTTTGTGTGGAGAAATAAACACACACATGCTGCTTACTTTAGCCACAACTCAGCTCAGCAGTGCTTTGCCTGGTTAGTACCTGGATGGGAGACTGCTGTATCCTACCGTTTCTATAGTAACACAGTATGTCCTGTCCCACGATTAGCTTTTTATACCCTAAAGGCAGGAGCCTCCCAGAGCGCCCTCTGCTGGATGTGGCTCTAATGTTTATCTCTTGTACCTGAACTTCTGTGTTTGTTTGCAGATGTACTTTTTCCAGAACGCAGCTCAGCTCTCTCCCCTGCAGCCGACCACGGCTCCAGTCCAGGTGCACCTCCAAAATCAGACCAGGAGCCAGTGAGGCCGGACCTGGATCGGACCTGGACTCATGGACTCCTCAGACTGTTCACTGTGGAGACTGAAGGACTGTAATAACTTCAGACGGAGAAGCCTTTGTTCTCGTTTCATCGACACTTTGGGAATAAGATGGTTATGTTTCGGTCTCTGACCCAGGACTTGAGTCTGGACCGTCCCAGGACTGTCAGACTCTGGATTAAAGGGCACGTGTTGCAACAGATTCTTTGGAGCATGTTCCTTCACCTGCAGCCGTTTAGTTCTGTCAAAGCAAATCAGTTTCTATCTATAGCTGCGTTTCCATTGAATAATGCGCAAAAACTTTTTCGATACATTTCAAAATTCGAAAAACCTGTAATTCGCAAAAGCGGCCGTTTCCATTAAGACATATTCGAATAAGTATACACTATTTTCGCGCGTTTATTCACTAGTTTCTAGTACGTCAACATGGCAACAGAAGTAAACAACACTTTGATTTACGTGAGATATATTAATGTCTTGACTTCTGCTGCGGCTCTCATCCTCTCTGACCCCGGGAGAAACTGTGGCTGCTTTGACAGCTCCGCGAACGCGGACCATAGACGCGCGCACAGAACCAGACACGGGTCTTGCCTGTCTCCCCCGTCTCTCCCGTCTCTCCCCCATGCCTCTCCCCCGTCTCTCCCCCATGCCTCTCCCACGTATCTCCCAAGTCTCCACACGAAGCGCAGCCAAAACTCACTGAATAAAGCAGCTCGGCTTCCTCCGCTATATCGAAATAAGTGTTTCCATTGCCGTTTTGCGAAAAACATAATTTCGATACGTCCAAAAAACCACCTATTTTAAGCGCATTAACTTTTTATCGAAAAACTGTGGTTTATTCGAAATTTGCGCGTTTCCATTAGACATTTTATGATGCGCAAATTCAAATTTCGAAATTTGATGCTCAATGGAAACGCAGCTTATGACAGATTGTGTAAATCAGTATCAACTCTTCATTAGAAGTCCTGAACTGGGCGGAGTCGGCTGTGCTCCTGCTCGGACTGAAAACCTGCTGCAGCCTGAGGACAGTCGAAGATCTACATCATTTTGAGCCAATGATTCAGTTTATTTACATCTGATTTAAAAATGGCATGTTTGGTCCGTTCATTTTCTGTTGACAGAAAGTTAGGTAGCCAAGCTTTAATCAATGTAGTCTTTTTAGACTTGCTTTTTATTGGAACGGGTAAAAAGGTCTTAACCATCATGGTCTGCAAATAATTTAAATTAAATGGTGAAATGGAACAAAACTGTGTCGTTTAACCTCGTGTCAAGACGACCCAAAGCCGATGATTCAAGTCCTCTCAGACCCTCAAAGAACCAGGCTCAAGAGAGGAATAGTTTAAAGACTTTTCTTAATCTCTGCAGCTTTGGGTCGAGGTAAAGACTCTGCTGCAGAACGGTCTGAACATGTCAGTCATGTTTATGCCTGAGGGAGCTTTGGTGGCAGCCGCTGCTCCTCTGCACTTTGTCCTGCTGTAAAAAATTCAGCTGGAGAAACCTTTGAGTGTCTCAAACATTTTACCGTAACCTTTTTTGTCCTTGATTCGAGATCAAGCGTCTCAGACCTGTAGCTAGTTTTTACAATCTACAAGTTCAATCAAATGTGAAACCAATAAATGTGAATTATATGTAATATAAACACATTACAAGCAAAATGGGATTTAAATCCTTTGATAAATGTTGATTATGGTCAAAATATTTAAATTTGAGACGTTCTATTTGGACTTTTTATTGAGACTATTTAATGAAGTCACTCCTTCACTTGGAAAGTAAACCATTTGTCACTCACCGTTCAGGATATAGCGCCCTCTATGGACCAGGTTATATAGTGTTTGTAAATCCAGTGAGCCCTAACTGACCAATCAGGAGCCTTCTTTCTCTGAACTCAGCACTGAGTAGCCCCTGATTGGCTCTTTGGTTGCTCGGTCGTTACCGTCCACAAATGTGGATCCAGATTCTCACCAATGGATCCTGTTCGAGTGAAAGCTTTCTACACATTTACCTTTTACTGTAAATACTACATCCACCTTCCTCCTCCACCCTCATCACTTACTCCAGGTCGTCCCCGTTTGAGAAAACAAACCACTGCCGGCCCTCGGCCCGTCTGCTCTCCACATTTCATCGTCTTTTAATCATTTTTTGCCAAAGAAAAAACAAAACAAAAACAGACAAAGGGTTCATCCTACAGAGACGCGCTCTGGCTATAGCATCAGTTCATGTGTCCAGAGTCTAACGGGGTCCGGGGGGGTGGCTCCAGATGAGGAGAGGGCTCTGGAGGGGGGTGACTCCAGAGGGGGGGCCCAGAGGGGGGTTGATATGTTGCATCGGCCCAGTCTTAAGAAAAGTCTGCAGGTGTTTTTGTGGATTTCTATTTCTTTGTTGATAGTTCCATTGGAGAGAGAACAATGAGACTCTTGAAGTTCATTTATCGCAGGAAACGAAACACGGAGACCGAGCAGCAGCAACGTGTGTTTGAAGCCTCCTGGTCACTTTCCGGATTAAATAATGGATTAAAAATGCCCTAATGTTCTACTCTACACTTGACTGGCCAAACACTGCACATGTCGCTCTCTTCGTATCTTTGAGTCTGAAGCTCCGCTGGTGAAGTCTACATCGACATCAAACAGATAAAAGATAAATATGGGCAAACCAAAGGATATGTTCAATGTGTCACTTTTTCCTACATTTCTATAATGATTCTTTGCTTAAGACACTTGCAATGAATGTGATCAAGTTGAAAACACTACATTCTGAGTCAGCAGAAAACAAACATGGATTCAATTCAGATTCAGTCCCTTCTTTATCCGTCACTAAATGCTTTCTCCAGCTTTCAAATCTACATTTCCTGAAGAATTTTTATTCTCCTCTTAAAACAGCGTTTGCCAAGAGAACCAGCAAGTCGTCGAGTTTTTAAAAGTGCAGTTCTCATGTCCAGTGAGAAATTCCTCTTTTCCTATTTTTTGAGTCAAAAATCAAACATTGTAAACGTGTTCCGTTGGCGACCGTTGCTTTAAGACTTATATCGTACGCAATCAATGTCTTTGGCAGGGGAAGAATACTGAGCTGCCTCCTCACAACACCAAACCCACTGTGCAGCATGGGGGTGGAAACATTATTTGGGGCTAATTTTTAATGCGAAACAAAACAGACGCCACCCGCTGTCGCACATTACTACAGTTTGCATATGAACTCAGCTTACACGTTCCCACACTTTCTCTTTCAGCAATTAATCAAATCTCCACCGCGGCGGAAAGTGACCAGGACGGTACCGAGACAGAAGCTTCCTCTGAGAACCGTCTTTGGCAGAGTTCCCAGACCTAAACCGCGGTGTGGGGGGAGGGCACGAGGTGGAGTCTGATATGTGGAGCCCGGAGGCCGCGGCGGTGCGTCCATGGGAGCAGTTCATGAGGGAGGAGTCCGCAGGGGAACGAGGAGCAGGAGGAGGTCTGTGCGTTGGACGGATGAAGATGGACTTTAAAGAAAACGAAAAAGGACAAAGGGTCTGTGCGAAGCGATCATGAAACAACTCAACGGTTTTCATTCGCCGCGAAGTCACAAACTGCTCCGGAGACGCCGGGCCTCGCAGGGTCCGGCCGCTTCCTGCTTTTGGTTTGTCGGTTTTGGTGGTTCTCTGTGGTTCTCTGTGGCAGTGGGAGGGGGGGGGGGCTCATGCGGGGGTCTGGAGCAGGACGGACGTGGCGCTGGTCTCTAACTGCCGTAATGCATGGTGTTGCTGGGGATGACCATGGGGGAGGCCATGGAGATGGCGGCTCCGCCCATAGTGAACTGGTTGGTGACGGGGTAGTAGCTGCCGCTGCTGCTGGGGCCAGACTGTCCTGTGGTGGCTCCTGGGGACAGAGGCACACGGAGAGATCACCTTTAATGTCAAGGGTTGAGAGAAGCCCCACCCTGCCCTAATGTGTAAGAATCACAATAATATTCAATCACATGATCCTGTTGAATCCGTCGTTAGTGTGAACAGCACATTTACAGGTGTGAATGCTGCCATTGTGTCCCTGAGCAAGACACTGAACCCGCCTCCCCCAGTGTCACCTTTGTGTAAGAAGTCTCTTCATGTAAAACCATTTACGTTCCTTTCAGACTGCTGTGCAGAATGAATGTGGCAGTCCTCCAGGAACCAAACCAAACCAAAGAGACTTTGTGACATCACAACAGACAGAGCAGTCTCAAACATGATGGTTTGGGGCTGCTTTTCTGCAGAAGGGACGGGACAACTGCTCAACGAAGGAGCCCCAGCTCTGCACCCCTGTACCCGTGTGCCCCTGTACCTGTGTGCCCCTGTACCTTTATGCCCCTGCACCCGTGTGCCCCTGTACCTGTGTGCCCCTGTACCTTTATGCCCCTGCACCTGTGTGCCCCTGTACCTTTATGCCCCTGCACCCGTGTGCCCCTGCACCCGTGTGCCCCTGCACCCGTGTGCCCCTGCACCTGTGTGCCCCTGCACCTGTGTGCCCCTGCACCTGTGTGCCCCTGCACCTGTGTGCCCCTGCACCTGTGTGCCCCTGCACCTGTGTGCCCCTGTACCTTTATGCCCCTGCACCCGTGTGCCCCTGCACCCGTGTGCCCCTGCACCTGTGTGCCCCTGCACCTGTGTGCCCCTGCACCTGTGTGCCCCTGCACCTGTGTGCCCCTGCACCTGTGTGCCCCTGCACCTGTGTGCCCCTGCACCTGTGTGCCCCTGCACCTGTGTGCCCCTGCACCTGTGTGCCCCTGCACCTGTGTGCCCCTGCACCTGTGTGCCCCTGCACCTGTGTACCCCTGTATCTGTCACTGAAGTCCAATAAAATCTAAGTTTTTATATTATTGAAAACAGTAATAAACATTACGAAGATGTTAAGCTAATCATGGACATTTGAAGAGTCAGGGCAGAAGTAGCAGGTGAGCTTTGATGCTAATGAGTTTAAGCTAGCAGCTGTGTGTAAAGTTTATCTGTATAGCGCCTTTCACAGAGCAGGGGCACAAAGCACTTCACGATCAAAACAGAAAAATACACACGTTATAAAAATATATACAGAGCGATAAACACACTTCAGATAAAGGCTGTTTTCTCCCCCTGTCTGCACCTGAGGAGAGAAACCTTGTCTGCACCTGAGGAGAGAAACCCAGAGTTCAGTTGGAGCCGATTAAAACCATCTTTGTTCTGTCCACTGAGAGAGGAACCTCGGAGTGGGGTTGAGAGAGAGAAACCTCTGGGTGTGGGGCTGAGAGAGAGAAACCTCTGGGTGTGGGGCTGAGAGAGAGAAACCTCTGGGTGTGGGGCTGAGAGAGAGAAACCTCTGGGTGTGGGGCTGAGAGAGAGAAACCTCTGGGTGTGGGGCTGAGAGAGAGAAACCTCTGGGTGTGGGGCTGAGAGAGAGAAACCTCTGGGTGAGGGGCTGAGAGAGAGAAACCTCTGGGTGTGGGGCTGAGAGAGAGAAACCTCTGGGTGTGGGGCTGAGAGAGAGAAACCTCTGGGTGTGGGGCTGAGAGAGAGAAACCTCTGGGTGTGGGGCTGAGAGAGAGAAACCTCTGGGTGTGGGGCTGAGAGAGAGAAACCTCTGGGTGTGGGGCTGAGAGAGAGAAACCTCTGGGTGTGGGGCTGAGAGAGAGAAACCTCTGGGTGAGGGGCTGAAGGAGCAGCTGGAGATGGTCTGCATCAAAGTGACAGACACTGAACTGTCAGGATCACAAACAACAGAGGCCCAAGAACCGAGCCTTGGGGAACACCCACTGTACGTCTGCAAACTCTGACATGTTGTTATTAGAGGACAGTAGATCTCAGGACCACGTCTACCAGCACCAGGTCTACCAGCACCAGGTCTACCAGCACCAGGTCTACCAGCACCAGGTCCACCAGGACCACATCTACCAGCACCAGGTCTACCAGCACCAGGTCTACCAGCACCAGGTCAACCAGCACCAGGTCTACCAGCACCAGGTCCACCAGGACCACATCTACCAGCACCACATCTACCAGCACCACATCTACCAGCACCAGGTCTACCAGCACCAGGTCTACCAGCACCATGATGTCTTTAGACACTTTCAGCTGTTTCAGTGAAACTTCCTGAAAACATACTAAAAAATGTGTCAATAATGTTGTTTGCATCAAAGAATGTTGTGAGTTGATTTTAGACCAACTTTTTCAGGACTTTGGTCAACAGCGAGATCTTCGACACAGGTCTAAATTTCTGAAGATTAACAGACAGTAGTCTGAAATCAGGACCACAGGGCCCGCTACTACCTGTATAACTGAGTGTGTGTGTACGTGCCTGTGTATGTGTGACTGTGTGTGTGTATCCGTGTACGTGTGTGTGACTGCATGTGTGTGTGTATATGTGTGTACTCACCCTGGACGATGCCTGTGCTCATGATGGAGCCCATCCTGGAGTGAGTGTGGTTCACGATGCCTGTGTTCACTGCACACAGAGGAGACATCAGACCAGAGCCACGCCCTGCACTCCCAGCATGCACTGCACCTCTACGACGGATGCTACTGATACTACTGATGATACTGATACTACTGATACACTAGAAACGCAAATGAATTTTGACATTTATTGGAAAAAGGTAGATTGTACATTTCAAACATTTCTTCATCAATTGTTGATATCAAAATTAAAACAAAATCACATGCATTTGTAACGCTTCATACAAACATTACAGTGAGTTACACACAACTACACAACAGCTGACGGAGGTTTAGTACAGAGGGATGACATTAGTAACACTCACATTACACAAATACACTCGAGCTTCAAAGACTCGCATCTACGTCACCATGGCAACACATCAGTGGAAACACCGCACATGAATATAGGTAAATGTGTATCAGCAGCGTCCCACATGTCTCAGATGTATGTAAACAAGAGAAGAGTAACTCCCTCTAGTGTTGGAAGTGGGAACTTCACTGCTTAGATCCAACATGGAGCGGACTGAAGCCTAAAGGCACTTTTGTTTTAAAACGGCATGACATGAGTTGAGAAACGGAGCATTCAGAAAGAAGGGGTGGGGGGAGGTGGAAATGTCAGAGGTTCCTGAATGATACAACGGAATCTCCAAAAAAACAAAAACATTCAAAACAAAAACTTTTGAAATCACAGGCGACAAAGTGATGGGGTCGTGAAGCAGAGAGTTTGCCCTTTGGAAAATGTAACGTGAGTGTGTGTGTGTGTGTGTGTGTGTGTGTGTGTACGTGTGTGTGTGTAAATGTGCGTGTAAATGTGCGTGTGTGTGCTACAGAGAGCATGCATTGAGTGTGGAGAGCAGGCCGTTGGTGTGGACATAACTGTTTTCGGCAGAGGGCTTTCTCTCGGCTGCCTCCCCACTACACCATGAGCCCTGAGCAGGAGTGAAGCCGGGGGGGTTGCAGTTCGTACCCAGCGGGATGAGGTTGTTGTGGGAGGCCGGCGTGCCGCTGCCAATCACCGTGCTCAAGTCGTACGCCGTGGGCATCCCTGGCAACACACACACACAGGGGTCAGAGGTCAGGGGGGGCTCTCAGTGACTCTGCAGAGACCCAGGACAGACCTCCCACAATGCAACAGGAGAGAACTGGGAACATGAAGGATTCTATAGGACTGTGATATTTGGCCACAGTTCAATAATATCGTGATTCTTACATTCTACATATACAGACAGGATGTGCTTCTGTGATATATCGTGATACATGTCTCTTCATATTATTCAGACTTTACAAACATGAAGGAATACTTTTCTCACAGAGTAGAACATACCTGAGCCCATGCCCTGGCCCATGTTGTAGCCTGCTCCTGTGTTCCACATGTTCTCTGACGGCGACGTGTAGTGTGAGCCGGGGGGAGGGTTAGGGGTGGTGCCTGTGTACCTACACACACACACACACAGACACACACAGACACACACACACACACGTATGAGCACAGCCGAACACATGTGGTGAGCAGCTGAACCGTGTGAATGTAGAACCTGCTGCACATAGACCCCTCCAGCTCTGAGCATGTGTGACATCACCGCTGCTGTCGGACCACATTCATTGATTGACTGCGGAACCTTCCGCAGTCAACCATTGGTTTTGTATTTCTTTATTCCGTCATTTTTTTTGACACGTTTCACAGCTTTCACATTTTCAACAATTTCCACAAGTTATACATCAAAACGTTCCACATGTTTGGGAGATTATTGCTATTACTTTTGGGACTTCAGCGATTTCCGGTTTTTCCGCAATCGGACAAAAATCTGCATTGAGAATTCTGCAATGCATTTTAATAGGCCCATGCATTTTAATAGGACTTCAGCTCTTTCAGACATTTCTACAGTTTCAATGATTCAACAGTTTCAAGGATTCAACAGTTTCAAGGATTTCAGCAGTTTCAAGATTTCAAGAGTTTCAAGGACTTCAACAGTTTCAAGGACTTCAGCAGTTTCAAGGACTTCAGCAGTTTCAAGGACTTCAGCAGTTTCAAGGACTTCAGTGTAATCATGCAACCTAATAGGGATTTTTCCATGTAAACCAGTATAATGCAACTTAATAGGGATTTTTCCATGTAAACCAGTATAATGCAACTTAATAGGGTTTTTTCATGTAAACCAGTATAATGCAACTTAATAGGGTTTTTTTTCATGTAAACCAGTATAATGCAACTTAATGGGGATTTTTCCATGTAAACCAGTATAATGCAACTTAATAGGGGTTTTTACATGTAAACCAGTATAATGCAACTTAATAGGGTTTTTTCCATGTAAACCAGTATAATGCAACTTAATAGGGATTTTTCCATGTAAACCAGTATAATGCAACTTAATAGGGGTTTTTACATGTAAACCAGTATAATGCAACTTAATGGGGATTTTTCCATGTAAACCAGTATAATGCAACTTAATAGGGGTTTTTACATGTAAACCAGTATAATGCAACTTAATAGGGTTTTTTCCATGTAAACCAGTATAATGCAACTTAATAGGGATTTTTCCATGTAAACCAGTATAATGCAACTTAATAGGGTTTTTTTCATGTAAACCAGTATAATGCCACTTAATAGGGTTTTTTTCATGTAAACCAGTATAATGCAACTTAATGGGGATTTTTCCATGTAAACCAGTATAATGCAACTTAATAGGGGTTTTTACATGTAAACCAGTATAATGCAACTTAATAGGGGTTTTTTACATGTAAACCAGTATAATGGAACTTAATAGGGGTTTTTACATGTAAACCAGTATAATGCAACTTAATAGGGATTTTTACATGTAAACCAGTATAATGCAACTTAATAGGGTTTTTTACATGTAAACCAGTATAATGCAACTTAATGGGGATTTTTCCATGTAAACCAGTATAATGCAACTTAATAGGGGTTTTTACATGTAAACCAGTATAAAGGATAACAGTTTAAAGGATATCAGGAGCTTCAAATACTTCAGGAGTTTCAAAGATGTTTAAAGTATTTTAACAGTTTTTTTCAGCAAGGATTTTTCAGCTAAATTCCACATTAGATCTGTTTCGCAGTCAATCGCAATGGCTTCAGCCATTGCAACGGTTTCTAGTTATTATTATTATTATAAATCTGATTTATTCAGCGCATTGTGGTGATAAACTACTACTGTAGCCACAGCTGCCCTGGGGCACACCGACAGAAGCGAGGCAACCAGTCTGTGCCATCGGCCCCTCCCACCACCACCAACCATTCACACACACACCAGACTCATTCTAATGTGGGGGAAGTGTCTTGCCTAAGGACACAACCACAGTTTGGGCGTTACTGTTGTTTTGTTATTTATGCGACTCGTGGTGACTCTGTTCCATTGTTACTTTGTATCAAACACAGAGAAGTGCTCATGTGCGGAGTGGCAGCAGCCGGTCTGTCTCCAAACACTGGAAGGGTCTATCAGCCTCCTCTCCTCCAAACCACTCACATATTATGTGTGTGAAGAGGCTCTGACCTGAAGAAGGGGTTCTTGAGGTCCAGCAGGTTACTGGACTTGGAGCCCGTCTGGTCAACCTGCGCCACGATACTGATGTCGTAGCTTTGTCTGCGCAAAACACCATCAACATTTAAGTCTTAAACGTGGTCTGAGGAGGTTCTAACTTTTCACTGAAACATGGCACAGAAACAAAATGCTGCGAGCCTCTGTAAAGATTATACATTATTCAAAATCCTGGCACTACTTTGTGAAATAATAAATTAAGATATATTCATTTCCAAACACAGCCTGCTGCAATGACATCATAATATAACTTTACTTCACTGTGTCCCAGAGCCTCGTGCTGCTAACATGCTAACGTACAACTGTATGTCTGCAATAGAATATACAGGTTTATTATTATGATCAGTATTGTAGTAATGGCCTCAGTGAGTATATGAAGTTTGTACTTTATCTTTTCAAAGAAACTGATCAAAACTATAGATACCGACTCCTGGACAATCGTTTCTCTTAACCATGTGCTTTTTAAACTTCTATTCCTGTGCTTGTCTGCTGCACACTGGAGACTCTTGCACAAGTATTCCAATGTGGTTTTATTGCACATGTCAAACAATCTGTATCCTCCGCCATCACGGCGAGCTCTCCTCTGTGCCGGATCTGGCTCGTACCTCTTGTTGGCCACGAGCACCGCGGTCCCAGATAAAGTGTCTCCGGCTTTGGTGAAGAGCGGGGACTGCAGCAGACATCGGACCTGGTACCAGTGGGTCAGGGGCTCGGTGGGCGCCGTGGACAGCCAGATGGTCATTCTATTCTCACACACACACACACACACACACACACAAAATGAGTGAATATAGACAATATAGATATCTCACAGGTGGCCCTCATGCTCGCTCACTGAGGGACATGACTAGGGCTGTAAAAAACTATGAATTTTCATGACCGACCAACGAGCCTCATTAACCTCACTAATTATGCACTGCTTAATTTTCACACATTTTATACTAGTTATAGGCCCCGTCCCAATTCTCACCCTGCCCTTAAAAAGCACACTTGCCCTAGAGTTTGCGCGTGCCCGCGGGAGTGGAAGGGTGTCCTGCATGTGTCAGTGGCTGCGTGCATATGTGGCGCGTGCGGCGTGAAAGTCGGCCCGGAGTTTACTGTTGCATTGGCGCACACAGCTAGAGACAGACCCGCTCGTCACACCGTGCAAATAGGGCTTAAAACAGCGTTATTAAGAGACCTCCACTCTCCCCCTTTTCTTATTTTTAACTGACAGCTTTGACCGGTTAACGCTGTGACGGTCAACCACCGGTTAAACGGTCACCGATTTACATCCCTAGTTCTGATCAATCAGAACGCTCTAAAATCCCCACAAAATCCTCCTGAATGAAACCTATCTCTGTCTCTGAGGATGATCTGTTTTAGTGACACTGAAATCGGCTGACTGCCTATGTGTCTTCAGGCTGCAGTACCACAGGTGGCCTCTAGTCCATGTGTATTCAGGCTGCAGTACCACAGGTGGCCTCTAGTCCATGTGTATTCAGGCTGCAGTACCACAGGTGGCCTCTAGTCCATGTGTATTCAGGCTGCAGTACCACAGGTGGCCTCTAGTCCATGTGTATTCAGGCTGCAGTACCACAGGTGGCCTCTAGTCCATGTGTATTCAGGCTGCAGTACCACAGGTGGCCTCTAGTCCATGTGTATTCAGGCTGCAGTACCACAGGTGGCCTCTAGTCCATGTGGAGACAGAACAGACTTAAATAGAGTGAGTACTTACGCTGAGCCCATGAAGGCCACGTCGAACCAGAACGCCAGTCCGTGCACCAGCCCCGAGTGCATCATGTGGAACTTAAAGGGGATCTCTATCCTTCAAAGACAACACAACAGTGTCAGACATATATACACATACAGATACAGACACAGACACACACAGACAGACACACACACACACACACACACACCTGTACAGGTCGTCTTCTTTGGCCTCCAGGAAGTTGACCGTGTACTTCACAGACTTGGCCATCAGGATGCGGATGTCGAACGTGTCCTGGAGCAAAAGAAACATGGACTTCATTTATAAACAACTTCATTATTATGTTTTATACGTAATAAATTATTATTATCATTATTATCATACAGTTTGAACTAAAGTACTGGTGGGAAAAAAAACCACAAAAAAGTCACGCAAGCTAAATGATGAAATTCAATTAAAAAAGATGCAATGACTAAAACAAGAGACAAAAATGAAAAGTTTAGTCCAAAGTTTGACACTAAGGCCCCGTCCCAATTCTCACCCTTGCCCTTAGGTGTGAGTACTCTCACCAGCAAAGTGCCTTCCCAGTGGGGAGTGCACTCACAACATTCTCCCTAAGAACTGGGACACCCCTGGATCTAGGGGACAATATGCAAATGACGCAGCAGACGTGTTCCACGTCACACATTATCAAAGTGTCTGATTTCACCTCAGATAAGATCTGACACAGATATGACTTTATGAAACACAGTATTTACTAAAACGAGACGTTTTTAATTCTATTTCATATGAAGATTTGCGATAATTAGGTACAGAACTGATGCACATCACGCACTCAGAGACAGACGTTGCAGCCGCTTCGGGAGCGAACGTCACCGCACACGGCACCAACACACGCTTTAAAAACTAACTCGCACACGCTTTGGAGCTTCCTCCCGTTCCGCACAAACTTGTGCGCGGGTGTTTCATGTTGTTTTCTTTCATTGTTGCTTTAGCTGCTTTACCAACAGCTATCGTAATGCATCATGGGATCACCCTCGCTCGCAGGTGAGCTCCGGACCTCACTTGCGCTCAAGGGTGGTTTTTGTGGGTGTGAAAGCCCTCGCCTCTTCTCCCTAAGTGTTGGGACACCCTTCCACTCCCGCGGGCACGCGCAAACTCTAGGGCAAGTGTGCTTTATAAGGGCAGGGTGAGAATTGGGACGGGGCCTATAACTAGTATAAAATGTGTGAAAAGGAAGCAGAGCATGTTTGAGTCTGATCCACTGAGACCTTAGCACATGTTAAATACTTCACTGTCATGGAAAATGTGAAAAATGTTCCTATAAAATAAACGTCCTCTTTCTGTTGTTTTAATACAACGTAAACAAGGAAGTGCAACATTCTGAACAATCAGTCGTTTTCCATTCATTTATTCAGAGTTTACTTTTATACATTTTTAAAGTGAAAGAGAGTTGTGTCCTTAACAAATCAGTGGAAATGTTCTTTCCCTCATTAGCATAAGAAGTTATTACACAATGTCTTTGTTTAGACTTTTTACTTAAGTCATCTTTATGTATCTGTATAATGTGTAAACATGACTCACGACTATGGGCTGTCGGAAATACTCGTCCACTGCAGCTCCTCGCAGAGCAGAGAGGTCCACTCCATGGAAGGACGGCTGGTACCTGTGACACACTCTGTTAGACCAGCAGGAGGCTCTGGGGAGGAGCAGGAGGAGCAGGAAGAGGAGCAGGAGGAGGAGGAGAAGCAGGAGGAGACAGGAGGAGGTATGAGGAACACGAGGAGACATGAAAGGCATGAGAAAGCCCCGTAGCACCAGGAGGAAACTCACCAGAAGTTGGCCTTTGTGAACTGTTCCATGTAAAGCTGCTCGTCTGTGAAAGGGGCCAAGTGCACGTCTCCTATGGTGGGGAACATTTTACCTGCAACACACAGCAGCCATGTTACAACTACCGCAGACACATGGCCACCATGTTACTACTACCACAAGTACACAGCCATGTTACTACCACCACACATACACAGCCGCCATGTTACTACTACCACACATACACAGCAGCCATGTTACTACCACCACACATACACAGCAGCCATGTTACTACTACCACACATACACAGCAGCCATGTTACTACTACCACACATACACAGCAGCCATGTTACTACCACCACACATACACAGCAGCCATGTTACTACCACCACACATACACAGCAGCCATGTTACTACTACCACACATACACAGCAGCCATGTTACTACTACCACACATACACAGCAGCCATGTTACTACCACCACACATACACAGCAGCCATGTTACTACTACCACACATACACAGCAGCCATGTTACTACTACCACACATACACAGCAGCCATGTTACTACCACCACACATACACAGCAGCCATGTTACTACTACCACACATACACAGCAGCCATGTTACTACCACCACACATACACAGCAGCCATGTTACTACTACCACACATACACAGCAGCCATGTTACTACTACCACACATACACAGCAGCCATGTTACTACCACCACACATACACAGCAGCCATGTTACTACTACCACACATACACAGCAGCCATGTTACTACTACCACACATACACAGCCAGGGCTGGACTGGGACAAAAAAACGGCCCGGGCATTTTTTCCTTCTTACCGGCCCAGGCATGTTTTTGTCACGTTTTTTACAGTTTGTTTATACCAGGGATCGGCAACTCAAAAGGTTCAAAGAGCCATATTTGACAAAAAAAACTAAAAACATCTGTCTGGAGCCGCAAAAAAATAACAGCCTTGTATAAAGCTTATATGAAGGTTACACAATGTAGCTACATTAGCTACATTAGCTACATTAGCCTAATATCTAAATGACCAAGTAAAGGCTACAAATACATAATAAGCATTCATGATTATCAAATGTGTGTTTTCACTGCAGCGTGTCCTGGAGAGAATGACGCACCACGTGATGACTCTGCTTTAACTTTGACTTCCATTTTTTTGCCTTCATGCAACTGTAGAAATACAGTAAATAAATCTGCTTTTTGGCTCAGAGTTCACCTGCATCACTGTCTGTTCATATTGATCACATCACAGGCTGTTTGCTGGAGCTGAATGTCCTTTTCTTTCACAGTCTTTGCGGAGGGATTTGAAGTCTGAAAAAGGTGCTCCGGATTTTGTATGAAAGAATCCTTCACGTAATCCCTGTGAACGGTATTTAGTGCTTCATTGTTCCTCGTGTTGCAACAAAACTTCCTATTACATCGCAAACATGAAGCAGTCCTTCCTCATTGACTGAAAGCAAATGTTCAGTCTTGTTCTTAGTCCAGTCTTATTATTGACTCGTTCTCTTTTTATCTTTGGGATCCGTGCGCACACGCCGGTTTGTTTACAGCAGCGGCCGCCTGGCACGGGGCCGTGCCACAGGATATGACTCACTACGTTGACAGAAATGTTGAAATTGAATATTACTTATACACATTTTTACAGCATTGAAATACGTTAGGAATGTTTTTACTCCTACAGAAACCACATTCAAACTAGGAATAAAATATAGCCCTCCCACTCCATTTTCAGACATTTTTGAAAAGGCTCCAGGAGCCACTGGAGGAACACTAAAGGTTGCCGACCCCTGGTTTATACAGTATGTGGAAGCAAATACTGTAGAGGATCAGGATGTCTGTAGTTTCAACAAAAAAATAAAGTGCAATAGTCTACATTACAAGAGAGTAATAAACATGTCTCAGAGTGAGGGAGGTGGACACAGACAACACTATTGTTTGTTACAGGGATGAGAATTGGTCAAAAAAGTCTGAAATGCATAATGTCAGCCATTGGCTGGCTCTAAATCTGTTTAATTTGTTCACAACATTTTACTTTTGGGCTCAAACATGAACTTTTAATGCAATGGAAAATTTAGGCACCCGAGCTTTAATTTAGTCGCACTTCGAGAGGAGAGGGGAGACGCGGACTGTTTCCTGCAGCGGTGTATTTATTGGGTGCACAAATTACGCAAAGACACGCATGGTCCTGTGCGCGTTTATGGTCTTGGGTCACGTTGCGGCTACGCGCTCACTGTGTTGTGTTGTGAGCGGTTCCCGCGTCCAGCTCAGAGCCGCTGGATACGGGAACACTGCGGCCGCTGAGGTGGTGGAATCCCGTTCAAGTACATACAGCAGGTGCCCCGCGGACACGCGCGCTCCCTCGAACAGTTCTCAACGGATTTACACTTTTCACAAACATCTTTTTTGTATGAGGCAGACAGACCGGCCCAAATATGGGCATCGGCCCTTCTGGCATTGCCCGGTACGCCCGATGGCCAGTCCAGCCCTGTACACAGCAGCCATGTTACTACTACCACACATACACAGCCCCTTCCCCCCACAGAGACAGAGATACCCCTGGCTCCCACAGAGAGTTACCCCTGACCCCCCACACAGACAGAGGACTCACCGTTGGGCTTGAGGAACTTCTTGGCGTGCAGGTAGCTCTCCAGCATGCGCTCGTTGAAGAGCATGTAGCCCATGGGCTCAGAGATGATGATGTCCACCTGCTCCGGCAGAGTGACCTCCTCCACTTTCCCCGGGATCACCACCACCCGCTCCGACAAACGGTTACTGTTCACCAGAACCTGAAGAGAACACAGACATAGAGGCGTTTACAGACTGCGACGCCAGGTTTCAGAAGCAAAGGGACGTTTATGGTCATAACCAATTGGAGTTACTGCATCGATTTGACCGGAGCCCCGACACGGAAGCTAACGCTAACGCATGCTAACGTGAGCTAATGTTTGCTCGTGTTATTTAGTCATGTTACTGTTGCTGCTCATGGTGCTGTGTGTGGTTTATGAACATGTGCGATCCATAACTCAAACAGACTCCATTTGAGTAGTAAGAAAGTAAGTTTTCTTTATTTTTATTGCGCCTTTCACAGACCAGAGTCACAAAGCGGTTTACAATTGTGGGCATTTGTCTCTCACTCCACACAGAGATGGGAGTGGGGCCACCAGTACAGGAGGCCCATGCCAGACTTTGAGCGGGCATGTGGAGCCAGATGCATGTACTTTTGTCGGATGGCAACGCCCGAGCAACAGAGAGCCAATAAGAGAGCCAGAGGATTTGACTTATTTTATGTCAATCTTATTTTTAGTTATTAATATGCATTGCATACGTGATATTGTATTTACTATGACATACTCAATAAATTAATTCATTAATTCAACTTCACCATGAGCACTTCAGTATTGGGCTACATGGAGCTAGTGTGTATTTGTGTGCTTTGTGTATGTGTGTGTGTGTGTACCTCTGCGTGCCTGTGTGTACCTCTGCGTGTACCTCTGCGTGTACCTCTGCGTGTACCTCTGCGTGTACCTCTGCGTGTACCTCTGCGTGCGTGAGTGTGAGTGTACCTCTGTGTGTACCTCTGCGTGCGTGAGTGTGTGTGTACCTCTGCGTGTACCTCTGTGTGTACCTCTGCGTGCGTGAGTGTGTGTGTACCTCTGCGTGCGTGAGTGTGTGTGTACCTCTGTGTGTACTTCTGCGTGCGTGAGTGTGAGTGTACCTCTGCGTGCGTGAGTGTGTGTGTACCTCTGTGTGTACCTCTGCGTGCGTGAGTGTGTGTGACCCTCTGCGTGCACCTCTGCGTGCACCTCTGCGTGCACCTCTGCGTGCACCTCTGCGTGCACCTCTGCGTGCACCTCTGCGTGCACCTCTGCGTGCACCTCTGCGTGCACCTCTGCGTGCACCTCTGCGTGCACCTCTGCGTGCACCTCTGCGTGCACCTCTGCGTGCACCTCTGCGTGCGTGAGTGTGTGTGTACCTCTGCGTGTACCTCTGCGTGCGTGAGTGTGTGTGTACCTCTGCGTGCGTGAGTGCGTGTGTACCTCTGCGTGCGTGAGTGTGTGTGTACCTCTGCGTGCTGAGCCATGGTGCTGGCCTCTACAGCGTACACCTTCCTGGCTCCAGCCTGAGCGGCGAAGAAGGACAGGATCCCGGAGCCACAGCCCACGTCCAGCACCACCTGAGGATGGGGTGGGGTAAGAGGAAGTGAGTGGTTAGCACTCTCGCCTCGAGAAGGTGAAACCTCCAGGAGGAAGAATCGACATGACACCACACTCGATACAGGGCAAAAAAATGCACACATTATTTTAAAACTACCATACTACCAACTTCCATATCATTCAGAAATGAACCAACGAATGAATGAAGTTTATTTTAGGGGAAGAGTGAAGTTACATTAAAAAGATGGCTACAACAGATTTAGCATCAAGCTATTACCCTGATGTTCCCAAATTAATGTTTCACATTATTTTGAAAAGCTGATATAGGATCATTTCTAAAGGCTTGAAAAGCCCTGTGGGCCAGTGTCTGGGACACTGGGACCTGTGGAGTTTACCTTGTCCTTGAAGTCTGTGTGGTTCTGGAGGATGGCTCGCTGGTACGTCCCTGTCCGAACATAGTCCTGCATCATGTTCTGTTGCTGGGAGAGGTAGCCGTAAAACTGCACACAACCACAACATTACTACATTTAAAACAATCATATTTTCATTCAGCTTTCATTAATGCAGCAACCCTCCTCCTCCCCATCTCTGCCCGGTTAGAAACTAGTCTATCTTATTAAACAATAAATCAATATAGTAACTTTCCTGACAGCCCTAAATCTGGGTAGATGTCTGAGTGCATATATGTGTGTGTGTGTCTGTGTGTGTATTTGCGTCTGTGTGTCTGTTTGTGTGTGTCTGTGTGAGTATTTGCGTCTGTGTGTCTGTTTGTGTGTGCCTGTGTGTGTATTTGCGTCTGTGTGTCTGTTTGTGTGTGCCTGTGTGTGTATTTGCGTCTGTGTGTCTGTTTGTGTGTGCCTGTGTGTTTATTTGCGTCTGTGTGTCTGTTTGTGTGTGCCTGTGTGTGTATTTGCGTGTGTGTGTCTGTTTGTGGGTGCCTGTGTGTGTATTTGCGTCTGTGTGTCTGTTTGTGTGTGCCTGTGTGTTTATTTGCGTCTGTGTGTCTGTTTGTGTGCCTGTGTGTACCTGGAAGTACTGCACCGCCGAGGACTCCTCTGTGCGCTCGCTGAAGACCGAGCGCTCGTTCAGATTTCCGCGGGAGTTTTTCAGGACATTGTAGAAGGACTGGAAGTCTGTGACGGCAACACAACGTCACACACAACACAACATTACACACAACAACACGCACACCAGCACGACAACACATCCTCACACACACAAGCACAACGCAACAATAATAGATCACTTACTTACGACACACACACCAGCAGGACAACATGTGACACACACACAGTTACACACACACACACGACACACACTCTCTCACAGACGTACCTGCGGGTGAGGAAAACTGCAGCAGGACACTGTTACAGCCAAGTGTGATGATGAAGGACTGCTTCCCCACACGTGTGCACTCTGTCTCCCTGGACACGGAACATTTAAACACACTGGCCTCCTCTCCTGCAGACACACACACAGACACAGACACACACACACACACACACACAGACACACACACACACACACACACACACGGACACAGTTATTATCGTGCTCTGTAAGAAGTCAGCAACATTGTATCACATCTATTTATAAAGAAAAAAATATTTTGCAACACTTCACATTTTATTATGTGGCTTTTAAACTGTACAGACTGGTACAATACTACTGTACAAAGATTAATACATAAAACAATGAAACACACAGTGTGTGACGCTGTAAATCACATGAAGTGGACTTAGGCCCGTTTATACGGGAGGCGCTGCACAGATGTTGCCAAGCTATGAACAGAAACGACCAGGCTCCTATTGCTAATTTCACAGTGTTCATACAAGGATCAAAAACGATGTAGTTCTGATGCCTGGACAGTAGGGGGCAGAGGAACTTTACAAAACGACACACACTAGCCCCAGCCCCCCCAGCAGTATATACACTTCCTCTGCAAGACGTGAAAGAACCAACTACATTCTGCATTTTAACAGCAGCTGCGAAAATGGAAACTGAAACTAGAGCTTTGAGTGGTCTCGTTTGTACGAACAAAGAAGTAGAATTATCCTCTGTGTAGCACTCGAAACACAAGTAGTAGTAGGCTTCATTTATACGGACCAGTGGGGGCGGGTCCCAGCTCAAAAGTGGCCAAAATGACGTGCGCCGACATACTGCAATACCACCCCGGGCCGATGGGGGTGGACCCAGAAGTAGAATTAGCCAATGCTAACATATAGCATTGGCAGACCTCTCAAAAACGTCTTTACAGGATGGACCAAAAGTTGGCTCTTGGCCCAAAGCTCCGTTCCACATGTGTGTCAATGCTGAGGGGGGTGGATTTTTGAAGTCTCTCGTTCAAATGAACGGAGCTGCTCGGGCTGACGCATGCGCAGATGCGTTTTTTCCCAATTTTCTTGTGGGCGGGACCACTCGCGGCCATTTTGGATTGCTCCAGTAGAGCACATTTTTTGGCCCATTAGTTAGAACGGCAGAGATTGGCGTGACTCTGTCCATTAATATATACAGTCTATGGAAAAAAGCTCCATTTATTTGAACGAGAGACTTCAAAAATTCACAGCAAGTAAACTAGAGTGGACCAAAACACCCCCCTCATCATTGACACACATGTGGAACGGAGCTTTGGGCCAAGAGCCAACTTTTGGTCCATCCTGTAAAGACGTTTTCGAGAGGTCTGCCAATGCTATATGTTAGCATTGGCTAATTCTTCTTCTGGGTCCACCCCCACAGGCCCGGGGTGGTATTGCAAGTATGTCAGCGCACGTCATTTTGGACACTTTTGAGCTGGGACCCTCCCCCACTGGTCTGTATAAACGAAGCCTGAAGGTGATATGTACCTTTTCTCCATCAGAGATCAATAAAGTTTATCTGATCTTATCTTGAGTGTTTTAATGACGAGAGCCGCTGCTAATAAAGTTAAACAGTAGATTCAGGTGTAATAAATGTATCCTATGATATGGGGTGAGGGTCTGATGATCTGAAAACATAGTCTGACATTTAACCAGTTAAAGACTGGAGGCTCCTCAGACAGACGAGCTGCAGAAGCTCAGAGTAAATAAAATAATAAGTGTTTGGTGCAACATGGGACTGGTCCTGCTCGTCTTTCCTGCTCTGAGAGGCCTCCAGCAGTAACAGCAGCAGCAGCAGCAGTAGTTGTAGCAGCAGCAGCAGCAGCAGCAGCAGTAACAGCAGCAGCAGCAGCAGTAACAGCAGCAGCAGCAGCAGTAACAGCAGCAGCAGCAGCAGTAACAGCAGCAGTTGTAACAGCAGCAGTAACAGCAGCAGCAGCAGCAGTAACAGCAGCAGCAGTAACAGTAACAGCAGCAGTTGTAGCAGCAGCAGCAGTAGCAGTAGCTCATGCTACTAACATGCTAACATAAAACTATATATTACTGCATATGCTGTATGTATAAAATTGAAACCACATTTGGAACATTTAAATCATTTCTGCTCTTCAGACGCAGTAATGATTACACCAGATGTCACTGTTACAGGCTAGTCTAAGCTCAGAGCCATCACACATTTGAAACGGTCTGGCAGGAGATCCTCAGTGTGCTACGGGATTAATTTGCCCATCACCACTATTGTTTTGCACTAGCGCCATCTGTTTGATACGACTGAAGCCACACTGTGTGTGTGTGTGTGTGTATGTTAGCGTGCGTGTTAGCGTGTGTTAGAGAGGGAGAGTAGTAAATCTGTATAATCCAGTCTCTGTTACAGGCTGTGGCTCCGATTAAGCTCTGGGTTTCTCCGGAGGCTCAAAGCTCCCACCAAACCCCACAGTCCTGATCCAGGCTCAGGTAAAAGAGGATCATCATGAACCATAACAAAGAGGATCATCATGAACCATAACAAAGGGCTGGAGTTAAGACAGTCCCTCACTTTGAAGTCACAACAAATGAATGATGTAATAACAATCATGTAAAAGACACTCTCAATCACCCAATCATGTACTCTCTCTCTCTGGTCTTTCTTTCTCTCTCTCTGGTCCTGATCATAATAACAATAATAATGATAATAATAACAATAATAATGATAATAACAATAATGATAATAATAACAATAATGATAATAATAACAATAATGATAATAATAACAATAATGATAATAATAATAATGATAATAATAACAATAATGATAATAACAACAATAATGATAATAATAACAATAATGATAATACCAATAATGATAATAATAACAATAATGATAATAACAATAATGATAATAATAATAATAATGATAATAATAACAATAATGATAATAATAACAATAATGATAATAATAACAATAATGATAATAATAACAATAATGATAATAATAACAATAATGATAATAATAACAATAATGATAATAATAACAATAATGATAATAATAATAATGATAATAATAATAATGATAATAATAATAATAATGATAATAATAACAATAATGATAATAACAATAATAATGATAATAATAAGAATAATAATGATAATAACAATATTAATAATGAATCACAGCTGATGTAGATATCCAACTCGTTCCCATCAGTTTCAAAGTCAAAAGAAAATAATCCTTTATAGAGCCATGGACCGGTTTAACATCAGACAATAATTGGACGGACCAAGACAAAAACGCCAAAGATTCAAATTCAAATCATTTTGAAGTAAAATGGACTCATCACAAATATCAGATTGAGAGTTTTACCTCCCACAGACGTAAAGGAGCCGAGCAAACTCATCTGAAAACTGCAGATGAGTTTTGGTCAAATATATGAATAAATCACATTCTCTGACTGTAAGGATTTGAACAAGTAATTTACACATGGCCTTCTTCACTACAGTTTACAGGAAAAAACATGTTTGTGTTTGCTCCTCCTGCAGCTAGCAGCTAGCATACCGCTCAGCTAGGACGTATTATGAAAATGGACAACAACAAATATTGTTTCTACTGCAATAAATAATGGCCGCTGTACATCACTGTTTTGTACACAAGCAGCTGGAAGAAAATCACTTCTGTTCTGAAAAGGAGATGAACCACCTCCTCATCAACAGAAGACCAAGGAGATGAACCACCTCCTCATCAACAGAAGACCAAGGAGATGAACCACCTCCTCATCAACGCGGGGAAGACCAAGGAGATGGTGGTGGATTTCCGCAGACGTCACTCTGCCGCTCCAGCCCCAGTGAACATCCAGGGGAAGGACATCGAGAGAGTGGACTCTTACAAGTACCTGGGTGTCCATCTGAACCACAAACTGGACTGGACTCATAACACAGACGCCCTCTTCAAGAAGGGCCAGAGCCGTCTCTACCTGCTGAGGAGGCTCAGGTCTTTTGGAGTGCAGGGGCCACTCCTGAAGACCTTCTATGACTCTGTGGTGGAGCCTTTTGTACGGTGTGGTCTGCTGGAACAGCAGCATCACTGAGAGAGACAGGAAGAAGCTGGACAAGGTCATCAGGAAGTCCAGCTCAGTCCTGGGCTGTTCCCTGGACACAGTGCAGCAGGTGGGGGACAGGAGGGTCCTGAGCAAACTAACATCTATGCTGGACCATGACTGTCACCCCCTGCAGGACACTCTCTGCTCTAGAGAGCAGCTTCAGTGACAGACTTATTCATCCTTGATGTGTGAAGGAGAGGTTCCGCAGGTCCTTCCTCCCTGCTGCTGTCAGACTGTACAACGAGAATGTATAACAAGAACTTCTGAGTCTGTACAAGTGTCATTGATAATAATTCACTAGTAACTCTCACTAGTCACTTTACCTGTTGTTATAAGTATTACATATCCATCTGATACCTCTGCCATTCACTAGTCACTTTACTGTTGATATTATTACTGATGCTTATTCTGCTCATATTCTCCGCTGCTTAAGAACAATATACATGACATGACATTTTAGCTTCAGAGTGTATTTTATTTTATTCTTTATCTTATATTAATTATATCATCACTATATGATGTGTTCTAATGCTGCTGCAACGATGACACTGAAATGTCTCTGCTGAGAGAGACAAATGAAGGAATATCTGATCTTATCTTATCAATGAGTTCAATATAAAACATCTAAGTTTGTTTTTGAGCTGGATCTTTGACCTAATGATTGACACATTCTGCTCACGGCTGTTGCTCAAGAAGAAGGAATAATATTTGTGCTGTTCCAAAATACTTTAGTAAACACCACTGAGCAAACAGGAAGTGCAGCCGTGAACTTTAGAGACTGATTTGTATCGCATTTATGATGATAGAGATTTATACTTCTTTATTATGCTAAAGTCAAAGATGGTGCAGTGGTTAAAACTTGTGCCTTACAGCAAGAAGGTCCTGGGTTTGATTCCAGCTCCGGACCTTTCTGTATGGAGTTTGCATGTTCTCCCCATGTTTCCCATACCAAAAAAATCATATGCAATAGGTCTGGTCCATCTCTGTGAGCGTAAGAGACAAATGTAACTGTTCGCTTTGTGACTCTGGTCTGTAAAAAAATGCTATATAAATAAATATTGTTACTTACTATTACGTTAAAGTTCACTTATGCCGTGTACATGCTGTGGGACAAACAAAGAATCTCTTCATCTTAATGTTAAGAAGCGTTTTGGAAGTGTAATGTTAGAAGCTGTAAATACATCATGAACAGTATTGGTCTTCAAAACTTTGTGACTGTTTCTGTCTCAATCTGCAGTTTATTTTTAAAAAAAAGTGAGTAATTCTAACTTTAACGTAAAATAAACATTTAACTAAAACACAGATTCCCGGTAACCAACAGTCTATGGAAGTTACATCTCGTGGCGCTGGGTCTGGATAAAGGTAAAGAATGAAAGGTTTTAGAGGAATCTCTCAGAATCCCATTGGTTTGAATGGGAGCAGTCAAAACGACGGCTCTGGGAGTTTTAGTAGGTTCAAACTTCTGGGAGACCTACTGTTAAATAGATACTAGATATTTTTGTTGAGACAAATTTTGACATTTATTGAACATCCTTCTATGGACACAAGCGGGAGGACGGTTGTGTTTTACTTTTACAACTGCAATAACATTATATATAGAATTTTATCAACACACAATAAAGTAATCCGTTCATACACAGAGATGAATGATTGAGCCAGAGCGTCCTCCTTGTACGCCTTGAGTAAAGGAGCCGCTTCGGAGCTATTCTTCTCTGGAGCATTCCCAGGGGACCCCAGCAGCGGGACGGCCCATTCACCGAGCCCAGAGAGGGGAGCGGGACCCTGCTATTGTTCCAATGAGAACAAAGATGCATGCATAAATAATGAGGGCCCGTGCTCACAACAACGCAGCGCAATAACACACACAAGACAATTCTAAATTTCAAAATGAGGAAATACATGAAAAGTTCTGCTGTGTGCATTGCCTGCAGATGCTACCAGCTGCTGCAGCCGCTGGACAGTATCCGCTGGGTCAAGAAACAGTGGTGTCCTTCGCTCTCTCTGGTTCAAAACAAAGCTAGTTCAGGCTGTAGGACAACGAACCACAAGGGACACAAGTTTAATAAAAATACATGTAATACTGCTTTGGTATATTAACATGTATCGATATTTACAATGATATTATGAAGGGGGGAGACATTAACTACATCTTGACTGTGGCTAGCGCATCCTCGGCTAATGGCATTGTTTAAAGTTAGCATAAACTACACATTACTTAGCCATGCGTTTGTACCAATACTCCGCTATACTCTACACCAAGAAGTGCTGCTTTATCAACATGTTAGTTTTATTGAGTCCAGACACAGCTGCTGTTTTCACAGACACCAGAGAAGAGTTGGCGGTTTGGGGGCTCCCTCGTGAGGAGCGGGGGGAGGCGAGGCGAGCTGCCCCAGATGGGTTAGCTTCTTGGCGGCTAACACACACATTGCGAACGGGCAGATTAAGCAGCGAGCGGAGGGATCGTCTCCAGTCCAGGCGTTTGGCCCGGGGGCGGAGCTAACGGCACACGTCACGCGCCAACTTTTAAAACACGGGGACAAATATATACATAAATATGTTTTAATTATTGTTTATGTCCATTAGTGTTTACGTTTGTTGTATCGATACAAGATAGTATTTTAGATCAAATAAAATAAAAAGACGCAACACAACGAGCAATATCACGTGCCATATGTGAGAAATCTGTATAAAAACACTGAAGAATTTACTTGAGATAAAAAATATTGAATTTCATTATTCTGCAAAATGTATAATTAATATGCAAGTCAAATACCTTAAACACACAGATTTTTTTCAAACAGTTTTTAACTGTTTTGCTTTGTGTACCTTTTGTAAGGCGACTTTGGGGACTAGAAAGGCGTCTGATAAATTAAAATGTATTATTATTGTTATTATTATTATCCAGTTATGTTTCTGCACTTCGACCCCTAACCCCAACCCTAACGTTCAACAATACTTCAACAATACTTCAGCAATACTTCAGCAATACTTCAGCAATACTTCAGCAATACTTCAGCAATACTTCAGCAATACTTCAGCAATACTTCAGCAATACTTCAGCAATACTTCAGCAATACTTCAGCAATACTTCAGCAATACTTCAGCCAGTGCATTTCACAGACACACACAAAAACGTTTGATGACTGTGGTAAATATTTAGTCAAATATATTGTTATTTAATAATGGATATATATAATTAAATGCTATGAAAATGTTGACATCTACTCATCCAATAAATACAATTATTTTTCGACAAAAACAGTAGAAATGTCCTAAAACGTAAATATCCAAGAAGAAGTTAACCACTCCCCCTCCGGCTGAAATGCCTGGGCTCTCGCTGAAGATTAGCCGTATATGCGTTAGCATTAGCCTTGGCACAAGACAGGCCGACCATCCGGGCAGCAGAAAGGTCAACTCACCATTGGAGAGATTGATGAGAGCAGCTTCTTGTGTTGTTTTGACTTCCAGCCGCAGCGGCTGTTGCTCCGAGTGCCGCTGGATGTCTCCGTTTGCGTCTCCGATGGAGATGAGGCGCACGCCGGGGAACACCGAGACCGCCATCTTCGATCTGGAAGTAGAGACAGTTCTCCAGCTCTCACATCCACCAAGCCGACCGTGAGTGCTCTCTGCTGGAGGAGGCCAGGCCATCCACGCCACGGGAGGGAGGGGGAGAGGGGGAGAGGGGGAGGACAGCGCGCCCTAGAGGAGGAAGGCGGAACTGCGTCAACAAATCTAACTGTCCTTTGGGACCTGTTAATATTAATATTGGTTAATGTTTCTTCTTCTTACAAGGACCGAGTGACTTCAAAAACATATTACGTGGAGAGAAAATGGTCAGAACCAAACAGACTCTGACATTAAAGGAAACAACTCAACACCCGCAGCTGCTGTGACCAGAGAGAGACCAGAGAGAGAGACCAGAGAGGGACCAGAGAGAGAGACCAGAGAGGGACCAGAGAGAGAGACCAGAGAGGGACCAGAGAGAGAGACCAGAGAGGGACCAGAGAGAGAGACCAGAGAGGGACCAGAGAGAGAGACCAGAGAGAGAGAGAGACCAGAGAGAGAGACCAGAGAGGGACCAGAGAGAGAGACCAGAGAGGGACCAGAGAGAGAGACCAGAGAGAGAGAGAGAGACCAGAGAGAGAGAGAGGGACCAGAGAGAGAGAGAGAGAGACCAGAGAGAGAGAGAGGGACCAGAGAGAGAGAGAGAGAGACCAGAGAGAGACCAGAGAGAGAGACCAGAGAGGGACCAGAGAGAGAGACCAGAGAGAGAGAGAGGGACCAGAGAGAGAGAGAGAGAGACCAGAGAGAGAGAGAGGGACCAGAGAGAGAGAGAGAGAGACCAGAGAGAGACCAGAGAGAGAGACCAGAGAGAGAGAGAGACCAGAGAGGGACCAGAGAGAGAGACCAGAGAGGGACCAGAGAGAGAGACCAGAGAGAGAGAGAGAGAGACCAGAGAGAGACCAGAGAGAGAGACCAGAGAGGGACCAGAGAGAGAGACCAGAGAGAGAGAGAGGGACCAGAGAGAGAGAGAGAGAGACCAGAGAGAGAGAGAGGGACCAGAGAGAGAGAGAGAGAGACCAGAGAGAGACCAGAGAGAGAGACCAGAGAGGGACCAGAGAGAGAGACCAGAGAGGGACCAGAGAGAGAGACCAGAGAGAGAGAGAGGGACCAGAGAGAGAGAGAGAGAGACCAGAGAGAGAGAGAGGGACCAGAGAGAGAGAGAGAGAGACCAGAGAGAGACCAGAGAGAGAGACCAGAGAGAGAGAGAGGGACCAGAGAGAGAGAGAGAGAGACCAGAGAGAGACCAGAGAGAGAGACCAGAGAGGGACCAGAGAGAGAGACCAGAGAGAGAGAGAGGGACCAGAGAGAGAGAGAGAGAGACCAGAGAGAGAGAGAGGGACCAGAGAGAGAGAGAGACCAGAGAGAGACCAGAGAGAGAGACCAGAGAGAGAGAGAGACCAGAGAGGGACCAGAGAGAGAGACCAGAGAGAGAGAGAGAGGGACCAGAGAGAGAGAGAGAGAGACCAGAGAGAGAGAGAGGGACCAGAGAGAGAGAGAGAGAGACCAGAGAGAGACCAGAGAGAGAGACCAGAGAGAGAGAGAGGGACCAGAGAGAGAGAGAGAGAGACCAGAGAGAGACCAGAGAGAGAGACCAGAGAGAGACCAGAGAGAGGGACCAGAGAGACCAGAGAGAGACCAGAGAGAGAGACCAGAGAGAGACCAGAGAGAGAGAGAGGGACCAGAGAGAGAGAGAGAGAGACCAGAGAGAGACCAGAGAGAGAGACCAGAGAGAAACCAGACAGAGAGACCAGAGAGAGAGACCAGAGAGAGACCAGAGAGAGAGACCAGAGAGAGAGACCAGAGAGACCAGAGAGAAACCAGACAGAGAGACCAGAGAGAGAGACCAGAGAGAGAGACCACCTCTGCTGTTGCACTTAGATGGATGTGTTTCTGGATCAGTAAAGTATCTATAATCGTATTTATCTTTTCTATGGATCTGTTGATTTTCTGCTACTGTCAAATAAACTCTTCTGTGTCTTTGAGTCGACTGCAGTGATTTGTACAAATATGAATTTATCTGATGAGGTTTTTAAAACATGTATTTATTTTCTCTTTTCCGGTCGTTGAGGAAACACATAAGTCGTGAAAACAGTAGCAAGTGTCATGGATGTGAGTGAATAAAACAGTGATGTTTATAATAATGTTAATACAATAAATAAAATTAACAATGAACACAGCTGGAATAACAAACAAAAAAGCAAAAGGACATAACACTTGTATCACCACATGGTCTTCAAGTCTGTGCTTTTAACAATCTTTATTAGTACAAGTTACAACAGCCCTGTTTCCACCAGACCGACATAGCCCCACTCTACTCGGCTCTACTCGGTTTTGTTTCCATTACACTTTAGAAACTTGTAATGTACCAAGAAACTGTTGCCGGTATCGGTTGGTACGATTACTGCCAACAGTTTATTTTATTTAAATGAGGAAGGATTGAGAACTGAAAATAAGTCTGAACCAGGGCTGCGTCCAGGTTCTCTGCAAACAATGTCTCTTTACACATGGTTCCTATGGCAACACACAACAGAACAGGGGAAATTCCTTTGTAACATTAGTTAGAACAAATTAGTACCAGTTCAGCCTGGGTAGAACCAGGACTAAGGGGGACTAAAGAAGGGCCTGGTACCAGTTCAGCAGATCCTGGAATCTTGAGTTGATCCGAGTCGGGTTGGTGGAAACAGGGCTAATGCTACAGCTGCATCTCCTCCTGCTGCGTCTCCAAAAATATGTAACTTCAATATGTTACGTTACTGTGACACCACTAGAAATGCACCAATCCAGCTTTTTCCAGATACTTTGTCTTCAATGTTTGTCCATAAATCATATGAACTGAGACCAGTGAAATCTGAGCCAAATAATCACAAATCAGTCCAATTGTGTTGATGTTTCTTTTGACTGAACCCGTATCATCAAACCATAACTACACACCGACAACCAATGCCAGTGTCGTAATAACCTGGAAGAGCCATGTTCCAGCTTCTTCCCTCTGGCAGAAGATACCGTTGGCTGCAGGACCTCTGGACATGCTACATGCTAACAAAGACTTGCAGACCCATCGTCCAAACCAAATCTCTCCTAAAGAAGAAGAAACTTTTAATGATCTTGTGTTAAAACCGTTTTTGTTGGTTTCACAGTGATGCTTATTTCTGTACTTTTTAGTTTGTTTTATTCCTGTATTTGTCTGTGGACTCTCGCACATGTATTCCACTGTGGTTTTACTGCAAATGGCAAATAAAACTGAATCTGTGTCTGTTTTGGTGCATCCCTAAACACAATATTACAAGAGTTTAAAAGACAAAGCTTTACAGTCGCAGCTGCCCCACTGAGGCTCCCGGTGTTCCCCCAGGTCTCCCATCACAGTACTAACCAGGCCCTGCCCTGCTTAGCTTCAGCAGAGGCCTGACAGGATTTGCAGCTCCCAGTGTGAGTGTCTTTCCCGTGATCCTCCCCTCGGGGCTGGGTCTAGAACTGATGACGATATTCAAAAACATGTGGCGAAGGGAAAGAAGGACCGACTTAGGATTTGATCTAATAACCTTCTGATTTATTTCCCACTGAGTTGTTTTGCTGCTTCTGGAACTCACATGTTTTTGTCCAGACGGATTTGGTCCAAGGGAGGTTTGGAAAAGTAGAGGAAAGGGAAAAAAAAATGCAATAAACGTAAATAAAGCTGAGGTACCTGACTTTCAAAGCACAACATCTGAACGTGTGGAACAGAACCCAACACAACATGTAAAATAAAATACACCGGAAGGATGTGGGACCAGTGCACCAGGTTCTAACCCCAAGACCAGGTTCTGATCCAAAGACCGACCAGGTTCTAACCCCAAGACCAGGTTCTGACCCAAAGACCGACCAGGTTCTAACCCCAAGACCAGGTTCTAACCCCAAGACCAGGTTCTGACCCAAAGACCGACCAGGTTCTAACCCCAAGACCAGGTTCTAACCCCAAGACCAGGTTCTAACCCCAAGACCAGGTTCTGACCCCAAGACCGACCAGGTTCTGACACCAACACCAGGTTCTAACCCCCAACACCAGGTTCTGACCCCAACACCTGCAGGTTCTGACCCCAACACCAGGTTCTGACCCCAACACCTGCAGGTTCTGACCCCAACTCCAGGTTCTGACCCCAACTCCAGGTTCTGACCCCAACACCAGGTTCTGACCCCAACACCTGCAGGTTCTGACCCCAACACCAGGTTCTGACCCCAACACCTGCAGGTTCTGACCCCAACTCCAGGTTCTGACCCCAACTCCAGGTTCTGACCCCAACACCAGGTTCTGACCCCAACACCTGCAGGTTCTGACCCCAACACCAGGTTCTGACCCCAACACCTGCAGGTTCTGACCCCAACTCCAGGTTCTGACCCCAACACCAGGTTCTGACCCCAACACCTGCAGGTTCTGACCCCAACTCCAGGTTCTGACCCCAACACCTGCAGGTTCTGACCCCAACTCCAGGTTCTGACCCCAACTCCAGGTTCTGACCCCAACACCAGGTTCTGACCCCAACACCAGGTTCTAGCATAGCACATGTAGCCGTTAGCAGCTAACACTGTTTTTCTGTTTATTTCAACGTTTCTTTCTTTTGTGGTTTGAGAATTAGGTACCCCAGCTTTAAGTTCTTAGTTTCTGCTTGTTGCTTGTTCATTCTTCATGTCTTCATGTGATGTTCCGTCAGCAGGTATCCAGAGGCTGAAGACAAAGTAAAGTGTGTTAGCTTAACAATAAAACAGTGTGTTAGCTTAGTGATAAAGTATAGAGTGTTAGCTTGGAGCGCTAGGTCTGCTGCCTCTGCACACACACCGCTTTGTTCTGTTTTCTTAAGAAATGTAAAAATAAGTGTTGCCTACCCCGGTCCCCCTCAGGGCCCCCCGACTCACCCCGGCTCAGAGCAGCACACAGGACTTGGGGGGTCTGAAGGGGTTGTCGCTGGACGGGACCCCGGTGAGGAGGGGGTCTTTGTGGGCGTTTTGGAGGCAGAAGGTCTTCAGCTCTGCAGCCGCCTGAGACACCTGCAACACATCCACACGTTATGGTCCTCGTGGCTCCCTCTCTCTGGTCTCTCTCTCTGGTCTCTCTCTGGTCTCTCTCTGGTCTCTCTCTCTGGTCTCTCTCTCTCTCTGGTCCCTCTCTCTGGTCCCTCTCTCGGGTCTCTCTCTCGGGTCTCTCTCTCAGGTCTCTCTCTCTCCGGTCTCTGGTCTCTCTCTCTTCGGTCTCTCTCTCTGGTCTCTCTCTCTCTCTGGTCTCTCTCTGGTCTCTCTCTGGTCTCTCTCTCTCTCTGGTCTCTCTCTCTGGTCTCTCTCTGGTCTCTCTCTCTCTCTGGTCTCTCTCTCTGGTCTCTCTGGTCTCTCTCTGGTCTCTCTCTGGTCTCTCTCTCTGGTCTCTCTCTCTGGTCTCTCTCTGGTCTCTCTCTGGTCTCTCTCTCTGGTCTCTCTCTGGCCTCTCTCTCTGGTCTCTCTCTCTGGTCTCTCTCTGGTCTCTCTCTCTGGTCTCTCTCTCTGGTCTCTCTCTCTGGTCTCTCTCTGGTCTCTCTCTCTGGTCTCTCTCTCTCTGGTCTCTCTCTGGTCTCTCTCTCTGGTCTCTCTCTGGTCTCTCTCTGGCCTCTCTCTCTGGTCTCTCTCTCTGGTCTCTCTCTCTGGTCTCTCTCTGGTCTCTCTCTCTCTCTGGTCTCTCTCTCTGGTCTCTCTCTGGTCTCTCTCTCTCTCTGGTCTCTCTCTCTGGTCTCTCTCTGGTCTCTCTCTCTGGTCTCTCTCTCTGGTCTCTCTCTGGTCTCTCTCTCTGGTCTCTCTCTGGTCTCTCTCTCTCTGGTCTCTCTCTCTGGTCTCTCTCTCTGGTCTCTCTCTCTGGGCTCTCTCTCTGGTCTCTCTCTGGTCTCTCTCTCTGGTCTCTCTCTGGTCTCTCTCTCTGGCCTCTCTCTCTGGTCTCTCTCTGGCTCTCTCTCTGGTCTCTCTCTGGTCTCTCTCTCTGGTCTCTCTCTCTCTGGTCTCTCTCTGGCCTCTCTCTCTGGTCTCTCTCTCTCTCTGGTCTCTCTCTCTCTCTGGTCTCTCTCTCTGGTCTCTCTCTGGTCTCTCTTTCTCTCTAGTCTCTCTCTGGTCTCTCTCTCTGGTCTCTCTCTGGTCTCTCTCTGGTCTCTCTCTGGTCTCTCTCTGGTCTCTCTCTCTGGTCTCTCTCTGGTCTCTCTCTCTCTCTGGTCTCTCTCTGGTCTCTCTCTCTGGTCTCTCTCTGGTCTCTCTTTCTCTCTAGTCTCTCTCTGGTCTCTCTCTCTGGTCTCTCTCTGGTCTCTCTCTGGTCTCTCTCTGGTCTCTCTCTCTGGTCTCTCTCTGGTCTCTCTCTCTGGTCTCTCTCTGGTCTCTCTCTCTGGTCTCTCTCGTCTGGTCTCTCTCTGGTCTCTCTCTCTGGTCTCTCTCTCTCTGGTCTCTCTCTCTCTGGTCTCTCTCTCTGGTCTCTCTCTCTGGTCTCTCTCTGGTCTCTCTCTCTGGTCTCTCTCTCTCTCTGGTCTCTCTCTCTCTGGTCTCTCTCTCTGGTCTCTCTCTCTGGTCTCTCTCTGGTCTCTCTCTCTGGTCTCTCTCTGGTCTCTCTCTCTCTGGTCTCTCTCTCTCTGGTCTCTCTCTGGTCTCTCTCTCTGGTCTCTCTCTGGTCTCTCTCTCTCTGGTCTCTCTCTCTCTGGTCTCTCTCTGGTCTCTCTCTCTCTGGTCTCTCTCTCTCTGGTCTCTCTCTGGTCTCTCTCTGGTCTCTCTCTCTGGTCTCTCTCTGGTCTCTCTCTGGTCTCTCTCTCTGGTCTCTCTCTCTCTGGTCTCTCACAGCACTCACAGAGACCGCTCTGTGCAAACCAGGAAGTTACTCTGTGATGTCACAACATTTACTTTACAAGAAAACCACAGAATAACTTGTGAAACAGGTCTCAGTGGGTTTGGAAAAACAAGAAACAAATATCTTCACATTTATCAAAGCATTCACACAAATACATTTTAACAGCAAAATTCTTTATTTGCTAGTTTAGTGTTTATGTTTTGAGCCCGAGCGTCATGGCGGACGTACGGAGCAGCGGAGGAGAAACAGGAGACTGTATCAGACACAAACACGGTCTTTTTGGAGGAAGTAATATAAATATAAAAATGTAGCTTTATCTCTTTTTAAAACCAGATCAAGGAACATTTAGACCAGGAACATGTTTTGACAGCATTAGTAAAAAGTAAAAAAAAAAAAAAATCAATCAAAGGTTATAATTGACAATAGTCGAGTACTAAAAGAATCGGAGGTGCAGCAATATAGGTTTTCAGCTTTATGTTTAGAAAAATATATATAAATAAATTGAATAAGTAAAACATTATGTACGCAGTAAAACAATAAAATACCAGTTATCCAATTTAAAAATAATAGTAAAACTGAAAACAATGAAATAAAACAGATACCACACAACTCTTGCGGTGTTAAAAGAGTAAAAAATGTCTTAAAAGCAGATTTACAACATTCCTTTTCCTCAGATGAGCAGCACGCGCATCGGCGGCATCAGAAATATCACACACTTCCTTCTTCACATTTACCTTTAGTGACATTCAATATTTACCTATTTTTACACTTAAAAAGATCTTAACATAAAACTTGGCCAAACTTGTAGCTTCTCTGTCTGATATAAAGTCATTTATAAAAGTACTAGAAAGTACTTTTAGAACGACTTCGGACGCAGCCTCGGGAGAAGGAGCGCTGTACTTTATTTGAACAGTGTATAATTAAGCATTAACACAAAGGAGAGATGTAGCAGGTCATAGCAAAGATGCTACTGTCCAGCTGTGGTCCTTGAGCTGATGCTACAGATGAATCTTACTCTAATGTGGACAGATACATGACCGTGTCTTGCATTTACAGACTTTTCAACAAGAAAATCTCAAAACAATTCACCCAATCTTCAAACGGTGGCTGAGTGGATAGCACTCTCGCTTCTCAGCAAGAAGGTCCTGGGGTTCCAATCCCGGTTGGAACAGGGTCTTTCTGAGTGGAGTTTGCATGTTCTCCCCGTGTCTGCGTAGGTTTCCTCCGGGTGCTCCGATTTCCCCTACCACTAAAAACATGTACAATAGGTCTGTGCCTCCTGTACTGGCCCCTCCCATCTCCGCACGGCGCGACAGACTAATGCCCACAATTGTAAACCGCTTTGACTCTTGTCTGTGAAAGGAGCTATATAAAAAACATTTCTACTACTTACTACAAGCCAATAAATACTACTTCTGTATTTCTCTTGGACATTAAACAGATAATTACTTTTTATCTCACCACAACCATGAAGCTGATTTCCCGTCGCTCCTGTGCTGTGGTCGTGGATAAACGTGTATAATGGATAAAGATATCAAACAATCGCCATGGTAACATCTAACATGTTAATTGCCTGATTGAGCAGATGCTTTGTAAAGAGCACTTTTGGGCCTCACAATTTCCAGCCGTTATGACAACTTTGATTTCATGGTATTTATTCAGTTCTCAGGCTCCATATTACTGCTGTCGTAATGAACACTGACATGCACATATTTTAGCCAAATTAAGGATGTTTAAAGCGCTAATGCACACCAGCTGCTGTCCCATGCAAATGCACGTTAGCCGCATGCTAATAGCCCACTTTGTAACCAGGACCTGGGCACACACATCTGCTACTGACGCTGCAGAGATGGAAACGCCTTTCTGCACTTTTATTTATCCCATTTAGAAGAAAAGATTACAGTTATTTCACACCGGTAAGAAGCTACGGCTGTTTTCCCTCATTTATTCCAAAAAAAGAAAAGAATGGATAATCCTCCTAGCTCCATCTCGCACTTGAATCTCACAACTACTTTGGAGCCGTCTCTGTTCTATTGACTTTGAAATATTATCATTTTGCACAGCGTCTTTTGTTAAATTCATGCCCAGTGCGTCCCCAAAGTCTACAGTCCTTGTGCTTCAGAAATATTCGTATCTTTTGGCTTTCATAACCTTGGTATGTGCTCGGCGCCTCACCACACTGTCATTGTTTGAAATACAGAGATTAAAAGCACGGGTGGATCCTGAGGGGCTGAGCTCAGAAGCAAGAGAAGATCACAGTTCAGCAGCGTATGCAAAACCAGAGAGGAAGTGTTAAAGCTGGGGTCCCTGACTGTTGGTGTCAGACATCACCTGCTCTTGCTCCTGGCTGTCGCTGATTGAACTTTAGTTTGCATAAATAGGTCAGATAGGGAATTTACTAATGAGTTTTTAAATGTTCTTAATTACAAAACACTCTGGACCTTCATCACCTCTGGCCTGACAGGGGCTGCTGTGGTCTGTGTATAACCGCTGTTGTATGCTTTAACATCACTGGTTTTATTAAGCAAGACTTTTGTGAAATCTGTGAGAAAGACACAGCTCACCCTGAAGTGGCAGCAGAATGGACTCATTTTTATCTCGCCTCAAACACTTTGGCCTCAAATGGTTCACTTCTTATTTCACTGACAGAACATTAATGGTTTGTCTGGATTCCTGCTCCTCTCAGGTCCAGAGAGGTGTGGAGTGCCCCAGGGTTTGGTCTTTGGTCCAGTTCACTTTTTAACTTGTACATGCTCCTTCTTGGCGCTGTCATCAGGAGATATTAACAATACATTGTACTTATATTGCAGCCTACATTTCCACAAAAAAAGAAAAAAAAGTGCTACAGATTCAATTACAAAATACAACATCAACAGAACATAGAATTAGCTTCCATAGTTGAGCAGATGACACACAGCTGTACAGCTCCATTTAGACCAATGTGGGTTTTGTGGTTGGGTTGTTTGGTTAAAAACAAAAAAAAACTTTGTGTTTCATTATTTGCATAGAAAGCTATTTTGTATTTGTCTCCTTTAAAGAGCGACTAAACACCTGTGCCCAGCCTGACTCCGCCCACATGAAGATTTGAAAATTTTCTCTTAAAAGGGGGTTCCCTGAGGACCAAGGGACAAGAAAGGGGGCTTAGAGTTGGGCGTGGTCTGGGCTGTGATTGACAGCTCACTTGTCACACACAAGAACACAGACAGTTGTCGTTGCTGCTTAAAGCAATAGTTTACACACCTGAAAGTCTCATTCCATCCTTGTTTACACACTAAGATAATTGTAGAGCCACACACCTGCACCTAATGCACACAATTATCTCAGAATTACTCATGTAATTTAATTTTAGAATACTCCAACCTGCAGCTGGGGCGTGTGTGAGAGTTGAATGGGTTTATATCACTGGCGCAGACAGACGCACGTCACACACACCAACTGACGTCACACACACCAACTGACGTCACACGCACCAACTGACGTCACACACACCAACTGACGTCACACACACCAACTGACGTCACACACACCAACTGACGTCACACACACCAACTGACGTCACACACACCAACTGACGTCACACACACCAACTGACGTCACACACACACCAACTGACGTCATAGAGAATTTCAGAGTCAATGGAGAGGCCAGAACCAAACTCAAATGTAGTACCACCAAAAAAGGTAGAGAGGGCGCCACACAGACATTTTTTGGCTCAAAAGTGATATTTTATCTAATTTGAACTATTTAATTTGTCAATAAAATGGCCAGAATATGTAGAGAGCACTACAATTAACATATTTATGCAGTTTATGAGTTAAAAAAAAGTTGATTTGGTGTTTAGTCGCTCTATAAAGTCTTCCCGTAATCGAGCTTTGGACGCCGCCATAGCTCTCCTCTCAGTGCTCTCAGAGTGAGGCCCAGCTGCAGAGTGTGTAATGTGTTATTAGTGAAACCCAAACTTCTGTAACGTGACATTTCTCACATGTACAAAGCTCTGCCTTTATTCCCTCCTCTCGTACAAAGCACATAAATTACACCAAACCTCAGCAGAGGCTGATCTCAGGTTAAATTCCCTAAATTGCCTGTCACCAGGAGCAGCGCTGACAGACCGTCCTCTCCGCTCTCTATTATCCAAATGTCAGCAGCGGACTCTCGTTTGTCATACAGAGATAGTGTTCGCCGTAAACGTAGCATCACTTAGCCGCAGGTTTGAAGGGCAGCGTGTGTTTATGACCCGGGCGCACACACAGCCTTTCCACACCAACGAGGACGCCTGATTGGTCCAGGCTCCGATACAAAGGCTGAGAGAAAGAAGGTAATTGGTCCGTTTGATATCACAGAACAGAAATGAGATGATTTATAAAGTGGAGGATATTGCAGGGGCCGGTTGTCATGGTGATGGATGGAGGCATCGTCTGAGGACTGTTAGGGTTTGTGTTGTTTTGTCACATCAAAGGGCAGCGCTTAAAATGTGGCTATTACAGAAAAGATGGAACAGACAGAGTCCATCTGAAAGTCCTGGGTTGGTCTGGACCTCGGGGGTTCTCCTGACGACAGATATGTAGTTTAGGAGGAGTGGATTTTTAAGTATATTTCCAAACAGTGTTGGGAGACTTTAAAAACATAATGTGTTCCTGTTATTTCAAAGTAATGTGTTGCTACAATATTACTGTCTCTGATTGTAAAGCATTACTTTGAAGTTACTTTCCCCAAATTTATAAATACAACCTAAATGTAGCTTATGATGCTGTATATATAAATATATAAATACAAAGTAAATATAGAGCGTTTGGTTTGAAGGGCTCTCAAAATGATCGCGTAAACGCACGTTAATAAAAAAATGTCATTAATCGCGTAAAAAAGTTAACGCTTTCAACGTACGTACCGAATGCCCCGCCCATACATCCAGTAATAACACTCAGAACGCCGCGGACACGTGCGTGTGTGAGATGGCGACAGAGCAGGTCTCTGGGAATTCAAGTTAAAAAAGAACAGGTGCGTGACCGCGGGGCACTGCTGTTGTCTGCTCTGAACTGAACGAGTCTGCATCCTAGAGGAGGCCTTAGCTGAAGCGGGATGTGTCGAGCTGAAAAAATACTGTACATGTGTTCACTGTCATTTATCTGTCCATTCAAACAACCATTTACAGAAAAATATGGCATAATTTTGTTGATAGTTCAAAATGCAATTCATTACGATTAAAAAAATGTGATAGTTTGACAGCTCTAGTTTGAACATAAACTTAGAGGGGGCTGCAGAACCGGTCTGATGGAGCTCGGTGGGAGGGGGCTGCAGAACAGGTCTCGGTGGGAGGGGGCTGCAGAACAGGTCTGATGGAGCTCAGTGGGATGGAGCTGCAGAACAGGTCTGATGGTCCCGGGATTTCAATTTTGAGCCAATACTGAATCATACTCAGGAGAAAGAGGCAGTATCGATCCGTCCACTTGTAATGCATTAGAACTGTTAAAGCCTTTATACAGATGTTCTCCTCCTCTACTCTTCATGTGACATCATTCCAGAGACACTTTAGTTTCACTTTGTGGTGGAGGCCGACGGATAAACCTGTCCTTGTAACTACGGCAACTGTCAAAAGTGTTCTAGATTAGAGCTAATGTCTGTGTGGTTTCTGGGATTATTCACATGAAACAAAACATCTTCTTTGTGAACCTCCCGTGGTTCAGGAACTTCAGGAAATGTCCACATAAACTTTGAAGTTAAAGGAGAATTATCGACTTCCGGGTGGATCATCAAGACTGTTGGTCCTCCCAAACATTCCTTAACCCTTCCTCGTCCGCTCTCTGGGTCTGGGTCTAAACATCCCCTTAAGTTCCCCATTTCTGGGTTGGGGGTGGCAGTCAGAGCACCAGTCCCTCACTGATCCACACGCTCCTCATGCTCCTCACTGATCCTCCTACTCCTCCTGGTCCTCACTGCTCCTCACTGCTCCTCCTGGTCCTCACTGCTCCTCCTGGTCCTCACTGATCCTACTGCAGGAGGTGAGTCCACAGGAGGCTGCTGTCAGTGAGAGCATAGCAATGATCTTTTAGCGGGGGCTGCAGGCAAAGTGGGGTTAAGTGTCTTGCTCAAGGACACAACAACTGCAAATATCAGTAGGAGTTGATGGAGAAGCTCTCTTGGTGGGATCGAACCCACAACCTTCAGGCTCAAAGGCCAATGCTCTAAGAACTGAGCCACTGTCGTCCCAAGAATTGAACAGAATTGAAATAATATGACGGCATGTTTCATCAAACCTCAGCTCAGCAACAGAAGATGAAGTGTCTCCAACTTGAGCCGAAAGCGACGTGTTTTCACTGTTTTTTGAAGCATAAAAGAGTTTAATCTTGACTCTCGCACACTCTCTTTGTATCAAACTGCAACACGTCTTTAGAAATCTCTCCGACAGCTTTGGTGCTAAAACGCTCCATATTTCTGCAGCGACACCTGAACTCTTTCAGTTTGTTTACTGTGAAGATCACTAAGAGCAGCTTTTCACACCGAGAGAGCAGGTTGGACACAGTCTCCCACCCGACTCGGGCTAATGACTGAACATACGTCTGGACGGAGCTGAAATATGGATCAAAGAAAAGAGGAGCTGTCAATCAGAGCCGTCAGGCAGAGCTCGGCTCTGCACTTCTGACACAGATGGTTTATATTCACTGCGGCTCTTCGTGTTTGTGTGAGAATGACGTAAACAGGCCACGATGATTGAGAGCATGTCTTCACACTCAGGAAAACTGCTTTATCTTTGGATAATTTGGTTCATTTACGTCCAGAATGTCAAGGAAAACTGAATGTATATAATTCTGTATGTGACCTCCTGGACCTGGACCTGGACTGGAGCCCCTGACTCAGACCAGTTTGTCCATGGGACTGGATCAATCTCTCTGTGGATCTCTCCATGTTTCTGTCTCTCTCGGGTTTCTTTAGTTTGCCTCGAGCTGTCACCGCCTCGTAACTCCACTCACTCTAATCTTTTGTTAGACAAAAACACTCATAAGCAGGAAGTACCGTTGGCCAATCAGAGAACAGAGGTAAAGCCATGTCATGGGTCCCCCCGAGGTTTCTTGTTTTCTCTCTGTGTTTGTAGAGTAGTTTCTCTGATGCAGAGGCTCTGAGTCAGAGAGGATCAGGACTCTCACATGAACCACATTTACAGACAGAGGTCTCTGCTCCTCATGGACCAATGTCTCTGCGTGTTTATCCTTACATGTATGTGTTCGAACAGTTTGATCCTCTGATCTGTGTTGTGTAAAGTCTTCTGAGAGAAGTGTATTAAAGGCACAGGTCTGAGATTTCCACAGTCGCATTAAATCATCTTCTTTTGTTATGTTCGGATCTGAAACAAATCTCTGTTCACGGTTGGAGGTCTTCTCCTGGAGGAGTCGTGTGCGTTCTTCTTTATGTGTGTGTCTGTGTGTGTGTGTCTGTCTGTGTGTGTGTCTATCTGTGTGTGTGTGTGTGTGTCTGTCTGTGTGTGTGTGTGTGTAACGTGAGGTACCCTTAGGTTCCCACCCCTAATAGAGAGACCAGAGAGGGACCAGAAAGAGAGACCAGAAATAGAGGCCAGAGAGAGGCCAGAGAGAGACCAGAGAGAGACCAGAGAGAGACCAGAGAGAGACCAGACAGAGACCAGACAGAGACCAGAGAGAGACCAGAGAGAGACCTGAGAGAGACCTGAGAGAGACCAGAGAGAGACCAGAGAGAGACCAGACAGAGACCAGAGAGAGACCAGACAGAGACCAGAGAGAGACCTGAGAGAGACCAGAGAGAGACCAGAGAGAGACCAGAGAGAGACCAGACAGAGACCAGACAGAGACCAGACAGAGACCAGAGAGAGACCAGACAGAGACCTGAGAGAGACCAGAGAGAGACCAGAGGGCTCCTTTCCCTCTCATGGTGACCTGTTGAAGTGTTGTTGTGAGTTAAGCACTTGGAGCTCCTTCAGTGCAGCGTGTGGGCGACTGCTCCTCGGATCACGTTCCAAACCTCCTACGCTGACAGGACCCTGAGAGGGGCCTCAAGCCCAGTCCAGGACCTGGCCCTGTCCCTGGACCCGGACCTGGACTGGGCTCCTGAGTCCACAGAGACAGAGGAGCAGGAGCTGAGTCCAAAATCAGACTTCACACATTGATGAGAGTTCACCCGGACACCAGTGTGTGGTCTGTTCTGTCTGAGGCAGAGACCAGAGAGAGACCAGAGAGAGACCAGAGAGAGGCCAGAGGGAGACCAGAGAGAGACCAGAGAGAGACCAGAGAGAGCCCAGAGAGAGACCAGAGAGAGACCAGAGAGAGACACACACATCTGTGTGTCTTCACTGTTCACTGGAGGTTGTGTTTGTTTTGCAGATGGAGAAATCATTAATCAGATTAAAATGTCCAATCTGGCTCTGGCTGAGATCAAAGAACTTCTGAAGGAGCAGGTGAGACACTTTACACCTCTGTCTCTGCAGGTGAACGGGACAGTGGGCTTTAAAGCTGGGCGACGTAACTTCATAGTGTGAGGGTTTCCTCCTATAGCCTGGTCTTATTCATCCGTACACTCTGTTAAATCATCATGTCCTGCATGTAACGTCTGGGTCTGGTCCCTGTGTTAGAGATTACAATCGGTTGAATTTCGACCGACCAATCAGAGAGCGCGGGAGGCGGGTGTTGTAGTTAGATGTGGGTGAGGTCAAGAGTTTGCGTTGAACGGGCAGGTTGTAGTTTGGCGAAGAATGTGACAGTAAAGTATTCTGTTCTGGTTCTATCAAGAAACTGAAACCGGAGCAAGAAGAATGTTTAGCAAATGTAATCGCGGGAAAAAATTGTGGCGCTACTCCCCACGGGCTCCGTTAGTGGCAAAGGAGATGGCTAAAGCTAGGCTAAATGCTAAATGCTAACAACAGACTTAGGCGCACTTCATACGTCACAGTAAACTCAGATCCAATCGTTTCAATCTGCAGTTAACCCCTCCCACCTGTTCACGGAGTCAATGGAGCGCCTCCTTAGTACGAGATGTAATTAGTACTATGGTGTGGCACGACCAGGCTAGTTTCCTCCAGCTGCTAAAGAAAAACATGAATATAATTATTGATACATTTATTAAATAAAGAATAACTGTATTTTCAGATCAAAGAAATAATTTTCCTGAAGAACACGGTGATGGAGTGTGAAGCCTGCGGTGAGTGTCGTCTGTGACCAGAACCATGTGACCAGAACCATGTGACCAGAACCATGTAACCAGAACCATGTGACCAGAACTATGTGACCAGAACCATGTGACCAGAACCATGTGACCAGAACCATGTGACCAGAACCATGTAACCAGAACATGTGACCAGAACCATGTGACCAGAACCATATGACCAGAACCATGTGACCAGAACCATGTGACCAGAACCATGTGACCAGAACCATGTGACCAGAACATGTAACCAGAACATGTGACCAGAGCCATATGACCAGAACCATGTGACCAGAACCATGTGACTAGAACCATATGACATTTGTTTTTATTTGGATGAAACCAGAGAAAACTGAGACCTGGGGGATGGAGACTTTTGATCATGGTCAGAAGATGAGATTCTAACCTCATTAACATAATTATTTCATAAACAGCTGCACACGACAATCAGCAACGAGAGGAAGGTTTTTCATAATCAACGTGTGTCTGTGTGTGTGTGTGTGTGTGTGTGTGTGTGTGTGTGTGTGTGTGTGTCTGTGTGTGTGTGTGTGTGTGTGTGTGTGTGTGTGTGTGTCTGTGTGTGTCTGTGTGTGTGTCTGTGTGTGTCTGTGTGTGTCTGTGTGTGTGTGTGTGTATACTACTTGTGTGTGTCTGTGTGTGTGTGTCTGTGTGCGTGTGTGTGTGTGTCTGTGTGTGTCTGTGTGTGTCTGTGTGCGTGTGTGTGTGTGTCTGTGTGTGTGTGTGTCTGTGTGCGTGTGTGTGTGTGTGTCTGTGTGTGTCTGTGTGTGTGTGTCTGTGTGCGTGTGTCTGTGTGCGTGTGTATACTACTTGTGTGTGTGTAGGTATGGGAGGCCTCCAGGTGCGTCCCTCCTGTGAGCCTAACCCCTGCCACCCTGGGGTGCAGTGCTCGGTGACATCACAGGGGGTGAAGTGCGGCTCGTGTCCCGAGGGAACAGAAGGGAACGGCACACACTGCTCTGACGTCGACGAGGTACAGGCACCATGTGCACCCTCCCATAGTCCCTGCTTTCTGGTCCCAGTTCTCCGTCCTGCCCTGTTACAAAGTTCTCTCTGGTCTCTCTAGCCTGAATCTGGTCTCCTGGTCTCTGGGCCTGGTCGCACTCTGGTCTCTGGTCCCTCTATGGTCCCTAACCCTGGTCCCTCTCTGGTCCCTAACCCTGGTCTCTCTCTGGTCCCTAACCCTGGTCTATCTCTGGGCCCAGGTTTCCAACCCTGGTCCCTCTCTGGTCCCTAACCCTAGTCCCTCTCTGGTCCCTGGTCTCTCTCTGGTCCCTAACCCTGGTCTCTCTCTGGTCCCTAACCCTGGTCTCTCTCTGGTCCCTAACCCTGGTCCCTCTCTGGTCACTAACCCTGGTCTCTCTCTGGTCACTAACCCTGGTCTCTCTGGTTCCTTACCCTGGTCCCTCTCTGGTCCCTGGTCTCTCTCTGGTCTCCCTCTGGTCCCTAACCCTGGTCCCTCTCTGGTCCCTAACCCTGGTCTCTCACTGGTCCCTGGTCTCTCTCTGGTCACTAGTCTCTTTCTGGTCACTAGTCTCTCTCTGGTCCCTGGTCCCTATCTGGTCCCTAACCCTGGTCTATCTCTGATCCCTGGTCCCTAACCCTGGTCCCTCTCTGGTCCCTGGTCTCTCTCTGGTCCCTCTCTGGTCCCTAACCCTGGTCTCTCTCTGGTCCCTAACCCTGGTCCCTCTCTGGTCACTAACCCTGGTCCCCCTCTGGTCCCCCTCTGGTCCCTGGTCTCTCTCTGGTCCCTCTCTGGTCCCTAACCCTGGTCCCCCTCTGGTCCCTGGTCTCTCTCTGGTCCCTAACCCTGGTCCCTCTCTGGTCCCTGGTCTCTCTCTGGTCTCCCTCTGGTCCCTAACCCTGGTCCCTCTCTGGTCCCTGGTCTCTCTCTGGTCTCCCTCTGGTCCCTAACCCTGGTCCCTCTCTGGTCCCTGGTCTCTCTCTGGTCTCCCTCTGGTCCCTAACCCTGGTCCCTCTCTGGTCCCTGGTCTCTCTCTGGTCTCCCTCTGGTCCCTAACCCTGGTCTCTCTCTGGTCCCAGTGCTCGGTCCTGCCCTGTCACATGGGAGTGCGCTGCATAAACACGTCCCCAGGGTTCCGTTGTGGGTCGTGTCCCGCTGGGTTCTCCGGTCCTCAGGTCCAGGGTCTGGGTCTGGCCTATGCCCGAGCCAACAAACAGGTGAGAGTCCAGACCTGAAGCTGTGTTTTCTCTCTCTCTCTCTCTGGTCTCTCTCTGGTCTCTCTTTCTCTCTGGTCTCTCTCTGGTCTCTCTCTCTGGTCTCTCTCTGGTCTCTCTCTGGTCTCTCTCTGGTCTCTCTCTCTGGTCTCTCTCTGGTCTCTCTCTCTGGTCTCTCTCTGGTCTCTCTCTCTGGTCTCTCTCGTCTGGTCTCTCTCTGGTCTCTCTCTCTGGTCTCTCTCTCTCTGGTCTCTCTCTCTCTGGTCTCTCTCTCTGGTCTCTCTCTCTGGTCTCTCTCTGGTCTCTCTCTCTGGTCTCTCTCTCTCTGGTCTCTCTCTCTCTGGTCTCTCTCTCTGGTCTCTCTCTCTGGTCTCTCTCTGGTCTCTCTCTCTGGTCTCTCTCTGGTCTCTCTCTCTCTGGTCTCTCTCTCTCTGGTCTCTCTCTGGTCTCTCTCTCTGGTCTCTCTCTGGTCTCTCTCTCTCTGGTCTCTCTCTCTCTGGTCTCTCTCTGGTCTCTCTCTCTCTGGTCTCTCTCTCTCTGGTCTCTCTCTGGTCTCTCTCTGGTCTCTCTCTCTGGTCTCTCTCTGGTCTCTCTCTGGTCTCTCTCTCTGGTCTCTCTCTCTCTGGTCTCTCACAGCACTCACAGAGACCGCTCTGTGCAAACCAGGAAGTTACTCTGTGATGTCACAACATTTACTTTACAAGAAAACCACAGAATAACTTGTGAAACAGGTCTCAGTGGGTTTGGAAAAACAAGAAACAAATATCTTCACATTTATCAAAGCATTCACACAAATACATTTTAACAGCAAAATTCTTTATTTGCTAGTTTAGTGTTTATGTTTTGAGCCCGAGCGTCATGGCGGACGTACGGAGCAGCGGAGGAGAAACAGGAGACTGTATCAGACACAAACACGGTCTTTTTGGAGGAAGTAATATAAATATAAAAATGTAGCTTTATCTCTTTTTAAAACCAGATCAAGGAACATTTAGACCAGGAACATGTTTTGACAGCATTAGTAAAAAGTAAAAAAAAAAAAAAAATCAATCAAAGGTTATAATTGACAATAGTCGAGTACTAAAAGAATCGGAGGTGCAGCAATATAGGTTTTCAGCTTTATGTTTAGAAAAATATATATAAATAAATTGAATAAGTAAAACATTATGTACGCAGTAAAACAATAAAATACCAGTTATCCAATTTAAAAATAATAGTAAAACTGAAAACAATGAAATAAAACAGATACCACACAACTCTTGCGGTGTTAAAAGAGTAAAAAATGTCTTAAAAGCAGATTTACAACATTCCTTTTCCTCAGATGAGCAGCACGCGCATCGGCGGCATCAGAAATATCACACACTTCCTTCTTCACATTTACCTTTAGTGACATTCAATATTTACCTATTTTTACACTTAAAAAGATCTTAACATAAACTTGGCCAAACTTGTAGCTTCTCTGTCTGATATAAAGTCATTTATAAAAGTACTAGAAAGTACTTTTAGAACGACTTCGGACGCAGCCTCGGGAGAAGGAGCGCAGGTCACGTGATCAATAAAAGTTAGTTTTTCAAAATGTCCGCTCGTCCTTTACCTTTATCCTGTGGACACTGGCCTCGAAGCGCAGCTGCTTCACCGCCTTCTGGGCCATGACCAGGCCGCTGTTGGGGCCTCCGCTGCTGGACATGTCTCTGTGAGAGTCCGCTCTGTCTGCGGGACCCGCGGAGTCACATCCGCCCCACTCCTTCACAATAATGAGGGAGCAGTGATGAGGCCTGAGGGGCTCAGGGAGGGGCTGAGGGTCTGAGGGAGGGGCTGAGGGGCTAAAGGTCTGAGGGAGGGTCTGAGGGGCAGAGGGTCTGAGGGAGGGGCTGAGGGAGGGGCTGAGGGAGGAGCTGAGGGGCTAAAGGTCTGAGGGAGGGTCTGAGGGGCAGAGGGTCTGAGGGAGGGGCTGAGGGGCTAAAGGTCTGAGGGAGGGTCTGAGGGGCAGAGGGTCTGAGGGAGGAGCTGAGGGGCTAAAGGTCTGAGGGAGGGTCTGAGGGGCAGAGGGTCTGAGGGAGGGGCTGAGGGAGGAGCTGAGGGGCTAAAGGTCTGAGGGGCAGAGGGTCTGAGGGAGGGGCTGAGGGGCTAAAGGTCTGAGGGAGGGGCAGAGGGTCTGAGGGAGGGGCTGAGGGGCTAAAGGTCTGAGGGAGGGTCTGAGGGGCAGAGGGTCTGAGGGAGGGGCTGAGGGGCTAAAGGTCTGAGGGAGGGGCAGAGGGTCTGAGGGAGGGGCTAAAGGTCTGAGGGTGGGTGTGTCAGAATCTGAGGAGCTGAGGGAGGGTCTGACTGAGGGGCTGAGGGTCTGAGATATACATACTTTTGATCCCCCCGAAGGAGAAATTCAGGTGTCCAGTAGCAGCAAAAAATAAAACACATTATAAAAACTTATGAGCCATATTTCAATAATATATAACATTTTGTCATGCTAACATATAAACGTGTTCACACACAACTATACTATACTGTACTGTACTATACTATACTGTACTATACTATACTGTACTATACTATACTGTACTATACTATACTGTACTATACTGTACTGTACTATACTATACTGTACTATACTATACTGTACTATACTGTACTATACTGTACTATACTATACTGTACTATACTATACTATACTGTACTATACTATACTGTACTATACTGTACTATACTATACTGTACTATACTATACTGTACTATACTGTACTATACTGTACTGTACTGTACTATACTATACTATACTATACTGTACTGTACTATATTCTACTATACTATACTGTATTGTACTGTACTATACTATACTATACTGTACTGTACTGTACTATACTGTACTGTACTATACTATACTATACTGTACTGTACTATATTCTACTATACTATACTATACTATACTGTACTGTACTATATTCTACTATACTATACTGTACTGTACTGTACTATACTATACTATACTATACTGTACTATACTATACTGTACTATACTATACTATACTGTACTATACTATACTATACTTGCTCCTTTTATATTAAAGCTAAAGATTTCATACTTGCTTCTTTATTATGCTGAAGTTAGAGATGTGATACTAGTATGTACAGTTGTTTGTCTTGTGCAGTGCCAGTGTTGCATCAGCAGTAACAGAACAGCAGCTGATGCAACACTGACATTTCCCTTCTGTGGGGCAAAGGATCTTCATTTTAATCTTAAACGGTACAAAAACCAACTGACATTATATTTTTACTTTTTGTTGTAATAAAAAAAAAGCGTTGCTTGTCAGTGAGCAACTTTCTTTTGGCCGTTCAGATTTGACATGAACAGAAGTGTCTCCTGCTGATGTCACGGAGCAGAGGAGAAAAACAAAACACTATTTAATGTAGTTTTGTTTTCAGCAATAATCAGTACATTACAGTATTTACATTACTTTTGTGTTACTCCCAACTCTGACCAGGTACCACAGGGGGGCGTCATCTGCACTTTAGCATGAGTCTGGTGTGTGTGTGAACGGTTGGTGGTGGGAGGGGCCGATGGCGCATACTGGTTGCCTCGCTTCTGTCAGTGTGCCCCAGGGCAGCTGTGGCTACAGTAGTAGTTTATCACCAGGTGAAGGAATGAGTGTGTATGAACCTTTTATTTTAGATGTTGTTTATTGTTGAGCCAAGATGTTTTGTTTATTTATTTTTTATTACTGCACATGACAAAGTACCTGAAGTTACATGTTTCCAAATGTCACATCTTTTTCAGACAGAAAAAGACACATGTTTATAATAAAATACAGACTGTGCTCTAGTTTGTGCTCGGACTTACACATGTTTATGACACAAACCAAAAACCACAAAGACCATAGATTCATAGTTCTGCCAGTGTGCACCCATGGTGCGTACCCGTGGTGCGTACGGCATGGTGCGTACCCGTGGTGCGTACGCATGGTGCGTACCCGTGGTGCGTACGCATGGTGCGTACCCGTGGTGCGTACCCGTGGTGCGTACCCGTGGTGCGTGCCCGTGGTGCGTACGCGTGGTGCGTACGCGTGGTGCGTGCCCGTGGTGCGTACCCGTGGTGCGTACCCGTGGTGCGTACCCGTGGTGCGTGCTCGCAGGAGGCGGAAGGTCCAGCAGATGGCGCTCTTTGACCCTTGTTGTGGTCCGGTTCTGCTTCCGGTGCTCGGGTCATTCTGAGCTCGGGCAGTGACAGTGTGAAGTTACAAAATGCTGTTACGAGTGAGTATTGGTTTTTATCCTTCTATTCTTCCACAAAGAAAGCCTGAGTTTAAATGATACTAGCATGTGTTAGCCTGTTAGCCTGTTAGCATCAGAGCATCATGGGAGCTAGCATGAGCCACATTAGCTTTTACCATAATAATCAGAATAATGACAGATGAACAGATGAAGTGTTGCCTGTGACATGCTCCGTGTGTCCGTGTCCTGCTCCTGTTCAAAGTTTAACATAAATCAGATAAAATGTGTATATGACAAGTTTAAATTCTTATTTATTTTTGTTGTTGAAGGTTAAAGTGTGTAGGACATGAGGTTCTTGTGTTTATGTCCCTTTTTAAACCCAAGAGCAGTCTTCTCTAATCTGTGCTTTAGATTTTTCTAATAAACAAGAACAAACGTTATTCAACCAGTCTTTGCTCTGCACAATCTTATTATGAAAACAAGTGACATGTAACATGGCCCATACAGGCCCATACAGGCCCATACAGGCCCATACAGGCCCATACGTTTTATACCATTGTATTCAGTCACTAATCAGAATCATTTATTAACGACCACACAACAAGTAGGTGGAAGGAATTTTCTTCCGGTAATTTAAACAATTAAATGTTATGTTCATATTTAAAAATGATATAAATGTGTTTTCTGTGACTGGCAGAAGCTGCTGCAGGCTGGGGGGGGGGTCCGCCACAGCCGCCCCCTGCACCACACTGCGGTCTGGAGGAGTCCCCTCATCCCCATCGTGGTGGAGCAGACGGTGAGCACAGACCAGAAACATACAGCTGCATGTACAGAAACATACAGCTGCATGTACAGAAACATACAGCTGCATGTACAGAAACATACAGCTGCATGTACAGAAACATACAGCTGCATGTACAGAAACATACAGCTGCATGTACAGAAGCATACAGCTGCATGTACAGAAACATACCAGCAGCATGTACAGAAGCATACACATCTACAGAAGCTAGCTGCATCTACAGAAACATACAGCTGCATGTGTCCAGAAAATACAGCTGCATGTACAGCGAGAACATACAGCTGCATGTACAGAAACATACAGCTGCATGTACAGAAGAATACAGCTGCATGTACAGAAGCATACAGCTGCATGTACAGAAACATACAGCTGCATGTACAGAAGCATACAGCTGCATGTGGAGCTCAGACTCAAACAACATCATCATGACTTAGGCCCTGTCCACACGAAGTCAAGCTCAGGCCTAAACGCAAAAATACTTTATCAATCCAGTGTATCGTCCATACGAGGCCGGCGTTTTGGGGGGGTGTAAACGAACATTTTTGAAACTAGGTCCCAGAGTGGAAAGATTTCAAAACTCCGTATATGCCGCTCCGTGGTTACTGCCTCTCCGCAATGTATCTGAGACGCTTGCGTCATCGCCCCGCCTCTTGTTAAAGCAGCATGCGCCGCACTCAGAAAATAATGACAACAACAATGTAGCTTGTTGGTTTTGTAATCCAGTGCGACCCGAAGCAACAGTTCAACCTCATCGTCCGTTCATACTAATGTAGTACCAGCTCGCCCACTCGCCATGTTGTCTGTTTACAAAATTCCGCGCATGCCCACGGAAGTTTGGGCTTGATCCCGTCATTGCGTCACAGCGCCACCAACAGGTCTGGCATAGTTTCACAGCGTTTTCAGGCGTATTGACTACATTCATATGGACGCACACATTTACTGAGCTAACTCCGTGTTTACAGAAAAAGTTTCTGAAATTATAAGCGTTTTGTCTTCGTGTGGATATAGCCTAAGTGTGTGTGTCTCTCTCTCTCTGTCTGTGTGTGTGTGTGTGTGTGTGTGTGTGTGTGTGTGTCTGTTTGTGTGTGTGTGTGTGTGTCTGTTTGTGTGTGTGTGTGTGTGTGTAGGGTCGGGGGGAGCGGGCCTATGACATCTACTCTCGGCTGCTGAGGGAGAGGATCATCTGTGTGATGGGACCAGTGAGTCACGTCTTTTATTTGATCCTAAACTTTTGGAATCTAGAAATCGGCTGCTGTTTTTAACTATGGTCCAGTTCTGTTTCAATACAAACACGTTCCCAATGAAAGGAACAATCATTTGTAAAAACACAAAAATAACAACAAATGCAAAAGATGTCAAAAAATAATAATAAAAAAAAAAAAAATCTTCTACGAATAAAATACTTGATCTACATATCATTCATGTTTTCTTCTGTCTGTAACATTTCCATCAGTATCTATATTATTAAACAACCTCTAATGTATTATTCTTTATTGCCTGTAACCAGGAAGTCACAAGCTAGACATTTTAGAATTTAAAAAGCATGTTTTAGCTGCATATATCTGAAATGAAAAATCAGCCTTTGGAATCTACCAAACAAAAAAAAACTGTGTCCTCAGATCGACGACTCCATCGCCAGTTTGGTGATCGCACAACTGCTCTTCCTCCAATCAGAGAGCAACAACAAACCCATCCACATGTACATCAACAGCCCAGGTACTTAAAGGAATAGTTCACCGTTTTTACATACTGACATATGTTCTTACCTTACCTTAGACTAGTTAATACGTACCTGTCTGGTCTTAGTCTGTGCGCTCTGTCATGCAAACGGAGCAAAAACGGGAGCACAACCGCAGCCTCCTCTGTATATTTTGTAGCACCAAAAGGTAGCTCCCACTAGAAGCTACCAAACTCTTCCAAGTGTTCCCTATTAAATGTATATAGTTACGTGACGTGTTACACTGCAAAGTATAGTAACACAGAATGTAACAGTCGATTTTCTCAGCGGATAAAACGGGTACTATATTGTGAGGCGTAGTAATCTGAGGTGCGCTACGTCCGCGCACTAACTTCTCTCCGGAGACTTCTCTCTCGCTCACTTCCGTCAATAGAAGCAGCGTGACTTGTAATACACACAGTAGCAGCGAGAGAGAAGTCTCCAGAGAGAAGTTAGTGCGCGGACGTAGCGCCCCTCAGATTACTACGCCTCACAATATAGTACCCGTTTTATCCGCTGAGAAAATCGACAGTTACATTTCTGTGTTACTATACTTTGCAGTGTAACACGTCACGTAACTATATACATTTAATATGGAACACTTGGAAGAGTTTGGTAGCTTCTAGTGGGAGCTACCTTTTGGTGCTACAAAATATACAGAGGAGGCTGCGGTTGTGCTCCCGTTTTTGCTCCGTTTGCATGACAGAGCGCACGGACTAAGACCAGACAGGTACGTATTAACTAGTCTAAGGTAAGGTAAGAACATATGTCAGTATGTAAAAACGGTGAACTATTCCTTTAAAGAACACCTACTGTGCACCTGTACACCTTAAATAACACCTACTGTGCACCTGTATGCCTTAAAGAACACCTACTGTGCACCTGTACACCTGAAAGAACACCTACTGTGCACCTGTACACCTGAAAGAACACCTACTGTGCACCTGTACACCTGAAAGAACACCTACTGTGCACCTGTACACCTGAAAGAACACCTACTGTGCACCTGTACACCTGAAAGAACACCTACTGTGCACCTGTACACCTTAAAGAACACCTACTGTGCACCTGTACACCTTAAAGAACACCTACTGTGCACCTGTATGCCTTAAAGAACACCTACTGTGCACCTGTACACCTTAAAGAACACCTACTGTGCACCTGTACGCCTTAAAGAACACCTACTGTGCACCTGTACACCTGAAAGAACACCTACTGTGCACCTGTATGCCTTAAAGAACACCTACTGTGCACCTGTACACCTGAAAGAACACCTACTGTGCACCTGTATGCCTTAAAGAACACCTACTGTGCACCTGTACACCTTAAAGAACACCAACTGTGCTCCTGTATGGTCACGTCTGTCTTCCTGGTCACATCTGTCCTGCTGTCCTGGTCACATCTGTATTGTGTGTAGGGGGCGTGGTGACCTCGGGGCTGGCCATCTACGACACCATGCAGTACATCCTGAACCCCATCTCCACCTGGTGTGTGGGGCAGGCGGCCAGTATGGGCAGTCTGCTGCTGGCCGCGGGGACCCCCGGCATGAGGCACTCTCTGCCCAACGCTCGCATCATGCTGCACCAGCCATCAGGGGGCACTAGGGTGAGCCGTCACTCTTACACTACTGTTTACTACATGCATCATGCTGCACCACCCAGCAGGGGGCGCTAGGGTGAGCGTCACTGTTACACCCCTGTTTAACGTCCTGTATGGTCTGTGGTTCAGGAACGTTTAGAGATGACTTAGAATAAGGTTTTTTAGTTCTTTTATACCAGACAATGGTAGATTACCTTCACATGTTTAAGAAACATGTCTAAGTAATAACATGTCCGTCCGTCCGTTTTCTTCCGCTTCATCCGTTGCCGGGTCGCGGGGGCAGCAGTCTAAGCTGAGACGCCCAGACTTCCCTATCCACACACACTTCCTCCAGCTCGTCCGGGGGGACCCCAAGGCGTTCCCAGGCCAGCTGAGAGACATAGTCCCTCCAGCGGGTCCTGGGTCTTCCCCGGGGCCTTTTCCCGGAACACCTCCCCAGGGAGGCGTCCAGGTACTTAAAGACCAGGTATTTAAAGACGGAGGAAGCTCATTTCGACCGCTTGTATCCACGATCTCGTTCTTTCGGTCATTACCCACAGCTCATGACCACAGGTGAGGGAGGGAACGAAGATTGACCGGTAAATCGAGAGCTTTGCCTTTCGGCTCAGCTCCCTCTTTACCACAACGGTCCGATACAGAGACCGCATCACTGCGCACGCTGCACCGATCCGCCTGTCAATCTCACGCTCCATCCTTCCCTCACTCGTGAACAAGACCCCGAGATACTTGAACTCCTCCACTTGAGGAAGGGCCTCTCCACCCACCCGGAGAGGGCAAGGCACCTTTTTCCGGTCGAGCACCATGGCCTCAGATTTGGAGGTGCTGATTCTCATCCCAGCCGCTTCACACTCGGCTGAAAACCGCTCCAGTGCATGCTGCAGGTCCTGGTTCGTTGGAGCCAGCAGGACGACATCATCCGCAAAAAGTAGAGATGAAATCCTGTGGTCCCCGAACCGGACCCCCTCCGGCCCCTGGCTGCGCCTAGAAATTCTGTCCATGAATACAGTGAACAGAACCGGTGACAAAGGGCAGCCCTGTCGGAGGCTCCCGCCAGTAATAACGTGTTAATTTACCACTGTCTGGTCCAGAAAAACCCAATAACTTCATGCTTGGTCTGTTTGGATTTGTCACAGGAACACACCCTCACAGAACACTCTGTGTTGAATCAGATCAGTTACATCAGTGATAGAGGCGACGGTCTGAGTCAATCCAACTATCAAGAAACTTAAGCAAGAGGAATGTTTAGTAAATGTCATTGAAGCAAAGATGTTGTGGCTCCCCATTAGTGGCAAAGGAGATGGCTAAAGCTAGGCTAAATGCTAAAGCTAGGCTAAATGCCTCACTCACTCGGGCTCATTACATAAGTCACAGTAAACTCAGATCCAATTGTTTCAATCTGCAAAAGGAGTTAACCCGTCCCACCTGTTAACAGAGTTAATGGAGCAGATCCAGACCTTAGTACAAATGAAATGAGTACCATTGTATGTTGTATGTGTTCAGGGCCAGGCCACAGACATTGCCATCCAGGCCGAGGAGATCCTGAAGCTAAAGCGACAGCTCAACCACATTTACGCCAAACACACGGGACAGCTCCTGGAGACCATCGGTGAGAACTCTCTCTGTCCAGTCTCTCTGTCCACTCTTACTGCTGCTTTATGTGTCTGAGTCCCAGGAACTAGAGTATTTCTCTCTGGTCTCTCTCTGGTCTCTGACGTGTACTTTCTCCTCCCTCCTGCAGAGGGCGTGATGGAGAGGGACCTCTACATGAGCCCGATGGAGGCGCAGGACTTTGGTATCGTGGATAAGGTCCTGGTGCACCCCCCTCAGGGGGGGCAGGACGAGCCGGAACTGGTCCAGAAGGAGCACCCCCAGACCACCCAGTCCCCAGAACCCCCCAGCACAGACCCCAGCCCGAGCGGTGCCAGCCCCCCCTCTTCCCACAAACCCGAGCCCTGACACCAACACAGACCTTCACACCATGAACTGTAGCTCGACACCAGAGAGAGGCTCAGGCAAAGACCTCTGCTCTGTTTGGACGGCCCATAATGATAACCTCTGCTCTGATTGGACGGCCCATAATGATAACACAGACCTCTGCTCTGATTGGACGGCCCATAATGATAACACAGACCTCTGCTCTGATTGGACGGCCCATAATAACACTCAGACCCGTGGAGTCCTGGAACTACAATCTCCAGTCATTTCTCCCTTCAGAGCTTTGGAAAGACAAAGCTGGTCCTGGTTCACTACATAGTAATAAATACAGTACATAATAAGTATTAGATAAATATGGGTTGTTATTTATGCTATAGTTGATTAGAAATAAATAAATGAAGAATGTTATTATTTGGGGCTGTTCTCTATTCTAAGAAGCAAAAACAGAATGTAGTAATTTTCAATCAACATTTTATAATAAAAAACCATGTGGGGCAGTGTGATATAAATACAAGTTATTTTGTCTGAGTCAAACGTTTCATGTGTTTGTCCACAGCTGATCTTTAACTTTGTCATTTCAAATAAATGTCATTTTTGGAGCAATGTTTTCTTAAGGAGTCACATGACCTGTAGTGACGTCACATGACCCTGTAGTGACGTCACATGACCTGTAGCGATAACATTATTGATCCCCGTAGAGAAATTCAGTAGCCTCTGGGTGGAGCAGGACAGGTCACAGCAGCAGAGGTGGAGTAGCCTCTGGGTGGAGCAGGACGGGTCACAGCAGCAGAGGTGGAGTAGCCTCTGGGTGGAGCAGGACGGGTCACAGCAGCAGAGGTTGGGGGGGGGTGGAGTAGCCTCTGGGTGGAGCAGGACGGGTCACAGCAGCAGAGGTGGAGTAGCCTCTGGGTGGATGCAGGACGGGTCACAGCAGCAGAGGTGGAGTAGTACCCTCTGGGTGGAACATTTTCTCTGCTCCTAGTCCAAAGTATAAAGCTGAATGGTTTATCAGCAATTTTCTAAAAGTTAGCATTCCTCCAGTGGATTTTCATCTGATCCACTTGGTTTGGACCATGAATCCTCTGCTCTGGTCTGGACCAGTGCAAAACCATGAACACTGTACTGCAGTCTCAGGTAGTAAAAATACAAAAGAGCAACTGTTTCAGAGACACTGGACTCGCAGCCATTTTCCAGCGCATTCAAAAGTAAACCTGTCACATGACCTGTAGTGATGTCACATGACCATCAGCCCCTCCCACCACAGATCACTCAGACTGGTGGCATGTGTTTAGGTAGTGGGAAACCCAGACACAGAGAGAACATGCAACATACGACCTGAGCATAGAACAAGTCTGACGTAATTGTGGAAATAAATGTTTGCCAGAAACGTAGAAAATATTTATTTAGAAAGTGTCAGAGCAGATGTGGACCATCACAGGGTCCATCACCTGCTTCTTACTGCAGTCCGCAGAAACATGTTTTACATTCAACACATTTCCCAAAAGTATTCAGTAGAAATGTTCTTGTTTCCAGAGTTTCTGCGGCGTTTTGAACTAAAGCAGGATCATGAAGCTCCTTTGTCAAAGTCCTGATCGTAGAAAACTTTTCTGAAATATAAAATGACCTTTCTCCTGAAACACTGACAAACATCATACGGAAACATATTCTGTTGTTTCAGGACCTTGGACAGTGGCAGTCACTTTTTGACTGCCCTGTTTCTCCAAGGTGCTGGGTGTGGTGCAAGTACCATAGCAACACACTGTTTACTTGAAGTCAAAATGACTGCTCTGAAAGGTCAAGTGGTCTCCAGAGAGAAGTTAGTGCGCGGACGTAGCGCCCCTCCCTCAGATTACTACGCCTCACAATATAGTACCCGTTTTATCCGCTGAGAAAATCGACAGTTACATTTCTGTGTTACTATACTTTGCAGTGTAACACGTCACGTAACTATATACATTTAATATGGAACACTTGGAAGAGTTTGGTAGCTTCTAGTGGGAGCTACCTTTTGGTGCTACAAAATATACAGAGGAGGCTGCGGTTGTGCTCCCGTTTTTGCTCCGTTTGCATGACAGAGCGCACGGACTAAGACCAGACAGGTACGTATTAACTAGTCTAAGGTAAGGTAAGAACATATGTCAGTATGTAAAAACGGTGAACTATTCCTTTAAAGAACACCTACTGTGCACCTGTACACCTTAAATAACACCTACTGTGCACCTGTATGCCTTAAAGAACACCTACTGTGCACCTGTACACCTGAAAGAACACCTACTGTGCACCTGTACACCTGAAAGAACACCTACTGTGCACCTGTACACCTGAAAGAACACCTACTGTGCACCTGTACACCTGAAAGAACACCTACTGTGCACCTGTACACCTGAAAGAACACCTACTGTGCACCTGTACACCTTAAAGAACACCTACTGTGCACCTGTACACCTTAAAGAACACCTACTGTGCACCTGTATGCCTTAAAGAACACCTACTGTGCACCTGTACACCTTAAAGAACACCTACTGTGCACCTGTACGCCTTAAAGAACACCTACTGTGCACCTGTACACCTGAAAGAACACCTACTGTGCACCTGTATGCCTTAAAGAACACCTACTGTGCACCTGTACACCTGAAAGAACACCTACTGTGCACCTGTATGCCTTAAAGAACACCTACTGTGCACCTGTACACCTTAAAGAACACCAACTGTGCTCCTGTATGGTCACGTCTGTCTTCCTGGTCACATCTGTCCTGCTGTCCTGGTCACATCTGTATTGTGTGTAGGGGGCGTGGTGACCTCGGGGCTGGCCATCTACGACACCATGCAGTACATCCTGAACCCCATCTCCACCTGGTGTGTGGGGCAGGCGGCCAGTATGGGCAGTCTGCTGCTGGCCGCGGGGACCCCCGGCATGAGGCACTCTCTGCCCAACGCTCGCATCATGCTGCACCAGCCATCAGGGGGCACTAGGGTGAGCCGTCACTCTTACACTACTGTTTACTACATGCATCATGCTGCACCACCCAGCAGGGGGCGCTAGGGTGAGCGTCACTGTTACACCCCTGTTTAACGTCCTGTATGGTCTGTGGTTCAGGAACGTTTAGAGATGACTTAGAATAAGGTTTTTTAGTTCTTTTATACCAGACAATGGTAGATTACCTTCACATGTTTAAGAAACATGTCTAAGTAATAACATGTCCGTCCGTTCGTTTTCTTCCGCTTCATCCGTTGCCGGGTCGCGGGGGCAGCAGTCTAAGCTGAGACGCCCAGACTTCCCTATCCACACACACTTCCTCCAGCTCGTCCGGGGGGACCCCAAGGCGTTCCCAGGCCAGCTGAGAGACATAGTCCCTCCAGCGGGTCCTGGGTCTTCCCCGGGGCCTTTTCCCGGAACACCTCCCCAGGGAGGCGTCCAGGTACTTAAAGACCAGGTATTTAAAGACGGAGGAAGCTCATTTCGACCGCTTGTATCCACGATCTCGTTCTTTCGGTCATTACCCACAGCTCATGACCACAGGTGAGGGAGGGAACGAAGATTGACCGGTAAATCGAGAGCTTTGCCTTTCGGCTCAGCTCCCTCTTTACCACAACGGTCCGATACAGAGACCGCATCACTGCGCACGCTGCACCGATCCGCCTGTCAATCTCACGCTCCATTCTTCCCTCACTCGTGAACAAGACCCCGAGATACTTGAACTCCTCCACTTGAGGAAGGGCCTCTCCACCCACCCGGAGAGGGCAAGGCACCTTTTTCCGGTCGAGCACCATGGCCTCAGATTTGGAGGTGCTGATTCTCATCCCAGCCGCTTCACACTCGGCTGAAAACCGCTCCAGTGCATGCTGCAGGTCCTGGTTCGTTGGAGCCAGCAGGACGACATCATCCGCAAAAAGTAGAGATGAAATCCTGTGGTCCCCGAACCGGACCCCCTCCGGCCCCTGGCTGCGCCTAGAAATTCTGTCCATGAATACAGTGAACAGAACCGGTGACAAAGGGCAGCCCTGTCGGAGGCTCCCGCCAGTAATAACGTGTTAATTTACCACTGTCTGGTCCAGAAAAACCCAATAACTTCATGCTTGGTCTGTTTGGATTTGTCACAGGAACACACCCTCACAGAACACTCTGTGTTGAATCAGATCAGTTACATCAGTGATAGAGGCGACGGTCTGAGTCAATCCAACTATCAAGAAACTTAAGCAAGAGGAATGTTTAGTAAATGTCATTGAAGCAAAGATGTTGTGGCTCCCCATTAGTGGCAAAGGAGATGGCTAAAGCTAGGCTAAATGCTAAAGCTAGGCTAAATGCCTCACTCACTCGGGCTCATTACATAAGTCACAGTAAACTCAGATCCAATTGTTTCAATCTGCAAAAGGAGTTAACCCGTCCCACCTGTTAACAGAGTTAATGGAGCAGATCCAGACCTTAGTACAAATGAAATGAGTACCATTGGTATGTTGTATGTGTTCAGGGCCAGGCCACAGACATTGCCATCCAGGCCGAGGAGATCCTGAAGCTAAAGCGACAGCTCAACCACATTTACGCCAAACACACGGGACAGCTCCTGGAGACCATCGGTGAGAACTCTCTCTGTCCAGTCTCTCTGTCCACTCTTACTGCTGCTTTATGTGTCTGAGTCCCAGGAACTAGAGTATTTCTCTCTGGTCTCTCTCTGGTCTCTGACGTGTACTTTCTCCTCCCTCCTGCAGAGGGCGTGATGGAGAGGGACCTCTACATGAGCCCGATGGAGGCGCAGGACTTTGGTATCGTGGATAAGGTCCTGGTGCACCCCCCTCAGGGGGGGCAGGACGAGCCGGAACTGGTCCAGAAGGAGCACCCCCAGACCACCCAGTCCCCAGAACCCCCCAGCACAGACCCCAGCCCGAGCGGTGCCAGCCCCCCCTCTTCCCACAAACCCGAGCCCTGACACCAACACAGACCTTCACACCATGAACTGTAGCTCGACACCAGAGAGAGGCTCAGGCAAAGACCTCTGCTCTGTTTGGACGGCCCATAATGATAACCTCTGCTCTGATTGGACGGCCCATAATGATAACACAGACCTCTGCTCTGATTGGACGGCCCATAATGATAACACAGACCTCTGCTCTGATTGGACGGCCCATAATAACACTCAGACCCGTGGAGTCCTGGAACTACAATCTCCAGTCATTTCTCCCTTCAGAGCTTTGGAAAGACAAAGCTGGTCCTGGTTCACTACATAGTAATAAATACAGTACATAATAAGTATTAGATAAATATGGGTTGTTATTTATGCTATAGTTGATTAGAAATAAATAAATGAAGAATGTTATTATTTGGGGCTGTTCTCTATTCTAAGAAGCAAAAACAGAATGTAGTAATTTTCAATCAACATTTTATAATAAAACCATGTGGGGCAGTGTGATATAAATACAAGTTATTTTGTCTGAGTCAAACGTTTCATGTGTTTGTCCACAGCTGATCTTTAACTTTGTCATTTCAAATAAATGTCATTTTTGGAGCAATGTTTTCTTAAGGAGTCACATGACCTGTAGTGACGTCACATGACCTGTAGTGACGTCACATGACCTGTAGCGATACATTATTGATCCCCGTAGAGAAATTCAGTAGCCTCTGGGTGGAGCAGGACAGGTCACAGCAGCAGAGGTGGAGTAGCCTCTGGGTGGAGCAGGACAGGTCACAGCAGCAGAGGTGGAGTAGCCTCTGGGTGGAGCAGGACGGGTCACAGCAGCAGAGGTGGAGTAGCCTCTGGGTGGAGCAGGACGGGTCACAGCAGCAGAGGTGGAGTAGCCTCTGGGTGGAGCAGGACGGGTCACAGCAGCAGAGGTGGAGTAGCCTCTGGGTGGAACATTTTCTCTGCTCTAGTCCAAAGTATAAAGCTGAATGGTTTATCAGCAATTTTCTAAAAGTTAGCATTCCTCCAGTGGATTTTCATCTGATCCACTTGGTTTGGACCATGAATCCTCTGCTCTGGTCTGGACCAGTGCAAAACCATGAACACTGTACTGCAGTCTCAGGTAGTAAAAATACAAAAGAGCAACTGTTTCAGAGACACTGGACTCGCAGCCATTTTCCAGCGCATTCAAAAGTAAACCTGTCACATGACCTGTAGTGATGTCACATGACCATCAGCCCCTCCCACCACAGATCACTCAGACTGGTGCATGTGTTTAGGTAGTGGGAAACCCAGACACAGAGAGAACATGCAACATACGACCTGAGCATAGAACAAGTCTGACGTAATTGTGGAAATAAATGTTTGCCAGAAACGTAGAAAATATTTATTTAGAAAAGTGTCAGAGCAGGATGTGACATCACAGGGTCCATCACCTGCTTCTTACTGCAGTCGCAGAAACATGTTTTACATTCAACACATTTCCCAAAAGTATTCAGTAGAAATGTTCTTGTTTCCAGAGTTTCTGCGGCGTTTGAACTAAAGCAGGATCATGAAGCTCCTTTGTCAAAGTCCTGATCGTAGAAAACTTTTCTGAAATATAAAAATGACCTTTCTCCTGAAACACTGACAAACATCATACGGAACATTATTCTGTTGTTTCAGGACCTTGGACAGTGGCAGTCACTTTGACTGCCCTGTTTCTCCAAGGTGCTGGGTGTGGTGCAAGTTACCATAGCAACACACTGTTTACTTGAAGTCAAAATGACTGCTCTGAAAGGTCAAGTGTTCAGTTTTTTACATGTGTTTTCAGGAAGAGTTTGAGGTGGAGCAGGACAGACTGAAGACTTTCACCAGAGGAGGAGGAGGAGGATCATCAGGAGGAGACGCAGAAGGAACAGGCAGAGAAGGAGGAGCAGAAGGAACAGGCAGAGAAGGAGGAGCAGGAGGAGACGCAGGGGGAGGAGGAGGTCACATGATGGTGCAGTTCTTGGGCATGGCGGCCCAGCGGAGCCAGGTCAGGTTCTTCTCTGTGTACGGAGGATATCTGAGGCCGTTGATCATCTCCATGGGCCACGTGCGCAGCAACACCGCCCTCTGGTGGCTGAACGTCTCGAAGCCCCAGCGCCCGTGGTAGTTCCCGAAGCCACTGGCCCCTGAGGAGACGAGGGTTTAGTATTTTTGTATCACTATAAAAGCCGCAGGGATCAAAGAACCAGAAAAAGCAGCGGCTTAAAGTCTAGAATTGACGGTACTTTTTCAGAGCCACATGGTTTTTCTTAGTTTCAAATGGATCAAAACATCCTCAAGACATTGTTAGCATCTATATTAGCATCAGCATTCCAGAATGAGTTAGTTAGTTAGTGATGGATGATGTGATTTGGATACTTTTGATCAAGTAGGAGAGAGAGAGAGCGAGAGAGAGAGCAGTAGTAGTAGTAGTAGTCTTTATTTATATAGCGCCTTTCACAGACCAGAGTCACAAAGTGTTTACAATTGTTATTTTTTGGGCACTTGTCCTCTCTCTCCACACAGATATGGGAGCGGGGCCAGTACAGGAGGCGCATGCCAGACCTATTGTACATATTTTTATATTTTATTTTAGCAGAGGGCGGAGTGAGCAGCTGAGTGTGTGTGTCGTACCCACGCCCCCGAACGGCAGACCAGGGACCGTCATGTACACGATACCATCGTTTGAACAGAAGCCTCCACTGCTGGTCCTCTCCAGGACTGTGTTCACCACCTGCAGAACAAAACATGTGAGGGAGAGGGGGAGGGAGGAAGGAGAGAGAGGAGAGAGGGGGGGGAGGGAGAGAGAAAGAGATGTGCGGGAGAGCGAGAGACAGAGAGAGGAACAGAGACACCTGTAGAACACAACATGTGAAGAGAGCGAGAGACAGAGAGAGCTCTCTCCTCCTCCTCGATCATAAACAGAATCGGGACGAAACCGGAAGTAACAATCCTACTTTTGAATTAGTTTCAGACTAAAAAGTCCTTAAGTGGTGACTGGTTAAGTTTAGGCGTCTGAGTAAGATGGTTAAGGTTAGGGTTAAGGCTGGGTTGGGGTTATTTTATGGAATGGCTGGTTAAGTTTAGGCCTGAATAGGTAGTTTGTTATATTTACTTCCGCTCCGATTCCATATATGATCTAGTGCTGATGATCCTCCTCCTCCCTCACTCCTCCTCCCTCACTCCCCCTTCTCACCTTGGAGTCCTCAGAGAAGACGTACAGAGCCAAGGGTTTGGTCTCGTCGGTTCATGAAGTCGATGGCTTCGTCCACGGAGCTCACGGTGAGAAACGGGAGCAGAGGCCCAAAGATCTCCTCCTGCATCAGGGCGTCGTCCTCCTCTACGTCCACCAGCACGGTGGGAGCTAAACACAACCTCAGGTCAGCACAGGGGGGATAGTGTCCCCTCTTATAAAACCTAATCACATCTCACACTGTTACTGAGCAAGAGGAGTTTACAATGTCAGAGAAAGGAGCACTTCACATTAGGCTTCATAGAGCTAGCAGGTTAGCATCTGCTTAGCATCGGGTTAGGATTGTCTATCTGTATACGGTACTTTAGCACGCCACAGTAGCTACACACTCGTCAGTTACTCCCCCTCTGTACTCAGTTACTCCCCTCTGTACTCAGTTACTCAGTTACTCACCGATGTAGCGGTCCTCCTCGCAGACCTGCCCGCCCAGCACCACGCGGCCCCGGCTCCTCTGCAGCATGGCGTTGAGGCGGGTCCAGTGGCGCCCGGACACGATGCGCCCGAGGTCAGGGCTGCCCTGAGGCTTCTCGCCGTAGAAGTGGCTCAGACTCTGGGCCAGCGCCGGGAGCAGCGCGTCACGAGTCTCGGCCGAGCACAGCACGTAGTCCGGCGCCACGCAGCTCTGACCCGCGTTAAAGAACTTGGCCCAGATCAGTCTCCGAGCGGCCGCCATCATGTCCACGCGCTCATGGATGAAACACGGCGTCTTTCCCCCGAGCTCCAGCGTCACCGGCGTCAGGTGCTGCGCGGCAGCCACAAGAACGCTGCGGGCTACGACCTGAGAACCTACAGGGAGAGAGAGAGAGACAGAGACAGAGTAACTGTAACTATAACGCCGTTATCATTGCAGACGCCCCGTTACTGCACATTACTCAAGTCGCACAATTAACTTTTTTTAACTTCATGATAGGACTCGTGTTGTCGTGAGAGACGGATGAGAACCTCTCAGCTGATTGGCTGATGTAAAACATCTTTCCTTTACAGTCTACATGTTTACAGCCGAGAAGTTGATATCAATTGTGCTTTTAAAACAATATGGGTCTTAACTCGCGCTCAACCACGGCCTGTAATGTTACCAAGTGAGGCCTCAGGGGGGCGCAGGTGAGCCAAGAATTCTGGTAACTAGTTACTTTTATAGTGGAGTAACTTTTTGGGAGAAGTAACTATAACTAATTACTTTTTCAAAGTAATTTGCCAACACTGGCCTTCGATCGAAACATGTCGGAGACCCCTGAATTAAAGCCAGTGGAAATAAAGGTGCAATAAGGTGTTGTTATGATTGGTGTCTGTGTGTGTCTCTCTGTGTATGTATGTGTGTGTGTGTATCTGTATGTATGTGTGTGTGTGTGTCTGTGTATGTATGTGTGTGTCTTTACCTGTGTAGAAGATGTGATCAAACTTATTCTGTAGAAGTGCTTTGGTTTCTTCTGCTCCTCCACAAAAAACACTGAAGCAGTCCTATGGAAACACAAAAACACACACACACACACACACACTGAGACACACACAGACCACACTGAAACACACACTGAGACACACACAGACCACACTGAGACACACACTGAGACACACACTGACCACACTGAGACACACACAGACCACACTGAGACACACACAGACCACACTGAGACACACACAGACCACACTGAGACACACACAGACCACACTGAGACACACACAGACCACACTGAGACACACACAGACCACACTGAGACACACACAGAGACACACACTGAGACACACACTGACCACACTGAGACACACACAGACCACACTGAGACACACACAGACCACACTGAGACACATACAGACTACACTGAGACACACACAGACCACACTGAAACACACACTGAGACACACACTGAGACACACACATTAAAGATGTTTTACCTGTGACAGATATTTAGGGATGAGTTCAGCGATGACCTCAGCCACAGACGGAGTCACTTCAGACGGTTTGATCACGACACAGTTTCCTACAACACAACTCTGCGTTTACACAACTCTGCGTTTACACAACTCTGCGTTTACACCGCCCTGCGTTTACACCGCCCTGCGTTTACACCGCCCTAATGATAACACAGACCTCTGCTCTGATTGGACGGCCCATAATGATAACACAGACCTCTGCTCTGATTGGACGGCCCATAATAACACTCAGACCCGTGGAGTCCTGGAACTACAATCTCCAGTCATTTCTCCCTTCAGAGCTTTGGAAAGACAAAGCTGGTCCTGGTTCACTACATAGTAATAAATACAGTACATAATAAGTATTAGATAAATATGGGTTGTTATTTATGCTATAGTTGATTAGAAATAAATAAATGAAGAATGTTATTATTTGGGGCTGTTCTCTATTCTAAGAAGCAAAAAACAGAATGTAGTAATTTTCAATCAACATTTTATAATAAAACCATGTGGGGCAGTGTGATATAAATACAAGTTATTTTGTCTGAGTCAAACGTTTCATGTGTTTGTCCACAGCTGATCTTTAACTTTGTCATTTCAAATAAATGTCATTTTTGGAGCAATGTTTTCTTAAGGAGTCACATGACCTGTAGTGACGTCACATGACCTGTAGTGACGTCACATGACCTGTAGCGATACATTATTGATCCCCGTAGAGAAATTCAGTAGCCTCTGGGTGGAGCAGGACAGGTCACAGCAGCAGAGGTGGAGTAGCCTCTGGGTGGAGCAGGACGGGTCACAGCAGCAGAGGTGGAGTAGCCTCTGGGTGGAGCAGGACGGGTCACAGCAGCAGAGGTGGAGTAGCCTCTGGGTGGAGCAGGACGGGTCACAGCAGCAGAGGTGGAGTAGCCTCTGGGTGGAACATTTTCTCTGCTCTAGTCCAAAGTATAAAGCTGAATGGTTTATCAGCAATTTTCTAAAAGTTAGCATTCCTCCAGTGGATTTTCATCTGATCCACTTGGTTTGGACCATGAATCCTCTGCTCTGGTCTGGACCAGTGCAAAACCATGAACACTGTACTGCAGTCTCAGGTAGTAAAAATACAAAAGAGCAACTGTTTCAGAGACACTGGACTCGCAGCCATTTTCCAGCGCATTCAAAAGTAAACCTGTCACATGACCTGTAGTGATGTCACATGACCATCAGCCCCTCCCACCACAGATCACTCAGACTGGTGCATGTGTTTAGGTAGTGGGAAACCCAGACACAGAGAGAACATGCAACATACGACCTGAGCATAGAACAAGTCTGACGTAATTGTGGAAATAAATGTTTGCCAGAAACGTAGAAAATATTTATTTAGAAAAGTGTCAGAGCAGGATGTGACATCACAGGGTCCATCACCTGCTTCTTACTGCAGTCGCAGAAACATGTTTTACATTCAACACATTTCCCAAAAGTATTCAGTAGAAATGTTCTTGTTTCCAGAGTTTCTGCGGCGTTTGAACTAAAGCAGGATCATGAAGCTCCTTTGTCAAAGTCCTGATCGTAGAAAACTTTTCTGAAATATAAAAATGACCTTTCTCCTGAAACACTGACAAACATCATACGGAACATTATTCTGTTGTTTCAGGACCTTGGACAGTGGCAGTCACTTTGACTGCCCTGTTTCTCCAAGGTGCTGGGTGTGGTGCAAGTTACCATAGCAACACACTGTTTACTTGAAGTCAAAATGACTGCTCTGAAAGGTCAAGTGTTCAGTTTTTTACATGTGTTTTCAGGAAGAGTTTGAGGTGGAGCAGGACAGACTGAAGACTTTCACCAGAGGAGGAGGAGGAGGATCATCAGGAGGAGACGCAGAAGGAACAGGCAGAGAAGGAGGAGCAGAAGGAACAGGCAGAGAAGGAGGAGCAGGAGGAGACGCAGGGGGAGGAGGAGGTCACATGATGGTGCAGTTCTTGGGCATGGCGGCCCAGCGGAGCCAGGTCAGGTTCTTCTCTGTGTACGGAGGATATCTGAGGCCGTTGATCATCTCCATGGGCCACGTGCGCAGCAACACCGCCCTCTGGTGGCTGAACGTCTCGAAGCCCCAGCGCCCGTGGTAGTTCCCGAAGCCACTGGCCCCTGAGGAGACGAGGGTTTAGTATTTTTGTATCACTATAAAAGCCGCAGGGATCAAAGAACCAGAAAAAGCAGCGGCTTAAAGTCTAGAATTGACGGTACTTTTTCAGAGCCACATGGTTTTTCTTAGTTTCAAATGGATCAAAACATCCTCAAGACATTGTTAGCATCTATATTAGCATCAGCATTCCAGAATGAGTTAGTTAGTTAGTGATGGATGATGTGATTTGGATACTTTTGATCAAGTAGGAGAGAGAGAGAGCGAGAGAGAGAGCAGTAGTAGTAGTAGTAGTCTTTATTTATATAGCGCCTTTCACAGACCAGAGTCACAAAGTGTTTACAATTGTTATTTTTTGGGCACTTGTCCTCTCTCTCCACACAGATATGGGAGCGGGGCCAGTACAGGAGGCGCATGCCAGACCTATTGTACATATTTTTATATTTTATTTTAGCAGAGGGCGGAGTGAGCAGCTGAGTGTGTGTGTCGTACCCACGCCCCCGAACGGCAGACCAGGGACCGTCATGTACACGATACCATCGTTTGAACAGAAGCCTCCACTGCTGGTCCTCTCCAGGACTGTGTTCACCACCTGCAGAACAAAACATGTGAGGGAGAGGGGGAGGGAGGAAGGAGAGAGAGGAGAGAGGGGGGGGAGGGAGAGAGAAAGAGATGTGCGGGAGAGCGAGAGACAGAGAGAGGAACAGAGACACCTGTAGAACACAACATGTGAAGAGAGCGAGAGACAGAGAGAGCTCTCTCCTCCTCCTCGATCATAAACAGAATCGGGACGAAACCGGAAGTAACAATCCTACTTTTGAATTAGTTTCAGACTAAAAAGTCCTTAAGTGGTGACTGGTTAAGTTTAGGCGTCTGAGTAAGATGGTTAAGGTTAGGGTTAAGGCTGGGTTGGGGTTATTTTATGGAATGGCTGGTTAAGTTTAGGCCTGAATAGGTAGTTTGTTATATTTACTTCCGCTCCGATTCCATATATGATCTAGTGCTGATGATCCTCCTCCTCCCTCACTCCTCCTCCCTCACTCCCCCTTCTCACCTTGGAGTCCTCAGAGAAGACGTACAGAGCCAAGGGTTTGTCTCGTCGGTTCATGAAGTCGATGGCTTCGTCCACGGAGCTCACGGTGAGAAACGGGAGCAGAGGCCCAAAGATCTCCTCCTGCATCAGGGCGTCGTCCTCCTCTACGTCCACCAGCACGGTGGGAGCTAAACACAACCTCAGGTCAGCACAGGGGGGATAGTGTCCCCTCTTATAAAACCTAATCACATCTCACACTGTTACTGAGCAAGAGGAGTTTACAATGTCAGAGAAAGGAGCACTTCACATTAGGCTTCATAGAGCTAGCAGGTTAGCATCTGCTTAGCATCGGGTTAGGATTGTCTATCTGTATACGGTACTTTAGCACGCCACAGTAGCTACACACTCGTCAGTTACTCCCCCTCTGTACTCAGTTACTCCCCTCTGTACTCAGTTACTCAGTTACTCACCGATGTAGCGGTCCTCCTCGCAGACCTGCCCGCCCAGCACCACGCGGCCCCGGCTCCTCTGCAGCATGGCGTTGAGGCGGGTCCAGTGGCGCCCGGACACGATGCGCCCGAGGTCAGGGCTGCCCTGAGGCTTCTCGCCGTAGAAGTGGCTCAGACTCTGGGCCAGCGCCGGGAGCAGCGCGTCACGAGTCTCGGCCGAGCACAGCACGTAGTCCGGCGCCACGCAGCTCTGACCCGCGTTAAAGAACTTGGCCCAGATCAGTCTCCGAGCGGCCGCCATCATGTCCACGCGCTCATGGATGAAACACGGCGTCTTTCCCCCGAGCTCCAGCGTCACCGGCGTCAGGTGCTGCGCGGCAGCCACAAGAACGCTGCGGGCTACGACCTGAGAACCTACAGGGAGAGAGAGAGAGACAGAGACAGAGTAACTGTAACTATAACGCCGTTATCATTGCAGACGCCCCGTTACTGCACATTACTCAAGTCGCACAATTAACTTTTTTTAACTTCATGATAGGACTCGTGTTGTCGTGAGAGACGGATGAGAACCTCTCAGCTGATTGGCTGATGTAAAACATCTTTCCTTTACAGTCTACATGTTTACAGCCGAGAAGTTGATATCAATTGTGCTTTTAAAACAATATGGGTCTTAACTCGCGCTCAACCACGGCCTGTAATGTTACCAAGTGAGGCCTCAGGGGGGCGCAGGTGAGCCAAGAATTCTGGTAACTAGTTACTTTTATAGTGGAGTAACTTTTTGGGAGAAGTAACTATAACTAATTACTTTTTCAAAGTAATTTGCCAACACTGGCCTTCGATCGAAACATGTCGGAGACCCCTGAATTAAAGCCAGTGGAAATAAAGGTGCAATAAGGTGTTGTTATGATTGGTGTCTGTGTGTGTCTCTCTGTGTATGTATGTGTGTGTGTGTATCTGTATGTATGTGTGTGTGTGTGTCTGTGTATGTATGTGTGTGTCTTTACCTGTGTAGAAGATGTGATCAAACTTATTCTGTAGAAGTGCTTTGGTTTCTTCTGCTCCTCCACAAAAAACACTGAAGCAGTCCTATGGAAACACAAAAACACACACACACACACACACTGAGACACACACAGACCACACTGAAACACACACTGAGACACACACAGACCACACTGAGACACACACTGAGACACACACTGACCACACTGAGACACACACAGACCACACTGAGACACACACAGACCACACTGAGACACACACAGACCACACTGAGACACACACAGACCACACTGAGACACACACAGACCACACTGAGACACACACTGACCACACTGAGACACACACAGACCACACTGAGACACACACAGACCACACTGAGACACATACAGACTACACTGAGACACACACAGACCACACTGAAACACACACTGAGACACACACTGAGACACACACATTAAAGATGTTTTACCTGTGACAGATATTTAGGGATGAGTTCAGCGATGACCTCAGCCACAGACGGAGTCACTTCAGACGGTTTGATCACGACACAGTTTCCTACAACACAACTCTGCGTTTACACAACTCTGCGTTTACACAACTCTGCGTTTACACCGCCCTGCGTTTACACCGCCCTGCGTTTACACCGCCCTGCGTTTACACCGCCCTGCGTTTACACCGCCCTGCGTTTACACCGCCCTGCGTTTACACCGCCCTGCGTTTACACCGCCCTGCGTTTACACCGCCCTGCGTTTACACCGCCCTGCGTTTACATGTTTCTGTGTTGTGAATCTCAACAGTAGTTTTCTCGGAGGACTTTAAGAAGCTGCCGATTCTCCAGCACAGATTAGAGAAGCAGTCGTCATGTCTCTGACCTGCAGCGATGGCGGCCACCAGGGGCAGCAGCAGCAGGTGGATGGGGTAGTTCCAGGGTCCGATGATCAGAACAACACCCAGAGGCTCCCTACGAACGTAACAGGCGTCTGCCTGAGTGGGCTGCGACCAGAGAAGAAGAGTCAGAGTCAGTGGGCTGCGACCAGAGAAGAAGAGTCAGAGTCAGTGGGCTGCGACCAGAGAAGAAGAGTCAGAGTCAGTGGGCTGCGACCAGAGAAGAAGAGTCAGAGTCAGTGGGCTGCGACCAGAGAAGAAGAGTCAGAGTCAGTGGGCTGCGACCAGAGAAGAAGAGTCAGAGTCAGTGGGCTGTGACCAGAGAAGAAGAGTCAGAGTCAGTGGGCTGCGACCAGAGAAGAAGAGTCAGAGTCAGTGGGCTGTGACCAGAGAAGAAGAGTCAGAGTCAGTGGGCTGCGACCAGAGAAGAAGAGTCAGAGTCAGTGGGCTGCGACCAGAGAAGAAGAGTCAGAGTCAGTGGGCTGCGACCAGAGAAGAAGAGTCAGAGTCAGTGGGCTGCGACCAGAGAAGAAGAGTCAGAGTCAGTGGGCTGCGACCAGAGAAGAAGAGTCAGAGTCAGTGGGCTGCGACCAGAGAAGAAGAGTCAGAGTCAGTGGGCTGCGACCAGAGAAGAAGAGTCAGAGTCAGTGGGCTGCGACCAGAGAAGAAGAGTCAGAGTCAGTGGGCTGCGACCAGAGAAGAAGAGTCAGAGTCAGTGGGCTGCGACCAGAGAAGAAGAGTCAGAGTCAGTGGGCTGCGACCAGAGAAGAAGAGTCAGAGTCAGTGGGCTGTGACCAGAGAAGAAGAGTCAGAGTCAGTGGGCTGCGACCAGAGAAGAAGAGTCAGAGTCAGTGGGCTGTGACCAGAGAAGAAGAGTCAGCGTCAGTGGGCTGCGACCAGAGAAGAAGAGTCAGAGTCAGTGGGCTGCGACCAGAGAAGAAGAGTCAGAGTCAGTGGGCTGCGACCAGAGAAGAAGAGTCAGAGTCAGTGGGCTGCGACCAGAGAAGAAGAGTCAGAGTCAGTGGGCTGCGACCAGAGAAGAAGAGTCAGAGTCAGTGGGCTGCGACCAGAGAAGAAGAGTCAGAGTCAGTGGGCTGCGACCAGAGAAGAAGAGTCAGAGTCAGTGGGCTGCGACCAGAGAAGAAAAGTCAGAGTCAGTGGGCTGCGACCAGAGAAGAAGAGTCAGAGTCAGTGGGCTGCGACCAGAGAAGAAGAGTCAGAGTCAGTGGGCTGTGACCAGAGAAGAAGAGTCAGACCTGGTGTGTTGATGGTGTGTTGATGGTGTGTCGATGGTGTGTCGATGGTGTGTCGATGGTGTGTCGATGGTGTGTTGATTAGGGGTGGGAACCTAAGGATACCTCACGATACGATACAAAGCTCACGATAACGATATCACGATAACAATTTTATCACTATATGACGATTATCGATATATTGGTCAGAAATATACAATATGCCAATTTATGGCATAAATAAAATAAAAAAATACAGTTTATTTCATGATAAATGGAATGGAGATGCGTAAAGTAACCATATATAAAGTAATTTTTTTTTTTTCAAAATCAATATTGATACTTGGTAAATGCATATCAATAATCGAATCGCGGGAGAAAGTATTGCGATATATCGAAAAATCGATATATCGTCACACCCCTAGTGTTGATGGTGTGCGATGGAGTTGGTGTGTGATGCTGTGTTATGGTGTGTTGATGGTGTTGATGGTGTTGATGGTGTGTTGTACCATGGTTCTTGTAACATGTTCCAGTTGTAACCAGCTCCTGAGGTTGGACAGAGCGAAGATGAGCTCGTTGGCCACGATGGCAAGTTCTGACAGGACGGCCTCAAACTTTGGCTGTCAATCAAACACACACATGTCAATCAAACACACACATGTCAATCAAACACACACATGTCAATCAAACACACACATGTCAATCAAACACACACACGTCAATCAAACACACACATGTCAATCAAACACACACACGTCAATCAAACACACACACGTCAATCAAACACACATGTCAATCAAAAGGGAAAATGTGCACTATACTTCTCAGCCTAGTTGGAACATTTGTGTGACTCTAACCATGTCACCTGGTTGGGACCATGAGTGTTGTACCTTTGACCATGAGTGTTGTACCTATGACCATGAGTGTTGTACCTATGACCATGTGTGTTGTACCTATGACCATGTGTGTTGTACCTTTGACCATGTGTGTTGTACCTATGACGATGTGTGTTGTACCTTTGACCATGTGTGTTGTACCTTTGACCATGTGTGTTGTACCTTTGCTAGGTCTTTGTGCAGTGCGTCCAGCAGCAGCTGCTCGTTCTCCTGGAGCAGGGACTGGAGCTGGAGGAGCTGAGAGCGTCTGAAGGACTCAGGAACTGTCACTCTGGAGCTGAAGGAGGCCCTCAGCCGCTGCAGCATCTCAACCTGGGACTCCATCACTCTGGCTCTGGAGGAAGAGGAGGAGGAGGAGGAAGAGGCTGAGGCTGAGAAAGAGGCTGAAGCTTTTACAGAATCAGAATCAGAATAGTTTTTATTGCCACGTAAGTAACAGGAGGTCACAGACTAGGAAATTGCTTTGGCTCAGTGCAACAGTCAGAAAGAGATAATAAAAATAAAAGAATAAAAAACACTTCTAAGGAATACATTTTAATTTAAAATAGAGTTACAGTTACTATTTACAATATACAAGTGCACATGGTGCACACAATGTAAGGTGACAGCAGTACAGTGAAGTAAAGTGACGTATGATGGGCAGTAAAGTGACTTTATAAAGGGCGGGGGGACAGGTTAAGAAGTGTTCAAGTGTCCAACAGCAGAGGGGAAGAAACTGTTCTTATGGCGGGAGGTTCTAGTCCTGATGGACCGCAGTATCCTGCCTGAGGGGAGTGGTTGGAATAGTCCATGTGCAGAGTGAGAGGGGAGTGGTTGGAATAGTCCATGTGCAGAGTGAGAGGGGTCGGCTGTGATACGACCAGCCCGGCCTCGAGCTCGGGCGACGTACAGGTCCTGCAGCGATGGAAGGCTGCGGCCGATCACTTCCTCTGCAGAGCGCACAATGCACTGTAGTCTCTGTTTGTCCCTGACTGTGGCTCCAGCGAACCACACGGTGATGGAGGAGGTGATGGAGGAGGTGATGAGGAGGTGATGGAGGAGGTGATGGAGGAGGTGATGGAGGAGGTGATGGAGGAGGTGATGGAGGAGGTGATGGAGGAGGTGATGGAGGAGGTGAGGATGGACTCGATGATGGCCGTGTAGAACTGCACCAACATCTGTGCAGGCAGCTTGGCTTTCCTGAGCTGCCGCAGGAAGTACATCCTCTGCTGGGCCTTCTTGATGAGGGAGCTGATGGTCGGCTCCCACTTGAGGTCCTGGGTGATGGTGGTGCCCAGGAAACGGAAGGACTCCACAGAGGTGATGGGGGAGTCCATCACGGAGGGTGGGGGCAGGGGGGCTGTGCTCTTCCTGAAGTCCACAACCGTCTTCTGGGCGTTCAGCTCCAGGTTGTTACCACTGCACCAGGACACCAGCCGGTCCACCTCCCTCCTGTAGGCAGACTCATCGTTGTTGGAGATGAGTCCAATGAGGGTGGTGTCGTCCATGAACTTGATCAGCTTCACGGAGTCGTGGCTGGAGGTGCAGTGGTTGGTGTACAGGGAGAAGAAACACAGCCCTGTGGGGCTCCTGTATTTATAATCCGAGAGTCCGAGACATTCTTCCCCAGACGCACTCGCTGCTTCCTGTCCGTCACGAAGTCAGTGATCCACCTGCAGGTGGAATCGGGCACGTTGAGCTGGGAGAGCTTGTCCTGGAGCAGGGATGGCAGGATTGTGTTGAAGGCAGAGCTGAAGTCCACAAACAGGACCCTGGCGTTGGTCCCCGGGGAGTCCAGGTGCTGTAGGATGTGGTGGAGGGCCAGGTTAATGGCGTCGTCTACAGATCTGTTGGCTCTGTAGGCGAACTGCAGGGGGTCCAGGAGGGGGGAGGTGAGGGACTTGAGATGGGAGAGAACCAGGCGCTCAAATGACTTCATGACGACAGACGTAAGTGCTGTAAGGTCAGAAATCTAGATGGTCGGTCACTCGCTCTGACTCATACTGGTCGGTCACTCGCTCTGACTCATACTGGTCGGTCACTCGCTCTGACAAGATCAAGAGTTCAACCTGCAGCCTCGAGCCACATTCATGAACAAAACTAGAACTCCCAGAGCACTTTTGCACTTCCTTTTGTGCAAAAGGACCTTTTCAGTCTCTTATGTCCGTAACTTTCTGTCTCTACGTCAAAAATGTCATGACAATAATTTACTAGAAATAATCTTTTATTTCTGAAATGTGATGAGTTCTTCCTTTAACTCCCAAAGCCGTCATTGACTGCCAACATAACCACCATATGTCTGCTAAAGACCCTAGTCCTGAGCCGTTGTTTTTGCTGCGTTTCAGTTTCAGCAGTTTTTAGTTTTTAGTAAAAGTGAATGAAGGTAAAAACGAAATAAATGACTATTTGGGGATTTTTAATTCGAACGAGAGCAGTCAAAATGACTGCGTCATAAAACCTTCTGTCGGTGCACACAGGAGTACCTTTTTTTGCAAATGTATTCCAATGTAGTTTTTATACTGCACATGGCTAATAAAATGAATCTGAATCTGACCTCTTCAAAGTGTTTAAGTCGATTCACCAACGATTAAAATGATCAAAGAGTTGTAATGATTAGATTAACTTGTTATGAATCATTTCTGAACTTACAAGTTTATACAAAGATCTTTGAATGAGTCTAAAATGAATGATTTAATAAAAACATAAATAAACAGATAATAAAACTACATTTAACATAAACATCAGGACTGAGGACATCATTTTGTTTTACGACAGATTAACTTTTCCACAACGTCATGTGACAATTAACCCTAGTAAGTAATTTATTTATTTATTTATTTGTTTCAATTGTGGACAAAAACAATACTACACATAATCGACAAAAACTTAAACTGGAGATCTCACATTAATTACATACAAAAGAAAGTATCGAAAAATATAGCTATTATAAATAAAGCAAAGTGGGTACTCAACTATAACGCCTTGTACATCCTATACTTTAGTTTAGTTTATCCTTATTTATCATATGTTGTAGAAGTTTGGGGAAACAATTATAAAACTGCCATAAGAACATTGGAATTACTTCAAAAGCGAGCAGTACGAGTTATCCACAAGACGAGTTACCTGGAACACACACATTCACTCTTCTTACAGTCTAAATTATTGAAATTTGTGGATTTGGTGGATTTTTGCACAGCTCAATTGCTTTACAAAGCCAGTAAAAAATCTCTGCCGACCAACATTCAATCTCAATTTATAGAAAGAGAAGATGGCCGTAATCTCAGGGGAAATGGTAAACTTATACCAAATGCTGTAAGAACCACGAGGAGAAGTATGTGTGTCTCAGTGTGCGACTGTGGAATAAATTGGATTAGAAGTTAAAACAATGTCCCACCATATACCATTTTAAAGTCAAATATAAAGAAAAACTTTTACAACAGTACAGTACACAGTGAAAATCCTTACTATAGTCATATAGTAGCAACACCATCATACATCATTTACTCACAATAACAGTATTACGGAGCTAAGGGTTGCAGTGTATGTTGATTCTTTACTAAATCATGTAGTATTTGTATTTTATTAAGTGTCAAAATCTGCAAAACACAATCTTGAGTCTGTACATGAACAGGGTATAAGTTATTGAATTAAAAGCTACGCATGAGTTATTAGAATTATTGATGTATATAATAAAGGTTAAGCTACTACACAAACAACATAAGCAACAACCAAACATTTATGCACTGGGGGTGGGATTTAAAAAGTATTTACTTCTTCCCACTCCCTTTCGAACTTTCTTGTTGTCATTTTTTTTTTTTTTTTTTTGTATCTTGTATTAGTTTTGTTTTTTGCAATTTTGTATTGTTTTTTGCAATTTTGTATTGCTTCTCATATTTTGTATTTATTATTGTTTTTTTTTTTTTCCTTGTTTTTTCGAATGAGAATAGAAGTACAGAGTGTACAAAGTTTATTTTTTTATGCATTATGAAATGACATGGCATTTGGATTGACAACAAAGTTTGAAATAAAAAGATTGATTGATATTACAATTACATTTCAAATAATTGTCGTCTTGTCTCACAAATGAAAAGGAGCAGAAAGAAGAAAAAAAATCTTATGTTGCCTGCTCCTTTCTTCATACATGTACAAATTAAATTTAAAAAAAAATTAAAAAAGAAAAAAATAAGATGGCCTTTAGCACTTCTTCAAACTGTTTTTATTTGATGTGTTTTTGTTTTCATAATTCTTTGTTTTTTATTGTTTTTTTCTAATCATTCATTTTGTACGATTTCACTGTTGTTGCTTTGATTTTTTTCTTAAACATGTGGATGTTTGCGGATTTTTTTTATTTCATAGTCAAGTTGATTCCATAGTTTTACTCCGACCACTGATATTCCCATGTGTTTCTGGGTGGTTCTGGCAAAAGGGACAGAGAAGTGTAACTTCCTTCTACTGTCCTGGTTGATATTGAGAGAGAAGAGCTGTTGTGCAGCTGCTGGCAGCAGAGAGTCTCTGGCTTTGTACATCACAATGAGTGACTGTAGTTTGATCAGATCCTCTAGTTTTGACAGTTTTGATTGTATGAATAGGTTGTTTGTGTGTTCTCTTGAGTCCTCCCTATGAATGATTCTCACTGCTTTTTTTTGTAAGAGGATTAGAGGATGTATGGTGTTTGTATGCGTTTCCCCAGACTTCTACACAGTAGGTGAAATGGGGCAGTATCAGGGTACTGTACAGGAGCCTTAGGGCTTTATGATCAAGTGAATGTTTCACTTTGTGCAGTACCGAGATATGTTTTGATATTTTTCTTTTTACCTGGTTTACATGGGATTTCCAATTTAATTTCTCATCCATTGTCACTCCCAAAAATGTTATTTCTTGTACTCTTTCAATTTTTGTACTATTTATTGACACCTGGACGTCTGTGTTACTGTTATTGTTTGAAAACACCATGAATTTTGTTTTGCTTATATTTAATGATAATTTATTCTCATCGAACCATGTTTTTATTTTGATCATTTCCTCTTCCGTCGTCCTTGTTAATTTTTTTATATTATCTCCTGATAGAAAATTTGTTGTGTCATCTGCAAATAAGACTGATTTAAGTTTTGATGAGACAGAACATAAGTCATTGATATATAAAATAAAGATAATCTCTATTTATATAGCGCCTTTCACAGACCAGAGTCACAAAGCGGGTTACAATCGTTATTATTTTTGGGCACTTGTCTCTCACTCCACACAGAGATGGGAGCGGGGTCGCCGAACAGGAGGTGCATGCAAGACCTATTGTACATTTTTTTAGTGGTAGGGGTAACCGGAGGAAACTTACACAGACACGGGGAGAACATGCAAACTCCACTCAGACCGGAATTCGAACCCAGGACCTTCTTGCTGAGAGGCGAGAGTGCTATCCACTCAGCCACCGTGCCGCCCACAAACCCTCAACCAATCAGTGTCGCATCCACAAGATAAGATAGAGATCCTTTGCTTGTCCCACAGTGGGGAAATGTCACTGTTGCAGCGCACAGACAGGGCCGTGGACACGGGGCCGTAGACACGGGGCCGTAGACACGGGGCCGTAGACACGGGGCCGTAGACACGGGGCCGTAGACACGGGGCCGTAGACACGGGGCCGTAGACAAAAGTAGCTCCTGTGTTTCTTTGCTGTAAACGCTTCAATAACGATCTTTCAAACTTTCGATATTTTGTGCAAATCTGGAGAACCTACTTTTCAAACTGCATAAAATTGGAACAATGTGATCAAATCCATTCAACTATCACTAGTTTTCACTCGTAAAAGCCTCTGTCCACCCTCCATCAGCCAATCAGCGTCCAGCCCAAAGCGTCCAAACGTGACTCACGTGGTTGTCTTAAAACTTTAAAGTATGCAAAATACAACATGATCCAAATGAGATGGAAACAGGAGACAGGTGTAAATCTATTTAACAAGTCTTTTTCTGTTAAGTATTATTTATGAACATAAAGTTAGATACCCCAGCTTTAGTCAGTGTGAGTGATGTAATGCATTTCTTTAAGTTTCAAAAATAGGAGATAATCGTAAATGAACATATCATTAACTGAAACTAGTTTTTAAAAGTCTGAAATCAGTTTAAAAACTAGTTTAAGCCAATAATGTGTTGGCCTCATGTGTAAACACTTGTCTGAGGATAGACCCCTGCGCGCGTGCAGCTGTTAGCCTGTTAGCATTAGCATCACGTGGAACAGTTTAACTTTATAAACTACTGCTTTTGTTAAAGGTTAAACTCACCTGGGTCGTGGACTGAGTGGAAGCAGCCGCTGGAGAGTGCCTACACCGGAGCTGGGGCATGGGTCTGCCCGCCTCACAGATCCAGGGCTGCGGGGGCAGGTGGGAGGGAGCCCGGGGAGGAGGTGTGAGGAGGTGGGAGGGAGCGGCCGCGGGAGGTGGACCTGTTACCGGTGACTCTACTTGAAAAACTTGTCCGTAAAACTTGTCCGGTGAGAGAATCGAAACAAGACATTACTCGCTGTGGGTTTTTCCTACGTCAGTGTTCCCCAACCTTTTTCAGCCGCACCTTCTCCGATGAAAGCACCAGATACCGCTCACAGTCTGCAGTCTTTATCAACAAGTCATTCTCATCCAAGTGGATTATGGAGAATTCAAACAAGCACATAAAGTATTTCTAATCCTCTCACATTATTTTCTTTTCACTTTGACAAATTAGGGCAGGAGTAGCTCGCCACCCCCTTCCAGGTAGCTCAGATTGCATTATTTATTATCATTATCTATTATTGTAAATGCACGTTACAAATGTCACTAGTAACAAATGTGCAATGATAAATAATGACTGTACCCACCAGGCTTTTTCACACCAATATATCACATTTTTCCCAGGGCCGCTTAAAGGAGTAGCTCTCTGCCTCTATCATCCGGTTAAAGTAGCTCTCTGGGTGAAAATGGTTGGAGACTCCTGAATCAGGGCATATTGGACCGTTTCCAAAAACACACCCAACAAAATCTCCAGCCACTCTAATGTTCCACGGCCCACAGGTTGAAAAACACTGTCCTACTCTACCAGATTAATAACATGAACAGAGGTGAGGGTTCAGTTGGAAAAGGCGTGGATTTAAAGCTGGCTACACAGTCGTTAGGTTTCTCATGATGTGGAGTTTGTCTCTGTCACTTCTACACACAGGAAAGTGAGAAACCCAAAGCTTCAGTGACTCACACAGATCTTTTTCTACAAAAACAAAAAATCTCTAATGAGCTGAATGTTGTGGACTGATTTGTTCACAAACACCAGGTCTAGAGCAGTCACTTTGACGGGTGTGGGTTTTGGAGATGTGACCTCAGTGTCTTTGATCTTCTTAAATGTGACTTTTCTGCATCAATATATATTTTATTTCTGTCTTTGTTTCGTTTATTTGTTTAAAGGTGAGGAAATAAAATTTATTGTCCACCAATTTTGTTTTCTTCCGTTTTTCCTTTGTGCTAATAATACACATCAGGTGATAAACTGTCGCCACAGCTGGCCAATCAGCTCCTCTCATCTCCAACCACTCACACCAGACTCATTCTAATGTGGGGGAAGTGTCTTGCCTAAGGACACAACCATAGTTTAGCACTTTACAGCCGCCCCACTGTGGCACCTGGTGTTCCCATGAAGGTCTCCCATCACAGTACTAACCAGACCCTGTTCTGCTTAGCTTCAGAGGTCTGACAGGATTTGGCTTTTGTAAAATTTATAATCTTATTTAAACAAAGAAAATGTCCAAACTCACTCAAAATAAAGACTTGAAATAAAAATGAAAAGCTATTGGGCAAGTTCTTTAAATTTGAGTTTTTCACATTATTTACATTTGTTATAATCAGTTTGTGGTTTGTGCGACATTGTCCCAAGAGAAAAGCTGAAAACCTCCTGAAACTGGAGCAATCATGTTTTTTGTCCAGATCTGAGCCGTCGCATCCAGTGAATCTCCCTCAGGGACAATAATGTTTATATTCATAATAATCTTTCATATTCTCCTCGTCCAAAACAGCAGGCGGTGTGCAAAGAGCGGTCTGCGTACAATTGATCTGTTTTCATTCAACTTTGCAGCAAAACTGACAAAACCTAAGATTCTTTTTCATGTAAAGTACAACCATGTGCTAAAGTGAGTCCTGTCGTGTTTAAATCAGAAGTTTCCTTTAAACAGTTCAATATAAACAAACCTAGTTTATGCAAAATGTTAAATGTTTTTAGAATTGGCAAAACAAACAAGAATATTTCAAATTCCCCCAAAAGTGATTGTTTGGGAGAGAACGTGACCCAAAGAGAAGGTTTTAGGCTCGGAACACGTCAGCTCGATTATAAAGTTATACTGAACATTGATACAAAAACTTTATTCTCACAATATCAAAAAGGACAGATCTACACAGACTTGTAGATTAAAAAGGAATTAAGAGAAAAGAATAGTGAATACAGTTCATTATCCTTCAGCTCTCCTCGATGTTAAATAATTACATCACATTTGAAAAAGAACCAACAATAAAAGATCATAAGAAACGGGGCTCGTCTCGACCAGACAAAAATAAAAACAAAAACATAGAAAATGAATGAACTGTCGAGGAAACACTAAACTAAATCATTAAGTTCATGAAAAAATACTATAAGAGCGAGAAGTGGAAGCCAGGTTTATGAGATGGTCCAGAGGAGGTCCCGCGGGAGGTCCCAGGGCGGTCCCAGACCAAAGAACACTTCAGTGTGAGGCTGTGGAAGATTCAGTCCTAGTGAGTCCTGTAGCAGAGGTGTGTCCCAACAGGAGGTCCGAGGGCCTCACAGGAAGTAGTCAGCCACAGGTTTCTTGGAGGGGATGCCTCTGGTTTCCTGCGGCGCTGCTTCAAAGATGATGAACTCTCGCTGTAGGTGCTCGTCCAGCTCCAAGATGGCCGCCACGTTCCCACATCTGCGACAGGTCAGAGGTCAGAGATCAGAGCTTTACCAAGACTGTTCTAAAACAATAGTTATGTCTCAGAATCAGGATCATATAAAACAATAGTTATGTCTCATCAGGATCATATAAAACAATAGTTATGTCTCAGAATCAGGATCATTTTTCTTCTGTGATCTGATAAGATCAGGTTTAAACAGAACGGACAAACAAGTTGGACCTCTCTGTACCATTAAACCCATCTGTAGAAACCATGTGACCAGTGACTTCACCTGTAGCAGTAGTTGGGCGCCGACCACACGGTCAGCACGGTCTCGTTGAAGTGCCACTTGTATCCCTCCATGACGAGCTGGTGCGCTCTGCAGATCATGTGGATGTCGTTGGCAGCGTTGAACTGAGCCACAACGTCGCTGCCAAACAGGTACCCGGCCCCCCTGGGACTGACCCCCCAGCCTGTGGTGTCTGCGGCACAACAATGTACAACACAACAGAGGTTAGTTTTTCATGTCTAATGGTGCTTTCAGACCGGCAGCGCTGAAACGCACATTCTCTAGTTTTCAGACGCAGGGGTCTTCAGACCAGTGGTCCTGGCGCACGCCCGAAGTGGGCTCTGATGCTAACAGAGTTTAGCTAGCGGCTTCTTGTGTACAGATCTTAAATAATGCAGCTTTGCAGCGCCTCTGTGTTCAGAGACCTTCCACAGACTTTATATAAACAGCAGTATGTGTTCACGAAGGTGAGCGATAAGTTTATTTTATTATTAAACGGTATTTCCGCACCGGCAACACACTCGAAGCAGTTGCATAAAGTAACGGGAGCATGAAAACTCACATGTTCACAAGCACTATGTCCCCTGTGGTTTAGTCCTGGTTTAGTCCTGGTGTAGCTCTGGTGTAGCTCTGGTGTAGCTCTGGTGTAGCTCCTGGTGTAGCTCCTGGTGTAGCTCCTGGTGTAGCTCCTGGTGTAGCTCCTGGTGTAGCTCCTGGTGTAGCTCCTGGTGTAGGTCCTGGTGTAGGTCCTGGTTTAGGTCCTGGTTTAGGTCCTGGTTTAGGTCCTGGTTTAGTCCTGGTTTAGTCCTGGTTTAGTCCTGGTTTAGTCCTGGTTTAGTCCTGGTTTAGTCCTGGTTTAGTCCTGGTTTAGTCCTGGTTTAGTCCTGGTTTAGTCCTGGTTTAGTCCTGGTTTAGTCCTGGTTTAGTCCTGGTTTAGTCCTGGTTTAGTCCTGGTTTAGTCCTGGTTTAGTCCTGGTTTAGTCCTGGTTTAGTCCTGGTTTAGTCCTGGTTTAGTCCTGGTTTAGTCCTGGTTTAGTCCTGGTTTAGTCCTGGTTTAGCTCCTGGTTTAGCTCCTGGTTTAGCTCCTGGTTTAGCTCCTGGTTTAGCTCCTGGTTTAGCTCCTGGTTTAGCCCTGGTTTAGCCCTGGTTTAGCCCTGGTTTAGTCCTGGTTTAGTCCTGGTTTAGCTCCTGTTTTGGCTGTTTACAGTATGTTCAGTCTGCTCGTTCTCATTCTGCTAATGTCCCCGTGACCACTTTGCAGCTCTCTGATTGGTTGCTGCACGAACGTCCCGAGGAAAGGTTGAGCAAAATTCATCTCCTGTGTTCCTCCCCTTCAACTTTCCCAGCGCGGTCCGTGCGTACAGAGACGTTCGTGCGTTTTGACGCTCGAATGCGCGTCACCATTGACTTTGCATTGAAAGCCGACGCAGCATGATCCAGTCTGAACGCGGCATAAAGGACGTCCTGCAGTGGACCAAAGCAACACTTTACACTGAGTCCATTCATTATTGTGAATAGATTTAATCTTGACTGTAATAATGCAGTTTGTTACCGAGTAGTACTAATATATAATAGTACCACAGTACTAATATATAATAGTACCACAGTACTAATATATAATAGTACCACAGTACTAATATATAATAGTACCACAGTACTAATATATAATAGTACCACAGTACTAATATATAATAGTACCAAGATGCGCTGGGTAACGGCTGCAAGTCCTTAGTAGCTCTGATTAACTGTTGTTTTGTGCTTTACAATTTTTATTGCTTTTTTTCGGCCTGAGATGTTGCTTCAGTACAGTGTGCAAAGTTTTGCACTGGTCCAGACCGGAGCGGAGAGGATTCATGGTCCAAACCATGTGGATCAGGTGAAAATCCACTGGAGGAATGCTGACTTTTTGAAAAATGCTAAAGAAGCATTTAGCATTTTACTTTGGACAAGAGCAGAGAAAATGGTCTGAGCCAAGCGGCTACTCCATCTTTTGATGTGTCCTGCTCCACCCAGAGGCTACTCCACCTCTGCTGCTGTGACTGAGTATTACTATTATCTTTTTTTTAGAATGATCAATTTTCTTTTTGCTACTACTGGACACCTGAATATCTCCTTCCAACTGCTCTATGGTCAGTAAGTTATCTAAATCTGTCTCACTGAGCTGTTATTGCGCTCTAACAAGGAAAGTTTATTTGTATAGCACAGTTCAACAAGACAACTCGGAGCTAACCAGACAAATAACATTAAATCAAATATTAAAGAAGAACAATCAGAAGCAGGCGGTTCCTCAGTTTACTTCCTAAAACAAAAAACTTTTATTTTGGAATTTCAATAGTATAATTTCAAGTTTTCGTGATGGTGTAATAATGGTAAAAGCAGGTTCCTTCTTATACACGTCTCCATCTGTGCAGGTGTGTGTTGTGTGTGTGTTGTGTTTGTGACGCTGCTTGTTGCAGAGTGAGTCTTACCTTCAGGGTCGGACCAGAGCAGATCACACATGGGTCCGTCGTGAGGCACTTCCTGTTTCCTGTCTATGGTGCGTATCTGGTCCAAGGTCTGGATGGAGGGAGAGAGTCCGCCGTGCACGCAGAAGATCTGAAACAGTTTGGAGAGTGGTGCTTTCTGAGACACAGTCCTAATGCTAACGCTAAGTCTAAGTCTAACCCTCACCTTGCCGTCGATGATGGCCGACAGGGACAGGTAGTCAAAGATCTCGGTGCAGTACCTCCAGACCGTCACCGAGCCGTACTTTCGCAGACATTCGTCATAGAAGCCGTAAACCTGCGTGATCTGCCGTGACTCGTGGTTTCCTCTGATCAGAGTGATCCTGTCGGGGTAACGCACCTGCAACAGAGAGAGACCTGATCTACATCCTGGGCTTTTTAATGTGCAGCATTATCTACAGCTTCACGTGTGATTGACAGATTGAGCTGAACCCATTTTCTCCCATTTCAGAAGCACCGCAGGAATAAATGTCAAAGCTAAACATACATTTCTACTAAAATTAACTCTTTAAAGGCCTTAGACTCTGAGTTCACCCTGTTCCCAAATGATTGGATATATACGTTCATTTGTCATTTTCAGCCTCTTTTCTTGCACTGTGAGCTACAACTGTGACATTTCCCGAACTTCAGATAGAGCACAGAACACAAAACTATTATCGTTACACTAAGACAGAAAGGTCGAGCTCATACTGGGCCTTTTACATCAGGCAGAAGTGTGTTTACTTGTACAGGAGCAGATGCTGCAGACGTTTGTATAATTCTAGAATAATAAAGTCTTGGAGACGACAGGAGCAAAGGAACACGTGGATCAACTCCACTCCCACTGAATAAACTTTATAAACTTGTGCCTTGTTCACTTCCTCCATTTCTCTGTAAGTTTAGACACATGAGAGCTCTGGGTTCACCTCAGACTGATCCTGTCTCTGTGTGGTTCCTCATGTAAAGGTCAGCATCATTTTACCATTTCACAAATCTGCCACAACTTTATGGGAAAACTATTTTTGAAAGACAGGTTTTGCTTTACGTGGCTTGTTCCCAGAATGAGAGAAACTAGATCTAAACTAATTATCTGACTTTGACACTTTTGAGTTTGAGTTATAAACTATGGTTATTCCTGATCTTGTGACGTCACACAGACACCAGGGTCAGGAGGAGAGTATAAGACAGTAGACGGAGGCGCACCTTGAGAGCGAGCAGCAGCAGAAAGGTCTCCACGCTGTAGAAGCCTCGGTCCACAAAGTCTCCCATGAAGAGGTAGTTGGTCTCGGGCACATCTCCTCCCACCTGCAGCAGACAGTCATGTATGAGCGGTGTGGAGGCAGCGTCGCTATGGCAACACAACACTTACTCTGAACAGCTCCTTCAGGTCGTAGAACTGGCCGTGGATGTCTCCGCACACCTGCAGGGGGAGACGGGGGAGGAGGAGGGAGGAGAGGGCTGTCAGGCATGTGTCCGTCCACTACACTGTTATTAGAAATGGCTGCGCACTCACTGTGACTGGGGAGTCCACCCTCTGCACGTTGCTTTCTTCAACTAGAATCTCTCTGAAAACACAGACATTTATCACAGTCCACACATTGTTAGTAACTACTGAATTGTCTCGAGACACGGCTAACACAATCATACTGCACTAGTCGTTCCACACAATGTCATTAAGTTTGGAGATGGAATCAAAGGCAAAATACTTGACACTCTACTAACGGTCAGTGGCAGTTGGACAAATGGCCCCAAACCTCAGCTGTAAAAGGCAGAGCGATGAACAATAACTCAACTAAAATAACAAAGCTAACGTTAGCATAACAAAGAAGTATATTATGTAAGGAGTGGGCAGAGCTCCCTCCTGCTGCTGTGTCTCTGTAAAGTTACCGTAACCTGCTCAAACAGCAGCTTTGGCTCCAATTACACTCCATGATCATTATTCTAGAGATTTACAAGCAGTGGATCAGACACGGTGCAAAACTAAAGCTGCGACACGAGGTTCACATGCACTCATGAGGCTAAGGCCATGAATCATACTCCACGGTCACGTCTGTCCTCACAAAAGACCCTTTACTAACAAACTTATGGAGAATGGAATGTATCATTGGGGGTTAAGTTTGAGGCAACAACAATATTTAATGCCAACATCTTTAATATTGAGACAAAAACGATCTTTTAATGAGTCGATCATCACTTTACTTTTCACATAATAAAATCCTTAAGGGGAAAGGATCACATAATCCTGTTCCTCACATGTAGTACTTTGGTGGAAACAAGGCTATAGAAATTACTTGTGAAGCCAAAGTTACCCTACCCAGGTATTTGAGTGTCTCTCGGTCCTGGTTCTATCCAGGCCGAGCTGGCACTGAAGTGTTCTCACTGACAGTGATTGGTCAGAGTGCTACTGGAAGCCATGGTTACCAAGGAATTTCTCTAGACACTGTTGTGGGTGGGTTGCTGGGATACAATGCCAGGCAGATTCTAAAGCGTAAGGGAAACAACCAGGTAGAGCCGAGCCGAGTGGGGATGGTGGAAACGGGGCTAAAATTGCTTTGCAGTTTGAATGTTTATATTTACCGCACATTCATTCCAGTGTTTTCTTTTTGGTTCGACTCTGATCTACAACAGTTTTCATGGTATTCAGCTCTGTCATGTTGAGGACCTTTGTAAATTAAAAGGCTGTAAAACTAAATATTAAAACTTGAATCTACACTAACGATCAATACTTTGTCATCTGCTCATATCTAGGATCCGCAGATGTTGAAGCCAGTGACAAGAAACCTGCCATTTTACAACATTCCAGACTTTATATCTGACAGTAAACAGAAGGGACGTCTCAAACCTGACAATACCAAGTGTCCAAATGAACCCAATAAATGAAAAAACCAGGACATTTTGATCATTACTTCGAGTAAATAGACTCATCACATCAATAGAAGGTCTTGGCTGATACGACGACAGATCCCTGGTCCAATCATGTCACAGTAAAGACAAACAGCCTTTAAAGCCTAAGTTCCACGTCTACACAGACCCTGACCTCTGGAGCAGTACCTGGCTTTGGCACAGAGCGCCTTCACTTCGTTCTCCTTGATGAGCTCGCAGCGCCGCAGTTGCTCGATCTGTCGGTCCAGGTCGCTGATGTCCCCCATTGTCACGCACATATGGAGATCGGGTGAACGCACACACACACACACACACTCTCGCCGCCCCTCACGCACTAATAAAACTGATACAGAGGCCCCTTATGTCTCCTCCTGGTCAGGCTCAGCACTCCCTTTCCAAGAAGTCCAGTGTTTACGTCACAGTCTCAGGCACGAAGAGGGCAGCTGAGGGGAGAGGCAGAAACAACACAATCATTATTACACACACATTACAAATACTGAGGCTGGGAGAGCTTTGGTCCGGGTCGTTCTGCTTTGAATACATTTCACACACCTGGACTCGCAATAAGCAATTCTTTACTGTGTTTAAGAGATATGCTATATAATCACACAGTGCAGAAATTTCGGTCAAAATCATTGTCAACAAGATAAACCAAGATGTAGGTTTGCGCAGTGGAATCAACTAGCCTTCGTTTTAAAACTATTCCAAAAAAATATTATAAATGTGCTGATGCTCTGTAGTTTACTGTAGCCACTGACTTAAGTCCATTACTCATTTTGTTAATGATAATACCAAATTATCATTAGGCAAAAAGTAAATACTCATGTAATGTGATCCATGTTTGGTTCCGTCACTAGCTTAAACATGTATTTATGGTTGACTTATCATTTGCATATTAGTGCCACATTTCGATGCCACTGTTTTTGAAGTCCATATGACGTACATTGTCGAGTCAATTCAAACCATAAACATCTATATCTCAGAACTGACGTCACGAACAGTTGTTTCAGTCTGAGGTGCTAACTGAAGCATAGAACAGTGCTCTCCAACCTGTAGCTCCCCAGCCCCCGTCAGGTAGCTCGCAAAGAATTTATAATTCAACACAGGATCCTGAATGATTCACTGGTCAGAACATGTCTATACGTATAGACATGGGGTTATACAAGTATTATAGTATATTATAAATGTGTTTAGTCAAAATTATTGCACGGATTTTTATCATGACAGCAAAAAGGAGTAGCTCTCTGCTTCTGTTGTATGAAAGTAGCTCTCTGGAAAAGTTTAGAGACTCCTGGTTTAGAAGTACTTCCAAAACGCGTAGTTTTCTCTCACTAAATATTAAGTATACTGAACTTTGACTAACGCACTTCTTATCGATATTACTATTGATGTAAATGTAGCACAAGATCCAAAACTTTAAACACATCAACACGTTAGCGTCTGATGTTTGTTACAAAGTTACACAGCAAAATAAAACAAACACTAATTAGACTTATTAGTTTAACTTTTAGTGGAAGATAACCTCATATTAGCAGAGTTTGTAGAAGAATGCGAGGCCTTTGGGCGTAGTTTAGGAAAACACAGCGCGGAGTTAGCGGTTAGCATCAGTTAGCATCAGATAGCATCAGTTAGCTTCAGTTAGCATCAGATAGCATCAGTTAGCATCAGTTAGCATCAGTTAGCATCAGATAGCATCAGTTAGCATCAGTTAGCATCAGTTAGCATCAGTTAGCATCAGTTAGCATCAGATAGCATCAGTTAGCATCAGTTAGCATCAGATAGCATCAGATAGCATCAGTTAGCATCAGTTAGCATCAGTTAGCATCAGTTAGCATCAGTTAGCATCAGTTAGCATCAGATAGCTTACATCACCGCTAGCGACGTCAGCGAACAACTGACTATGAACATCCAACCATTTTGAGGTCAATTCTGGGAAGTAGGTTAGCCTCATTACTGTGAGTCAAGAGCCTGAGATTGGTTAAGGGAATAAACCTCCATAAACGACACTTATGGACTAGTCTCAGAGGTGAACTGTCTAAAAGCGCAGGCGAGGAGCTGCTGCTGAAGAGCCGGCTACACAGCAGTTAGCCCCGGGAGCTAATGTACAAGCTAGCTTTAGCATGTGCGGTGGTTGTTGTGGTGAAGAGCGGTCAGTCCGTTACCTTATAGCGGGGAAAGAGGGGTTGGTGGGCGGGGTGGCTATGAGCGGCCGCGGGGCTCCGTGGAGGGGTCGGCGTGGTGCTGGGTCTCCCCGGTGTGAGTGGTGTGAGTCCCGGCTGAGACTGCCTGTGTGCTGCGCTGCCTCCGCCGCCGTGTGCATGCGCCTCATGAACGCGCACGCACACACTTCCGGTTTCATCTGCTGCCCACTCACCCACTCATCCATCCACTCACCCACTCATCCATCCACTCACCCACTCATCCATCCACTCACCCACTCATCCATCCACTCACCCACGCGTGTCTCCACAGGACTGTATCAGCTTGGCGAGTTTATTTGTAAAGCACAGATTCATACACAAGGCCACTCAAAGTGCTGAACAAGATAAAAAACCATCACATAAGACATTGAAATTAAATCATAAAATAACACAGTATTTTCAGTTGTTGCAGATAAACAAAACTGTTTTAACTGAACATTGTCAGAGAGGAAGCCTGTCTCACATTTTCAGGAAGACTGTTTTTAGCTGCATAAATTTGAAACGCTGTCTCGTGTTGGGTAGTCCTGACTCTGGGACCAGCAGGAGGCCCCTCAGAGCACAGGGACTAATGTACTTTTGACACCAAATCATTTTGCGATATATTACGTTGTTTGAGGTCAAGTCTAAAGCCAATGTACACAAACCAGAGACTGTTGGCTTTAATTATTATCATTACAATGTTATGAATGAAAACAAATCTTTGCGGAATAATAGGAGTAGGATTTAATGCAAAACAAAGTTGAAGTCAAGTGTCAGAAACGTAGCTGAAAAAGTAGCAGCACATTCATATGTTGAAAAATAATAATTCTACACTTTTGGTACATTTTGGTCCAAAGGGTTCTCACCCCCCACAGGTAATACAAATTCATTTTGAACATTTGTATTATTTTACATTTGTTTGTTGAAATGTTTCTGTTCTTTTCAAGTTTAAAAGTTGAATGTTGCATCATTGAAATAAATTAAATTAAAAGTACAATTTAAAATAATTTTAAATGTTATTTTTTCAACAACAAAAAGTAAAACATTTGTCCTAAAAATCAAACAAAAAAGTAAACAATATGTGGAGATACAATTGTCAGAACCCAGTAATTAAAACATATCATATAGTGAACTGTCCAGTGTCTGTGTGTGTGTGTATGCGCGTTTGTGTGTCTATGTGCGTGTGTGTCTGTGTGTGAGTGTGTGTCTGTGTGCGAGTGTGTGTCTATGTGCGTGTGTGTGAGTGTGTGTGTCTGTGTGTGTCTGTGTGTGTGTGTGTGTGTGTGTGTTTGGGGCAAGACACTTCCCCCACATTAGAATGAGTCTGGTGTATGAATGGTTGGTGGTGGTGGGAGGGGCTGATGGCACAGACTGGTTGCCTCGCTTCTGTCAGTGTGCCCCAGGGCAGCTGTGGCTACAGTAGTTTATCACCACCATGTTTGGAGAGAGAGAATAATGATGTGAAGAGACTTCAAGCGTCTGAAAAGAACAGTATAAAACCAATGCATTATTATTATTATTATATTATTATTATTATTATTATTATTATTATATATATATCTGCACCGTGCAGTGTGGCTTCTGGAGTTGGTTTCTTTACAATCTCAGATTATTGTGTGTGGGGTCTTTGTGGTCGTGCCGTGGTTTTGCCGATCGTTGGTTTCATCGTCTCTTCGCCGTCAACAGTTTGAACTTCAATCAGACTGATGCGAGGAGACGATACATTTCACTAAAGGCACTTATCGTGGAATGTAGTTCATTGTGAACCGTTCTTAACTTCTTCAAACTAAGGGCAGTGTGTTTCCGTCTTTAGGATGGATTTGTAACTTTAAAATATATCAGAATTAAAATAATCATAATCTGTGGTTCTCCAGGCGCCCTCTACTGGTCACACACTGTTGCAGACATGTTAAAATACAGGACAATCTTTCATAAAGAAACGTGACCATGACCATACGAAAGAGAGGTCACAGGGCGCCAAAGTCACGGATCCAGTGTCATGTGACATCACAGCGAGCAGAAGAACTTGTGGACAGGGAGGGACAGGGCTCCGGCCAAACAGATGCCCAGAGAGTCCCCCACAGACGACACAGCCATCGCAAACTCCCGGTGCCGCTCCACCGTCTGTAAACAACAACAACAGTCCATGAACGCACAACAATAAGACGTCAATCCAGATGACTGCCAGAGGGCGGTGCATAGTACTGAATGTTCCCTGCGTAAGCGTGAAGGAAACATTCAGTGCTACGCACCGCCCACTGGTGGTCAGGAGGGATTAAATAGAACTAGCTTTGGAGCTATAATATGGCATATTTACGTTTGTTTTATACTGATGTTCATTAAAGTGATGAATATGAATTACAAATTTTAGGAAATGTGTTAAATTGACCTCCTGGCCTTAAATGTTGATATAAAATAAGTCATTTTATTAATTCTAATATTACGGGCAAGTCCCGCCTTCCCTGCTCTTAGCTATAGTTCAGAATCCACGGTGCCGTCGAGGTTAACCAATCGAGTCATGCCAAGGGCTGTCAATCATCGGCGCTGATGCGCGCATGCCCAGTTGCTTGTTTTTGCGGAGCCTCTATTAGGCTCTGGAACTACATGAAAACTGAACAAAGAATTCTGAACATCCGCGCTGAGGTACTTATGTATATACTGAACCTATATCCATAATCAGATCCTCTGCAGATGTGTCCTATAATGTGCAATTCATGATAATAGCACTTCCTGGTTTGCCACGATCGCTTTTTTGTGTGCATTAAAACATAATTTTTTTCATTAAAAAAGTTCACAAATAATTCTCAAAACCTCCGTGCATGTGTATTAATAATTTATATGTATAATGTGTTCTCTGATTAACATTTCAAAGTGTTACGGAAACGTAGGTGTAGACCAATCAGAAAGGAAGGGGGAGGAGCTTGCGTCGTTTTTTTCCAAATAAAGGACCTCTCTGTCTCTCTTTCTGACAAACTCCAGACAATCACTTTAATGTGCATTGTCCCTAAATTAATAAATAAAATAAAAAAATCTTGGAGACTTGGATTCAGAGTGTTTCTCTCTTTGCTTCATTCAGGCCCCTGTCCACACGTAGCCGGGAATCTGCTAAACCACAGATATTTGTCTTCGTTTGCAGCTGTCATCCACATGATAACGCATCATAAACAAATGTATATAAAAACTCCGGGCAAATTGAAGATTTAAAAAAACTCCATTTATGCATTTGCGTGTAGACAGCACGTCTCAGTCTGCCCCCAAAACAACAACAAACAAAACATGCGACCTCTGATCACTGAGGAAGGATCTTACTGTCTTAAAAACTGTTCCCTGCTTACACAGCAGCGAACATCCTCGCTCCACATCAGAGAGCAGCAAAGTGATCACCGAGACTCACGCTCAAAAACAACCAAACCAGGACTAAACCAGGACTAAACCAGGACTAAACCAGGGCTGAGGACGGGGGTCAGTGCTTGCAAACATACGTCTTCACCCTGAGTTTCTTCTGTGACTGTAAAAGTGCCGCTACAGAAGTACCGGCGTTAGCATCAAAGCTCCGCCCACTTCTGTGTTTTTCCCCGACGCAGGACGTCAGAGACGCACATGTTTGGAATGTTATGAATGTGATTGAAAACGCAGATGTTCGATTATGTGTGGATGCAAATTATTTTATAAACGGAAGGAGGGAAATATTCGATTTTAAAAATACCCGGCTACGTGTGGACATGGCCTCAGAGTGTTTCTCTCTTTGCTTCATTCAGAGGGTTTCTCACCTCTTTGCTGATGAAGTAGAAGGCGTTGACGTAGACCCCGCCCCCCAGCAGACCCTCGTACAGGATGATGACGAAGACAATCCAGGCCGAGGGCATGAAGCGGAGCCACACGGCCAACAGCAGCAGCACCATGTTCAGCATCTGCAACCCACCAAAACACTCAGTGCTGAAAGACTCTGGCTCCTCCTGAGAGGCAGCTGCATGTGGACAACACCCTCTGGCTCCTGAGAGGCAGCTGCATGTGGACAACACCCTCTGGCTCCTGAGAGAGGCAGCTGCATGTGGACAACACCCTCTGGCTCCTCCTGAGAGGCAGCTGCATGTGGACAACACCCTCTGGCTCCTCCTGAGAGGCAGCTGCATGTGGACAACACCCTCTGGCTCCTCCTGAGAGAGGCAGCTGCATGTGGCCAACACCCTCTGGCTCCTCCTGAGAGAGGCAGCTGCATGTGGCCAACACCCTCTGGCTCCTCCTGAGAGAGGCAGCTGCATGTGGCCAACACCCTCTGGCTCCTCCTGAGAGGCAGCTGCATGTGGACAACACCCTCTGGCTCCTCCTGAGAGGCAGCTGCATGTGGACAACACCCTCTGGCTCCTCCTGAGAGAGGCAGCTGCATGTGGACAACACCCTCTGGCTCCTCCTGAGAGAGGCAGCTGCATGTGGACAACACCCTCTGGCTCCTCCTGAGAGAGGCAGCTGCATGTGGACAACACCCTCTGGCTCCTCCTGAGAGAGGCAGCTGCATGTGGACGGCACCCTCTGGCTCCTCCTGAGAGAGGCAGCTGCATGTGGACAACACCCTCTGGCTCCTCCTGAGAGAGGCAGCTGCATGTGGACAACACCCTCTGGCTCCTCCTGAGAGAGGCAGCTGCATGTGGACAACACCCTCTGGCTCCTCCTGAGAGGCAGCTGCATGTGGACAACACCCTCTGGCTCCTCCTGAGAGAGGCAGCTGCATGTGGACAACACCCTCTGGCTCCTCCTGAGAGGCAGCTGCATGTGGACAACACCCTCTGGCTCCTCCTGAGAGAGGCAGCTGCATGTGGACAACACCCTCTGGCTCCTCCTGAGAGAGGCAGCTGCTGTGGACAACACCCTCTGGCTCCTGAGAGAGGCAGCTGCATGTGGACAACACCCTCTGGCTCCTGAGAGAGGCAGCTGCATGTGGACAACACTCTCTGGCTCCTCCTGAGAGGCAGCTGCATGTGGACAACACCCTCTGGCTCCTCCTGAGAGGCAGCTGCATGTGGCCAACACCCTCTGGCTCCTCCTGAGAGGCAGCTGCATGTGGCCAACACCCTCTGGCTCCTCCTGAGAGGCAGCTGCATGTGGCCAACACCCTCTGGCTCCTCCTGAGAGAGGCAGCTGCATGTGGCCAACACCCTCTGGCTCCTCCTGAGAGGCAGCTGCATGTGGACAACACCCTCTGGCTCCTCCTGAGAGAGGCAGCTGCATGTGGCCAACACCCTCTGGCTCCTCCTGAGAGAGGCAGCTGCATGTGGCCAACACCCTCTGGCTCCTCCTGAGAGGCAGCTGCATGTGGACAACACCCTCTGGCTCCTCCTGAGAGGCAGCTGCATGTGGACAACACCCTCTGGCTCCTCCTGAGAGAGGCAGCTGCATGTGGACAACACCCTCTGGCTCCTCCTGAGAGAGGCAGCTGCATGTGGACAACACCCTCTGGCTCCTCCTGAGAGAGGCAGCTGCATGTGGACAACACCCTCTGGCTCCTCCTGAGAGAGGCAGCTGCATGTGGACAACACCCTCTGGCTCCTCCTGAGAGAGGCAGCTGCATGTGGACAACACCCTCTGGCTCCTCCTGAGAGAGGCAGCTGCATGTGGCCAACACCCTCTGGCTCCTCCTGAGAGAGGCAGCTGCATGTGGACAACACCCTCTGGCTCCTGAGAGAGGCAGCTGCATGTGGACAACACCCTCTGGCTCCTCCTGAGAGAGGCAGCTGCATGTGGACAACACCCTCTGGCTCCTCCTGAGAGAGGCAGCTGCATGTGGACAACACCCTCTGGCTCCTCCTGAGAGAGGCAGCTGCATGTGGACAACACCCTCTGGCTCCTGAGAGAGGCAGCTGCATGTGGACAACACCCTCTGGCTCCTGAGAGAGGCAGCTGCATGTGGACAACACCCTCTGGCTCCTCCTGAGAGAGGCAGCTGCATGTGCACAACACCCTCTGGCTCCTCCTGAGAGAGGCAGTTGCATGTGGACAACACCCTCTGGCTCCTGAGAGAGGCAGCTGCATGTGGACAACACCCTCTGGCTCCTCCTGAGAGAGGCAGCTGCATGTGGACAACACCCTCTGGCTCCTCCTGAGAGAGGCAGTTGCATGTAGACAACACCCTCTGGCTCCTCCTGAGAGGCAGCTGCATGTGGACAACACCCTCTGGCTCCTCCTGAGAGAGGCAGCTGCATGTGGACAACACCCTCTGGCTCGGGCTCAGGGCAGGTCTCATGCACCTACAGAAGGAACCTGTGTGTGTGTGTGGGGGGGGGGGGGGGTCTCACCTGCAGCGCCGCTAACACCCAGAGTTGGCGGATTTTGACGCAGCAGAGAGAGGAGCGCGACAGGAAGACTCCCACCTGGTACAGGGTCTGGTACCTGCACAGAACCATCAAACTGCATTATTCAGTGCTAAGACATTACAGTTTTTTATTTAATCTAGAAATACAGCGTTACTTGAATCACATTGAGTCATGATTGAATAAAGAAAAGTAATAGTGGTATAAAACTCCCTCTTACCAGCGATATTGTTCAGCGTGAGACAGAAAGAAATTGGGGAAATACAGGAGCTCCATCTGAAGCAGAACATGGAAAAGTTAAAACCTTACAGTGAAGAATGAGCGACAAATGGCAACAGGAAGTTAAAGCTAGTCTGAAGATTAGATTGTCATTCACAGAGGATTCTATCTGTTGAAACATGTGGAGGTAAAAACATCACTATCTTACATTTGTCTGGTATGTAACTGATGATGCAACACTGACATTTCCCTGAGACCAAGAAAGGACCTCCTCATCTTCATCTTCATCTTAAACATGGCCGTTGCTCCTCCGCAGACAAAGTTGTGATGCAAGTAAACATATTTCCTCCACATAACGCGGATTCAGAAAAGGCATTTGCCAAAGAGAGTAAATAAAACCCGGGGGAGGAGCTAGGTGCAGAGAGGACTGAGGGGAGAGCAATGGCGGCACGTAGACATGAGGATACAAACTACTAAAACTAGAATCGTGCTAAAACAGCTTTGTGTGTGAAAGACAAGGGAAAATATAAAATGGTCAAAATCTGCGTAAAGTCTGACAGGTTTTTAAGTTATTTCCCCTTTAAGATCGTTTCTGTCTAACTTTGTACAGTTTATTATTATTCTTTTGTTGTTAGACTATGATGTTACGTGTCTCTGTCTGTGGATCTGTGGAGGATGAGTTTGAGCAGAAAACTCACCAGGCCTTGGTTGATGAAGTACTCTGCGAAGTAAACCAGCCCAAGAGGAAGCACGAAGGGGAGGAGGCCCTGGTGGGACAGAGGATAGAGTGAGGGAGGGGTCCTGCAGAGTGAGGGAGGAGGGGCGGGTCCTGCAGAGTGAGTGAGGTTAGGGACTGGGCCTCACCTTCATCACCTGCAGCTTCTCAGAGCAGCTCAGAGGGCCACTCACAGTCCGCGCTGCTCCTGAAGGAGAAGACAAAGGGACCATGTGGAAACCAGGTCTGAACCCAGAGTCTGCTCCACCTCTGCTGCTGCGACCTAAAGGACTGCTGCATTTAAATACTAGAACGATCAATTTATTTGATTTGTTTGTTTGGATGGATGTGTTTCTGCTGAAACTGGACACCTGCATTTCTCCAACAGGGATCAATAAAGCATTAATCTGTCTGTTGGATTGAACTGAGCTGGACTGAGCTGGACTGAATTAATAGAATGAATAATGAGGGCGGCAGTAGCTCAGTTGGTAGAGCGTTGGCCTTTGAGCCAGAAGGTCGTGGGTTCAAGCCCCGCTCAAGACTTTCACCATCGACTCCCACTGACTACTGTCGTTGTGTCCTTGGGCAAGACACTTAACCTCTAGGACAGTGTCTCCCAAAGTGGGGTCCGCGGCCCCCTGGTGGGCTGCGAGGGTACTGCAGGGGGGCCGCGGGAGGTCATAAAAAAAAATATATAATTATTTAATGTTAAATTTATAATGTTTTGTTTGTAATATTAAAATATTTGTGTTCATTATTTGACTTGAATAATCCTCTGTAATCATTTTTGTATTACAATGTTTGTAGCAGAGGCTATTTCCCCAAAATAAAATAACCAGAAGAGCCTATTCTTAATGTTGTCTTCTTGGATATTATTTTGGGGGGCCACGCAGACCCGTCAGATTTTTAAGGGGGCCTCGGTGTTACTGAGTTTGGGAATGGCTGCTCTAGGAACACCAGCCACAGTGGGGCGGCTGCGGCTGTAAAGTGCCAAACTGCTGTTGTGTCCTTAGGCAAGACACTTCACCCCCAATGCCTAGAATGAGTCTGGTGTGTGTGTGAATGGTTGGTGGTGGTGGGAGGGGCCGATGGCACATACTGGTTGCCTTGCTTCTGTCAGTGTGCCCCAGGGCAGCTGTGGCTAAAGTAGTAGTTTATCACCACCGTGTATGGAGTGAATGAATAATGACACATGTGAAGCGTCTTTGAGTGTCCAAAAAAGCGCTATATAAAACCGATGCATTATTATATTATTATTTTTAATGACAATAATGAAGAGACTTTGAGAGTCCAAGAAAGCGCTGTATAAAACATGGACAGGTGTTGCAAATTAGCAGTTTTGCTATAACACTGGAAACAATGTATCTGGTTTGTCCAATGCAGTTGATATGTCCATATCAAATAAACTAATAATAATAATAAAACTGATTAATTCATATTAAACTGAATTAATAGTACAATAAAAATATGGTGCAGACTCAGAGTGACCTCACCTCGCTCGTCTTGGTCCTTGTTCTCCTGGTCCTCCTGGTCCTGCTCCTCCTGGTCCTCCGCTGAGTTGATGAGCGTCTCCGTCTCCTCCGAACACAGCCCTGGGCATTTGGGCTCCTCCTCAGGCCTCCACTGGGGCAACGAGGGGGGGGGCACCAGCAGGAAGAAGTAACTGCAGAGAGCACAGGGACCAGAGCACAGGGATCAGCAGAGCACAGAGACCAAAAGGAGGAAGTAACTGCAGAGAGCACAGGGACCAGCAGGAGGAAGTAACTGCAGAGAGCACAGGGACCAGAAGGAGGAAGTAACTGCAGAGAGCACAGGGACCAGAAGGAGGGAGTAACTGCAGAGAGCACAGGGACCACCAGACTAGCACACAGGGATCAGAGCAAACAGGGATCAGAGCACAGGGATCAGAGCACAGGGATCAGAGCACAGGGATCAGACCACAGAGATCAGACCACAGAGATCAGAGCACACAGGGACCAGGGCACACAGGGATCAGAGCACACAGGGATCAGAGCACACAGGGACCAGGGCACACAGGGATCAGAGCACACAGGGATCAGAGCACACAGGGATCAGAGCACAGGGATCAGACCACAGGGATCAGAGCAGACCTCACACACAAACAGTAGGAGGTGTCGTACCTGAGGACCATAGCTGCAGGTACAACCAGCATGATGAGCAGAGTGACCTGTGGAGTGAGGCCCGCCTGAGTGAGGCCCGAGTACAGGAGGGCCCCTCCCATTCCGGCCATTCCAGTGCCCGAGCCCCACCCCCCCAACACATCTCTGAGGACGACAGGAAGATTTATGTTATTCACAATTTACAGGAAAACCAGATTAGAAAACATGCTCTCTGGTGTCTCTCGCTGGTCTCCCTCTCTGGTCTCCCTCTCTGGTCTCCCTCTCTGGTCTCCCTCTCTGGTCTCCCTCTCTGGTCTCCCTCTCTGGTCTCCCTCTCTGGTCTCCCTCTCTGGTCTCCCTCTCTGGTCTCCCTCTCTGGTCTCCCTCTCTGGTCTCCCTCTCTGGTCTCCCTCTCTGGTCTCCCTCTCTGGTCTCCCTCTCTGGTCTCCCTCTCTGGTCTCCCTCTCTGGTCTCCCTCTCTGGTCTCCCTCTCTGGTCTCCCTCTCTGGTCTCCCTCTCTGGTCTCTCTCTCTGGTCTCTCTCTCTGGTCTCTCTCTCTGGTCTCTCTCTCTGGTCTCTCTCTCTGGTCTCTCTCTCTCTGGTCTCTCTCTCTGGTCTCTCTCTAAGTTTCCACAGAAAGAAGAGACGCTGAGGACCTGTGGGTGTTTTTGTCCCATTCCAGGTCCTTAGACAGAGTGAGATCCAGAATTGCACAACATTATAACATTATACAAAACACAAATAAATAAGCCTTGGTCTGGGCTGTTACCTGCTGAAGTAGACTGTGAGTGCGAGGAACGACAACTCTCCCAGTCCACTGCTGATACTGGCCAACACCACACCTGCAGAGAGGAGAGAGGGGAGAGGGGAGAGGGGAGAGGGGAGAGAAGAGAGAAGAGAGGGGAGAGAGGGGAGAGAGGGGAGAGAGGGGAGAGGGGAGAGAAGAGAGAAGAGAGGGGAGAGAGGGGAGAGAGGGGAGAGAGGAGAGAGGGGAGAGAGGAGAGGGGAGAGAGAGGGGAGAGAGGGGAGAGAGGAGAGAGAGAGGAGAGAGGGGAGAGAGAGAAGAGAGGAGAGAGAGGAGAGGGGAGAGAGAGAGAGAGGAGAGAGGGGAGAGAGAGAGAAGAGAGGAGAGGGAGGAGAGAGGAGAGAGAGGATAGAGAGAGAGAGAGGAGAGAGAGAGAGAGAGAGAAGAGAGAGAGGAGAGAGAGAAGAGAGAGGAGAGAGGAGAGAGAGGAGAGAGGAGAGAGAAGAGGGAGGAGAGGGGAGAGAGAGAGAGGAGAGAGAAGAGAGAGAGGAGAGAGAGAGAGAAGAGAGGAGAGGAGAGGAGAGGAGGAGAGGAGAGAGAGAAGAGAGGAGGAGAGGAGGAGAGAAGAGAGGAGAGGAGGAGAGAGAGAGAGAGAGAGAGAAGAGAGGAGAGAGAGAGAGAAGAGAGAGGAGAGAGAGAGAGAAGAGAGGAGCGGAGAGGAGAGGGAGGAGAGGGGAGAGAGAGAGAGAAAGGAGAGGAGAGATGGGAGAGAGGAGAGGAGAGAGGAGAGAGAGGAGAGGAGAGAAGAGAGAGGAGAAAAGAGAGAGAGGAGAGAGAAGAGGAGAGAAGAGAGAGAGGAGAGAGAAGAGGAGAGAAGAGAGAGAGGAGAGAGGAGAGGGAGGAGAGAAGAGAGAGAGGAGAGAGGAGAGAGAGGAGAGGGAGGAGAGGGGAGGGAGGAGAGGGGAGAGATAGAGAGAGAGGAAAGAAGAGAGAGGAGAGAGGAGAGAGAAGAGGAGAGAGAGGAGAGGAGAGAGAAGAGAGAGAGGAGAAGAGTTTTTACTTTAAATGGTCTCATCAATGAAACTTGCTAAATACTACATATATATTTTGACTGGTATTGAAGCATTTTCAGCATCTACAGCTAGTTATGTTTGTCACCGGTTCTGTTCACTGTATTTATGGACAGAATTTCTAGGCGCAGCAGGGGCCGGAGGGAGTCCGGTTCGGGGACCACAGGATTTCATCTCTGCTGTTTGCGGACGATGTTGTCCTGTTGGCTCCAACGAACCAGGATCTGCAGCATGCACTGGGACGGTTTGCCGCTGGGATGAGAATCAGCACCTCCAAATCCGAGGCCATGGTGCTCGACCGGAAAAAGGTGCCTTGCCCTCTTCAGGTGGGTGGAGAGGTCCTTCCTCAAGTGGAGGAGTTCAAGTATCTCGGGGTCTTGTTCACGAGTGAGGGAAGAATGGAGCGTGAGATTGACAGGCGGATCGGTGCAGCGTGCGCAGTTATGCGGTCTCTGTATCGGACCGTTGTGGTAAAGAGGGAGCTGAGCCGAAAGGCGAAGCTCTCGATTTACCGGTCAATCTTCGTTCCCTCCCTCACCTATGGTCATGAGCTTTGGGTAATGACCGAAAGAACGAGATCGCGGATACAAGCGGTCGAAATGAGCTTCCTCCGCAGAGTGGCTGGGCGCTCCCTTAGAGATAGGGTGAGGAGCTCAGTCACACGGGAGGAGCTCGGAGTAGAGCCGCTGCTTCTCCACGTCGAGAGGAACCAGTTGAGGTGGCTCGGGCATCTGTTCCGGAAGCCTCCTGGACGCCTCCCTGGGGAGGTGTTCCGGGCACGTCCCACCGGGAGGAGGCCCCGCGGAAGACCTAGGACACGCTGGAGGGACTATGTCTCTCAGCTGGCCTGGGAACACCTTGGGGTCCCCCCGGACGAGCTGGAGGAAGTGTGTGTGGATAGGGAAGTCTGGGCGTCTCTGCTTAGACTGCTGCCCCCGCGACCCGGCAACGGATAAAGCGGAAGAAAATGGATGGATGGATGGATACAGCTAGTTATGTTAGCTAAGAAACATAGCTACTACTTATTTGTATATAGTGTACAGTATATATTGTGTGTGCTCCCTGTGTGCTCTTACTACTGTCCTATATGTGCAATGCAACATCAAAATTTCCCCACTGTGGGACAAATAAAGGAATTCTTATCTTATCTGTTATTATTATTTTTCTCAGTATTTAATAACATCGGGAGAGAAACAAGAGAAACACTAAACTCTGCAGGTTTTCAGCTTAAGTCAGAATAAGTTTGACACTTCTGCTGTAGATGATGTGGTTGTTTTCTTGATAAATCATCTTTAAAATAAAACCTGCTCCATAAGCCCAGGCTCTCACAGGCGCTCATGCTGACATCACACTTGTCCAGTAGGGGGCGCCTGTTTGAGACCACTGCTTTAGTTCAAACTGACCTAAGAAACTCATCCAAAGAGCATAAGAGAAGGACACGACCAGGAAACTGCCGGCAGCCGTCAGCGCCACACAGAGCACCCGCAACCTGCAAATACAGCATTTATACAGAGTTAGTTTTAGTGACATCATAAGAAACATTTATTAACATTTCTGGACAGTGTCATGGCGCTGCTTTGGACAAATGACTTTATGTGTTTGTTATTATTGAACGGTTTGATTTTCTGATCTGCTGCTGGGGAATCAAGCCGGCTTTTGACTCTAAATGACTATAGATGAAACTCAACCAGGTCTAATACATTATTTAGTGTTCTAGTGTTCTAAAAGCAACATTCAACAGAGAAAACACACAAACTGCATTCTATCATTTAGATAAAACTGCATTTATATTGTTTGGCCGGTTCTCTGCAGATCTACTCTAGAACCGGACCAGGATCGGTCATGAGGTTATGGAGAGACACATGTGACAGAAACAGAACAGAACCTCTGGGACACGGGTCTTACGCATATGGGACTCTGGAGATGAAGAACGGAGCCGTCATTTTGATGATGAGCGTCGGGATCACGTTGGCCAAGAGCACGGCCTGAAACACAGACACCTCATGTTCTTTTGATCACCACATTTTAGACACTTCTGTTGTTGCAAACAAAATCCATCCATCTACTTCCACTTCATCTGTCGCCGGATCACAGAGGCAGCAGTCTGAGCACTTCCCTCTCCACACACACCTCCTGCTCAGTGGGACGTACCCAGAACACCTCCCCAGAGAGACGACCAGGAGGCACCTCAACTGGTTCCCTTGGAAGAGCAGCGGCTCTACTCCGAGCTCCCCTATTTCTGAGGGAGCAGCCACTCTCCAGAGGAAGCTCATGTGGAGCTTGTGTCCACAATCTCGTTCTTTCAGTCATGACCCAAAGCTTATGACCAGAGGTGAGCTCTGAAAGCAGACGCTGCTCCCTCTTGACCCCAACGGTCCGATACAACGACCAACACTGCGCACACTGCACCGATCCACCTTCAATCTCACAGTGGCTCAGTCTCTGAGCATTGGCCTTTGAGCCTGAAGGTTGTGGGTTTGATCCCACCATTAGACCTTCTCCATCGACTGAGTGATTCCTTGTTGCACATACATGTAGCATGGTGCTAGCATGTGGACATAGACTTGTGACTCGGGCCTCATGTGGCCCCCAGGCCGCGCTGAGCCCAGGTCTGTGGTTTTAACACTATGTTGACAAAACCATAATAATGTCACTGAGTCAATACAAAGATGAAAACACTGAACTTTAGACCTTTATCATGTGACACAAAACTATTTGGAAAAGACGTTAAAAACTGTACTTAACGTAATTATATATTCTTATATATACAGTAATAACTACTATGTATATATATTCTATGTATATATGTACTATGTATATATGTTCTATGTATATATGTACTATGTATATATGTACTATGTATATATGTTCTATGTATATATGTTCTATGTATATATGTACTATGTATATATGTACTATGTATATATGTACTATGTATATATGTTCTATGTATATATGTACTATGTATATATGTACTATGTATATATGTTCTATGTATATATGTACTATGTATATATGTTCTATGTATATATGTACTATGTATATATGTTCTATGTATATATGTACTATGTATATATGTCCTATGTATATATGTACTATGTATATATGTACTATGTATATATGTTCTATGTATATATGTACTATGTATATATGTACTATGTATATATGTACTATGTATATATGTACTAAAGAATAAACTAGAGCTGTTTATTGTGTCGTCAGAGACATGTGTTATTGTGTCGTCATCAGAGACATGTGTTATTGTGTCGTCAGAGACATGTGTTATTGTGTCGTCAGAGACATGTGTTATTGTGTCGTCAGAGACATGTGTTATTGTGTCGTCATCAGAGACATGTGTTATTGTGTCGTCAGAGACATGTGTTATTGTGTCGTCATCAGAGACATGTGTTATTGTGTCGTCATCAGAGACATGTGTTATTGTGTCGTCATCAGAGACATGTGTTATTGTGTCGTCAGAGACATGTGTTATTGTGTCGTCATCAGAGACATGTGTTATTGTGTCATCAGAGACATGTGTTATTGTGTCGTCAGAGACATGTGTTATTGTGTCGTCAGAGACATGTGTTATTGTGTCATCAGAGACATGTGTTATTGTGTCATCAGAGACATGTGTTATTGTGTCGTCAGAGACATGTGTTATTGTGTCGTCAGAGACATGTGTTATTGTGTCATCAGAGACATGTGTTATTGTGTCGTCATCAGAGACATGTGTTATTGTGTCGTCAGAGACATGTGTTATTGTGTCGTCAGAGACATGTGTTATTGTGTCGTCAGAGACATGTGTTATTGTGTCATCAGAGACATGTGTTATTGTGTCATCAGAGACATGTGTTATTGTGTCATCAGAGACATGTGTTATTGTGTCGTCAGAGACATGTGTTATTGTGTCGTCAGAGACATGTGTTATTGTGTCATCATCAGAGACATGTGTTATTGTGATTGTCAGAGACATGTGTTATTGTGTCGTCATCAGAGACATGTGTTATTGTGTCGTCAGAGACATGTGTTATTGTGTCGTCAGAGACATGTGTTATTGTGTCGTCAGAGACATGTGTTATTGTGTCATCAGAGACATGTGTTATTGTGTCGTCATCAGAGACATGTGTTATTGTGTCGTCAGAGACATGTGTTATAGTGATCGTCAGAGACATGTGTTATTGTGTCATCAGAGACATGTGTTATTGTGATCGTCAGAGACATGTGTTATTGTGTCGTCATCAGAGACATGTGTTATTGTGTCATCAGAGACATGTGTTATTGTGTCATCAGAGACATGTGTTATTGTGTCATCAGAGACATGTGTTATTGTGTCGTCAGAGACATGTGTTATTGTGTCGTCATCAGAGACATGTGTTATTGTGTCGTCATCAGAGACATGTGTTATTGTGTCATCAGAGACATGTGTTATTGTGTCGTCATCAGAGACATGTGTTATTGTGTCGTCAGAGACATGTGTGACTTACCGCAGTAGAGGTGGGGTTACAGTCGTAGAGGTTACTGCTGTTGCTGCTGTTCCCAGACTCCAGACTGTGAGAGACCGAGGCCTGAACAACACTGACAGTTAGTCATCTTCATCAGCTACAGTCTGCTCAGTCATCTTCATCAGCTACAGTCTGCACCAGAGTCATCTTCATCATCTACAGTCTGCACCAGAGTCATCTTCATCATCTGCAGTCTGCTCAGAGTCATCTTCATCATCTACAGTCTGCTCAGAGTCATCTTCATCATCTACAGTCTGCTCAGAGTCATCTTCATCATCTGCAGTCTGCTCAGAGTCATCTTCATCATCTGCAGTCTGCTCAGAGTCATCTTCATCATCTACAGTCTGCTCAGAGTCATCTTCATCATCTACAGTCTGCTCAGAGTCATCTTCATCATCTGCAGTCTGCTCAGAGTCATCTTCATCATCTACAGTCTGCTCAGAGTCATCTTCATCATCTACAGTCTGCTCAGAGTCATCTTCATCATCTGCAGTCTGCTCAGAGTCATCTTCATCATCTACAGTCTGCACCAGAGTCATCTTCATCAGCTACAGTCTGCTCAGAGTCATCTTCATCATCTACAGTCTGCTCAGAGTCATCTTCATCATCTACAGTCTGCACCAGAGTCATCTTCATCAGCTACAGTCTGCTCAGAGTCATCTTCATCATCTACAGTCTGCTCAGAGTCATCTTCATCATCTACAGTCTGCACCAGAGTCATTTTCATCAGCTACAGTCTGCTCAGAGTCATCTTCATCATCTACAGTCTGCTCAGAGTCATCTTCATCATCTACAGTCTGCTCAGAGTCATCTTCATCATCTACAGTCTGCTCAGAGTCATCTTCATCATCTACAGTCTGCTCCAGTCATCTTCATCATCTACAGTCTGCTCAGTCATCTTCATAATCTACAGTCTGCACCAGAGTCATCTTCATCATCTACAGTCTGCACCAGAGTCATCTTCATCATCTACAGTCTGCACCAGAGTCATCTTCATCATCTACAGTCTGCTCAGAGTCATCTTCATCATCTACAGTCTGCTCAGAGTCATCTTCATCATCTACAGTCTGCACCAGAGTCATCTTCATCATCTACAGTCTGCTCAGAGTCATCTTCATCATCTACAGTCTGCACCAGAGTCATCTTCATCATCTGCAGTCTGCTCAGAGTCATCTTCATCATCTACAGTCTGCTCAGAGTCATCTTCATCATCTACAGTCTGCTCAAAGTCATCTTCATCATCTACAGTCTGCTCAGAGTCATCTTCATCATCTGCAGTCTGCTCAGAGTCATCTTCATCATCTGCAGTCTGCTCAGAGTCATCTTCATCATCTACAGTCTGCTCAGAGTCATCTTCATCATCTGCAGTCTGCTCAGAGTCATCTTCATCATCTACAGTCTGCACCAGTCATCTTCATCATCTACAGTCTGCTCAGTCATCTTCATCATCTACAGTCTGCTCAGTCATCTTCATCATCTACAGTCTGCACCAGTCATCTTCATCATCTACAGTCTGCACCAGAGTCATCTTCATCAGCTACAGTCTGCACCAGTCATCTTCATCATCTACAGTCTGCACCAGAGTCATCTTCATCAGCTACAGTCTGCACCAGAGTCATCTTCATCATCTACAGTCTGCTCAGAGTCATCTTCATCAGCTACAGTCTGCACCAGAGTCATCTTCATCATCTACAGTCTGCACCAGAGTCATCTTCATCATCTACAGTCTGCACCAGAGTCATCTTCATCATCTACAGTCTGCTCAAAGTCATCTTCATCATCTACAGTCTTCTCAGAGTCATCTTCATCATCTACAGTCTGCTCAGTCATCTTCATCATCTACAGTCTGCACCAGAGTCATCTTCATCATCTACAGTCTGCTCAGTCATCTTCATCATCTACAGTCTGCACCAGAGTCATCTTCATCATCTACAGTCTGCACCAGAGTCATCTTCATCATCTACAGTCTGCTCAGAGTCATCTTCATCATCTACAGTCTGCTCAGTCATCTTCATCATCTACAGTCTGCTCAGAGTCATCTTCATCATCTACAGTCTGCACCAGAGTCATCTTCATCATCTACAGTCTGCACCAGTCATCTTCATCATCTACAGTCTGCTCAGAGTCATCTTCATCATCTACAGTCTGCACCAGAGTCATCTTCATCATCTACAGTCTGCACCAGAGTCATCTTCATCATCTACAGTCTGCTCAGAGTCATCTTCATCAGCTACAGTCTGCTCAGAGTCATCTTCATCATCTACAGTCTGCTCAGTCATCTTCATCATCTACAGTCTGCTCAGAGTCATCTTCATCATCTACAGTCTGCACCAGAGTCATCTTCATCATCTACAGTCTGCACCAGTCATCTTCATCATCTACAGTCTGCTCAGAGTCATCTTCATCATCTACAGTCTGCACCAGAGTCATCTTCATCATCTACAGTCTGCACCAGTCATCTTCATCATCTACAGTCTGCTCAGAGTCATCTTCATCAGCTACAGTCTGCACCAGTCATCTTCATCATCTGCAGTCTGCTCAGAGTCATCTTCATCATCTACAGTCTGCACCAGAGTCATCTTCATCATCTACAGTCTGCACCAGTCATCTTCATCATCTACAGTCTGCTCAGAGTCATCTTCATCATCTACAGTCTGCACCAGAGTCATCTTCATCTTCATCATCTACAGTCTGCACCAGAGTCATCTTCATCAGCTACAGTCTGCACCAGAGTCATCTTCATCTTCATCATCTACAGTCTGCACCAGAGTCATCTTCATCATCTACAGTCTGCTCAGAGTCATCTTCATCATCTACAGTCTGCACCAGAGTCATCTTCATCATCTACAGTCTGCACCAGAGTCATCTTCATCATCTACAGTCTGCACCAGAGTCATCTTCATCATCTACAGTCTGCACCAGAGTCATCTTCATCAGCTATAGTCTGCTCAGAGTCATCTTCATCATCTACAGTCTGCACCAGAGTCATCTTCATCATCTACAGTCTGCACCAGTCATCTTCATCATCTACAGTCTGCTCAGAGTCATCTTCATCAGCTACAGTCTGCACCAGTCATCTTCATCATCTGCAGTCTGCTCAGAGTCATCTTCATCATCTACAGTCTGCACCAGAGTCATCTTCATCATCTACAGTCTGCACCAGTCATCTTCATCATCTACAGTCTGCTCAGAGTCATCTTCATCATCTACAGTCTGCACCAGAGTCATCTTCATCATCTACAGTCTGCACCAGAGTCATCTTCATCAGCTACAGTCTGCACCAGAGTCATCTTCATCTTCATCATCTACAGTCTGCACCAGTCATCTTCATCATCTACAGTCTGCTCAGAGTCATCTTCATCATCTACAGTCTGCACCAGAGTCATCTTCATCATCTACAGTCTGCACCAGAGTCATCTTCATCATCTACAGTCTGCACCAGAGTCATCTTCATCATCTACAGTCTGCACCAGAGTCATCTTCATCAGCTATAGTCTGCTCAGTCATCTTCATCATCTACAGTCTGCTCAGAGTCATCTTCATCATCTACAGTCTGCTCAGAGTCATCTTCATCAGCTACAGTCTGCTCAGAGTCATCTTCATCATCTACAGTCTGCACCATAGTCATCTTCATCATCTACAGTCTGCTCAGAGTCATCTTCATCATCTACAGTCTGCTCAGAGTCATCTTCATCATCTACAGTCTGCTCAGAGTCATCTTCATCATCTACAGTCTGCACCATAGTCATCTTCATCATCTACAGTCTGCTCAGAGTCATCTTCATCATCTACAGTCTGCTCAGAGTCATCTTCATCATCTACAGTCTGCTCAGAGTCATCTTCATCATCTACAGTCTGCTCAGTCATCTTCATCATCTACAGTCTGCACCAGAGTCATCTTCATCAGCTACAGTCTGCTCAGAGTCATCTTCATCATCTACAGTCTGCTCAGTCATCTTTATCATCTACAGTCTGCACCAGTCATCTTCATCATCTACAGTCTGCTCCAGAGTCATCTTCATCATCTACAGTCTGCTCAGAGTCATCTTCATCATCTACAGTCTGCTCCAGAATCATCTTCATCATCTACAGTCTGCTCAGTCATCTTCATCATCTACAGTCTGCTCAGAGTCATCTTCATCAGCTACAGTCTGCTCAGTCATCTTCATCATCTACAGTCTGCACCAGAGTCATCTTCATCATCTACAGTCTGATCAGAGTCATCTTCATCATCTACAGTCTGCTCAGAGTCATCTTCATCATCTACAGTCTGCACCAGAGTCATCTTCATCATCTACAGTCTGCACCAGAGTCATCTTCATCATCTACAGTCTGCTCAGAGTCATCTTCATCATCTACAGTCTGCTCAGTCATCTTCATCATCTACAGTCTGCTCAGAGTCATCTTCATCATCTACAGTCTGCTCAGAGTCATCTTCATCATCTACAGTCTGCTCAGTCATCTTCATCATCTACAGTCTGCTCAGAGTCATCTTCATCAGCTACAGTCTGCTCAGAGTCATCTTCATCATCTACAGTCTGCTCAGAGTCATCTTCATCATCTACAGTCTGCACCAGAGTCATCTTCATCATCTACAGTCTGCTCAGAGTCATCTTCATCATCTACAGTCTGCTCAGTCATCTTCATCATCTACAGTCTGCTCAGAGTCATCTTCATCATCTACAGTCTGCTCAGAGTCATCCTCATCATCTACAGAGTAGTTTACAGAGTACTTTACAGAGTACTTTACAGAGTACTTTACAGAGTACTTTACAGAGTACTTCACAGAGTAGCTTCTCACAGATGCAGTGATGTTGTGGGTCTCCTGCTGCTGGAGGATGTCATGGGCCGCACTCAGCATCACCACATACGCAAAGTTATTACACAGTCCCAGGACCCTGAGAGGAGGGATGTTCTTATTAACATAACATTTCCAACAGAATAACTTAACAGGCCATGGAAGCACGTATTAATACAAGCCTTCATCTGGGGGCCGCATAGACATTAGCAATGGGCCTCATGTGGCCCCCAGGCCGCGCTGTGCCCAGGTCTGTCCTACAGCAGCCTGTGGTTATAAAACTATGTTGACAACAATACCATAATTAATGCGTCACTGAGTCATAATACTGAACTTTAGACCTCTATCTACATGTGCCTGGATTCAGAGCTCATCATAGACTTAAACGGCTCTAGTCAAAGTCACAAATGACTTACTACTAGCTGCTGATAATGGACAAGTGTCAGTGCTGGTCCTACTGGACCTTAGTGCTGCATTTGACACAATAGACCACAGCATTCTACTGCAGAGGCTAGAATGTGATATAGGTCTGAGAGGAACAGCCCTTGGCTGGTTTAAATCCTATTTATCAGATCAGTATCACTTTATGAATGTGAATCAAAACTTGTCGCCTTATTCTGGAGAGGAATTCGGTGTGCCCCAAGGATTGGTGGTCAGACCAATTATTTTCACACTCTATGCTACCGTTAGGAAACATCATTGTAAAGCATGGAATTAATTTCCACTGCTGCAGACGACACACAGCTTTACCTGTCGATGAAACCAAATCAGACGGATCAGTTGAAAAGGCTTAGTGCTGCATAAAGGACCTTCAGGCTGTTTATTCTGTCATCACGAGTCTCAGCTCAAATTGCAAATACTCACCAAAATCCAGTCCAGTTTCTCAGTTTGATGTAACCATCAGAAAACCAGGACTGCCCTGAAACAGACGTGTGCCAATCACTACAAGAACAATAAAACCTTTTCTGGACTCTCAAAGTCTCTTCATATCATTGTTCTCTCTCTCCAAACACGGTGGTGATAAATGACTACTGTAGTCACAGCTGCCCGGGGGCACACTGACAGAAGCGAGGCAACCAATCTGTGCCATCGGCCCCTCCCACCACCACCAACCATTCACACACACACCAGACTCATTCTAATGTGGGGGAAGTGTCTTGCCTAAGGACACAACCACAGTTTGGCACTTTACAGCCTCAGCCGCCCCACTGTGGCACCTGCTGTTCCCAGAGGTCTACCATCACAGTACTAACCAGGTCCCGCCCTGCTTAGCTTCAGAGGTCTTTCACCTGCAGGTTGGCCACGTATTCTACATATATCAGAGACAAATGGCCATTATCATATTTTGGTCACACTTTAGTTTAGCCCTCACTAACAAATGCTAATAATGTTAATGCTAATAATAAGTGCTAATGAGTGAATACTTTATGGTTAAATATCTGTTATTTGATGTTTATTAATCACTCATTAGTCCTTATTCAACATCTAAGTTCTCACTGAGACTGTCCCGTGTGGGAGAGGACGAGGATGCACTAAATTAGCACTTCATTAGTGCTAAAGTGTGACCCATATGTTTTCTTGCAGACGGTGAATATACTTTATTCTGTAGATTCATCACAAAAGGAAATGTCACTTCCTGAAATGTTTTTTCAGAAAGAACCTGAATCTAACATGTCATAATAAAGGCTTTGTTACATTCATGAAAACATAAACAATCTCAATACATCTGTCATTGACTGGAATTCATAAATACTTGAAGAAACGTAAATTAGAGTAAACTCTTTAGCCATGTGACTCAAAGTTGTAAGTTTCTAGTCAAGTTGTAAGTCACACTGGTTACATACTTGGAATCATATTTACTAACAACATCTGTATACCAACGTCACTCAGTGGTAGTTGTGGTAGAAGTAGTTTTAACTCAAGCAAAAATGAAACTTTTATGATAACGACCAGTATTTTATTTGTGTGTATTTTGTCATATCTGTTTTGTAAATAAACTTGGCCTTGACCTATAACCAAGTTGTGCAAATTATCACATTTTTCAAAAGTTAAACATATGTAACTAGTTATTACTGTGTCAAAGTACCAATCTCACTGTGTAAAACAAACACAAGGTGGCGCCCTGAAACGTCAGGAGGAGAGAAGACACAACAGAATAAATAGCAAAAATAAATACATTTGACAGCATGTAGAGACACGTTCGTTGGAAGCCAGGTCGCGGTATAGAAAGTGTCCTGATTTCAAGAACTTGTGAAATTCTGGGTCAAACTAAATATATGAAATAATGATCACAAAGAAATACTTCACACAGACTAAACTAAGACCAATACAAATGTTGATGCAACTTTAAACTAAATTAAAATAATAATAAACAACACTAAACAAATCAAATATAATACTTAAATTGTTTAATTAAAAAAAAGCTTACGGTCATTGTTGGGTTCTGGGTCTTCATTGACGCTGTTCTGCTCCATGGTCAGTTTACTCTGGTCTGGTGTCTGTGGTCAGATGCTAATGCTAATGCTAATGCTAATGCTAAGCGGCTAACAGGAGCTAACACCAAACACGCAGCTCAAAGACGTATAAAGCATGACTCACTCGGAGCTAGCATACAAGTGTGAATGTAGATACAGATTCAACAGCTGTCCTCTCATCTTTACTGTGCCCGGGGTCTATTTGTTGTTGTTCAAGCGCAAACTTCCTGCAAGGACGTCACGTGAGCTCATAAATGGACTACAGACAGACAGTGCTCACGGAAAGACACTCCCCCTAAAACTCGCTCCAAGCCTCGACGGTTCCTCTTTGTCAACAAGCGTCTTTTAAGTATTTTAACCTGGGGCCACTTTGGGAGACTGGGACATTGTGGAGGCCCGGACCGGTTTTCATGTGGTTAATGTTTGATTTGATATAGAACACATTTGAATAAAAGCAAAAGGTTAAGAATGTAACAAACATATTTACAGAAGAGAGAGAAACCCGAAGCTGTCTATTGTTACCTTTGTGTTTGTGTAAAGCTATCTTGTTTGTATTTTTTTTATTTGAACTGTGAGGATTAGATAGCTATATGGCCTACGTGCAGGACAACTGCAAGACTGTACAAGGACTCTGATTGTGCATCCATGTTTTGACTCTGATGTGCACTGTCTCTGTGTGACACGTATGTCTTTCGATGTGTGACGTGACAATGACTATATAACTGTACTGACTCCATTTTTCCTGAGAGAAAGAAACATCAGAAACCACTGGAACTTGAGAGAAACCTAAATAAACTTCCAGAGCTTGGCGCACCACAATCCGTCTCTGTCTGGTTCATTCCTGACAGAACCTTTTACAATATTGGAGTACTTTGAATTTTATTAATTTAATATGGATTATATTAAGTAGTGGTCTTTAGATTTAAATTCATGCTTGGATTGAACCAACGCTGGACTAAAGCTAAAATACAGTGGATAGATTCATGTTATAATTATTAATAAAAAAACAAGTCATTGTCGCACTCATGAAGTTGCAAACATTCAGCGGGTAGCGACTCTCCTTCATTTAAATAGGGGGAGACTGGACGTAGTTTTCAGATGGGAAAGGTCCAAGGGCCACATAATTCCTGACCGTCAGTGGCACCCGGGCCACACTTTGCCCAGGTCTGGTCAAGCTCATGCTTTGAAAATACATGTTTTGGAATTCAACCAAGTTTAAAACAGTTTTACTGTGATCATGTTTATTCTAAATATGAAGTGAAAATAGCGCCCTCTGGTGGATATTTAGAACAGAAAAATATCTCAAACTTTCAAATCAAATGTTTTTTACCATTAACTTTGAGTGTTAAAAAAATAAACAATAGTCTTAAAAATATGACTGAAGTAAAGAGTAATAAAAAGCGTTTGTATTTGTTCAAAGCACATTAAAGGGCGTGTCCAAAGTTCATGTGTAAAGGCATTATTTTACAAGAAGGCACAGTCTGTTCACAAAGTCCACAAAAATAAATAAACTGTACATATTTAGAAGTTAACGGTCTCCAGATCTATATGTAGCACGGATACATCTCCCTCTAACAGAACCACAAAACTAAAAATATTCCAGCAAGTGGTTTTTGGGGTCGAACACTGCAAAAAGTGAGGACAAAAGTTAAAAAGATGCTCAAATTTGACAAAATGTGTCTTAAATTGGGCACATTCTGACTGAGCCTTAAAGAAGATTTACCAAAAGGACAAAACAATAAAATATACAAGAAATGTCTCAGTGAAATGAGAAAATAAAGCAACAGTTCTTGAAATAAATGGCTTTATCCCATTGTTTTTTCATCTTAATCTTTTGCAGTGTAGAGCATCCTTTGGAATTGAAATCTAAGACAATCAGGACCAACATCTACATTGAAACAATATTTAAAACAATCTTTACTTTTTTCTAATCTGTGTCTGTGTTGATCTGGACCTCGAGTCTGGAAATAAAGTTATCGAAATATTTCATTGTAAACTTGACTTTAACTTTGGAGTTTGCATGTTTTGTGTGTTTTGTGTGTTTTGTGTGTTTTGCCAAGAGGACTTTACCAGAGATATGTGAGATATGTAAACTAGTGTCACATCAAAGACTGAAATCCCCAGGCATTTTCCACTGTTGTCCAGGCACTGCCAAAAAGATAAAACATGAGGAACTAAATGCTTAAATTAAGTGGTTTTTATTTGACACATTCTGACTGTGTTTAAACCAGATTCTCCAATGGGACAAGTTCCTGTATTTCCTCATTCCAAAGGAGACATTTCTGATTCTTTTTAAAACAAGTTCATTCTGCTTTGTCCCGTTGGAGAATCTAGTTTTAAGGCTCAGTCAGAATGTGCTCAGATTAAGACACATTTAGTCAAATTTGAGCCATTTTTGTTCTGCTTTTCATCACTTGTTATTCCAGTTATTGCTGCTGCAGAGAATAAAACCAAAGTCTTTCAGTTTCCTGCACTTTGTTGAGACTTGATTGATCTAAAGACACGGTTTTTTCAACTGAGGTAAAAAAAATAATCTTCAAAAGTCATTAGAGAGGATTGTTCATAGGATGGTCTGTCCGTTTGGGAGGGGGAGGGGGAGGCTGTGGTCAGTGGGAGGAACTGGAACTGTCCCCCTCTCCTCTTCCTCCTTCTCCTTCTCCTCTTCCTCCAGTCTGCGTTTGTCGGCTTTCGTCTTGAACTTCAGCCCGTGACCTGCGACACAGAACACAGCAGAGGAAGTATGTGGCCGTCTCCAGTCGTTCATATCCGTTCTTAAATGTATCATTGATTGTGTACATATATGTATTATATGTGTGTTCTTGTGTCCCTCACTTAAACAGTCGGCCACCTCTTTGAAGGCCTTCTTCTTGCAGCAGCCGCGACACAGGTTGAACACACACTTGTTTCCCTGCACAGACACAGAGTGAGCTTCATAAACACAGAGTCAGGAGGGTTCAGAGGTCGTACCTTCGGGTTCCCGCACTGCTCACACTTTATGTACTTTGCTGCGAAAAGTATAAACACATTAGTTAAGCCGTCGTCACGGAGACAAGACTTCATATCGACACAGACGTTTTTGCTCCAGGCTGAAGTTCTTGTGGGGTTTCCGTGACCTCTTCTTCTGCTTGTTCTTTGACAGACCGTCCTGGGTGGAGTCAGGGTCGTCCTGCAGCGCCCTCTTGTGGCCGGCGGGTTTCTTCAGCTCCGAGGACAAGCTGTTCCCGTTCACCAGCGGCTCCTTGGGCCTAACAGAGACAGTAGACATGATTTAGACATGACGTAGACATGACGTAGCCGTGACGTAGACGTGATGTAGACATGACGTAGACATGACGTAGACGTGATGTAGACATGTTTACTTTTGAATGACCTGGAAAACGAGCATTCCAAAGTGTCTCTGAAACAGTTGTTTTGTTTTTTACAATTTTTATTTGTATTTATTTTTTTCTGTCTGAGATGTTGCTGCAGTTCTGTGTTCATGGTTTTACACTGGTCCAGACCAGAGCAGAGCGGATTCATGGTCCGAACCAAGTGGATCAGATGAGAATCCACTGGAGGAATGCTAACTTTATGAAAAATTCTAATGAAGCATTTAGCATTTTACTTTGGACCAGAGCAGAGAAAATGGTCCGAACCAAGCAGCTACTCCACCTGGTGACCCGTCCTGCTCCACCCAGAGGCTACTCCAGACATGGAGTAAACATGACGTGTGAAGGTCAGAGGAGAGTGTTGAGGACTCACGGGGGCCGGACATAAGGCTGACAGATCCAGTGTGGGGCGGGGAGACCACTGTCCTTCTCCTCTGCTCCGTCACAGCGAGAGATCTCCTCCTGAGGTCAGAGACGTTCAGCTTTTTCAAAAAAACTAGATTTCTGTGAGAGCTACAGACAGGGGTTAAAGTTTTACTCAACAACAGAAACCAACTTAGGAAGGTAAGACTCAGGGAAGGCTAAACTCCTCAGACTGTCAGTCAAGCTGCATAGGGAGTCAGTTTGCTGGAGAAGTATGGTAACTTGAGCACTATCTTCTCCTCCTTCCTACTCTGTCTGTTTAGCATTATTAGGATTTCGACTGTAGTCTGTTCATTGCTATTCATCCGTTGTCCTATTGTCTGTTTCACAATGGCCTCTGAACCTGGCCTCCTCCATCTACACCTGCGGACTGCCCCTGGATCTACAGCCCAATGTCTGTGTGAAGCAGGTCTCTCTCTCACTGTGTCTCTCCTTATGGTCCGATACCATGTGTTCTATACCTGTGTGTCCTAACTGTTGATTCTCTGACCTGTGTTGGTGATTTCAATGGTTTTGTTAGGTCTCTGAGATGACGCTGCTGTGATTTAGGGAAATACAAGAATAAATGGTATTGTATTGTAACTCAACTGTGGCAGAGTATGACCTGCAGACCTCAGAGTAACTCCTGTGTCGAGTCATCATCAGGATTTCGTAGAATGAGCAGAATATTTACTGAACGCAGTCTACAGGTGATAATTTCTAAATGGTCTTTAATATTAAAACAGAGAATCCTCTGGAATTAGCCCAAACCACTCTGTTCATAATGACACAGATGTGTGGAGTCACCTGACAGCGGAGCTTCAGCTGCAGACTGACGTGGGCCAGAGCCTCCACCGTCTTCACTTTGGCCAACTCCTCCCTCAGGTCCTGGTGGATCTGCAGCCTGCACACACACAACACACACACAACACATCACACACTCCATCTACACAACACAACACACACACTGCACACACACAACACATCACTCTGGGGTTCACACACATGGTCCTCTCTGGTGTCATACAAACAGAACATACGTGTGGTGCCACAGTTTGAAGAGGTGAGCTCTGATGAAGGACAGGGTGCAGGGCGGGTGCTCCCTCACCACCTGCAGATACTCCTCTGCCATCTCCCACACTGGGGGACTGCAGCCCTCGAACAGGGCGGGGTTATGGAGGTTCCCCTCTGGAGAGACACACAACTCATTTACATCTTGAGACCTGGACACTAGTCGTATGTATGTGCTACATAAATAAAGTGTCCAGACCTGCGCTCATGACGCCCTGGACCCCCGTCTCCCGGATGCACAGCTCCACATCAGACAGATGCTGAATGTTCCCGTTGGCGAAGACTGGGATCTTCACCGCCTGCCTGCAACACACACACAGTTACTATAACACACACACACACACACACACACACACAGTGTTACTGTAACACACACACACACACAGTGTTACTGTAACACACCAGTATGTGTCTACGGCTATTTTTCCATTTTTTTTTCCATGTCCATATTTTCATTCTTAACCACATTAAATGTTACGTATGATTCAAAGGAAACGTTTAAAGAAACAAACTGCTCCGTGTGAAACAAGAACAGAGTCATTACAAAAATGAACCCATTATTGATCCGGGTTCAAACCCATGGAGAATGTTCAAAGAGGTTCTAAGATGAAAGACTCACCTCACGGCCTTGATGTGGTCCCAGCTCGCGACCCCCGTCAGAGGACCTTTCTGGTCCTTGGTTCTGCCGTGCACCGTCAGCAGCTGCAGCAGAACCAGACTCAGACCAAGATCCAGACCCAGACCCAGACCCAGACACAGACTGAGACCCAGACCCAGACCCTGTATCTAAACTCTAGCACCTGCAGCCGTCATCTTCCTGGTTCTGTGCTAACATTGGAGGGAAATGTCTTCTACTCAGTATCGCTTTATTCTTTTTCTACACAATCAAAAAGATACAGAGAAAAGTATTGTGATAATTAATTAAATATTTATCTGTTTGCATCTGAGGGCTATGGTCCTCTATGATGTCTGCAGGTTGTGACAGACCATAATAAAAGAGTCTTATTTTCCTGTCTGTGAATAATATGAAGAAAATGAATCACAATAAATCACAGAATCACATCCTGTCTGTATCGTGATATGTCCAGAATCACGATAATATTGAATTGTGGCCCAAATATCACGATACTATAGAATCATCAAATTTTTGCTAGTTCCCGCTCCTGTTGGCTTCGATCTTAATGCAATAAAGTTTAAATAAATAGCTAGTTTGCAGAATCGGAGGCGGGTCGGACCTGGCAGCCGGCCTTCTCCAGCATCTGTGCGTAACGGACCGTCTTCTCGACGTCCTCAAACACACGGATCTTACAGGTGATGGGCACAGACAGCTTCTCATGGGCCAACCTCACTGCAGCACAAAGAGAGACTTAGACCAGAGAGAGACCAGAGAGAGACCAGAGAGAGAGACCAGAGAGAGAGACCAGAGAGAGACCAGAGAGAGACCAGAGAGAGAGACCAGAGAGAGAGACCAGAGAGAGACCAGAGAGAGACCAGAGAGAGACCAGAGAGAGACCAGAGAGAGAGACCAGAGAGAGACCAGAGAGAGAGACCAGTGAGAGACCAGAGAGAGACCAGAGAGAGACCAGAGAGAGAGACCAGAGAGAGACCAGAGAGAGACCAGAGAGAAACAAGAGAGGGAACAGAGAGAGAGAACAGAGAGAGGGAAGAGAGAGGACAGAGAGACCAGAGAGAGAGACCAGAGAGAGAGACCAGAGAGAGAGACCAGAGAGAGAGACCAGAGAGAGAGACCAGAGAGAGACCAGAGAGAGAGACCAGAGAGAGACCAGAGAGAGAGACCAGTGAGAGAGACCAGTGAGAGAGACCAGTGAGAGAGACCAGTGAGAGAGACCAGTGAGAGAGACCAGTGAGAGAGACCAGTGAGAGAGACCAGAGAGAGAGACCAGAGAGAGAGACCAGTGAGAGAGACCAGTGAGAGAGACCAGTGAGAGAGACCAGAGAGAGAGACCAGAGAGAGAGACCAGTGAGAGAGACCAGTGAGAGACCAGAGAGAGAGACCAGTGAGAGAGACCAGTGAGAGAGACCAGAGAGAGACCAGAGAGAGAGACCATAGAGAGACCAGAGAGAGAGACCAGTGAGAGAGACCAGAAAGAGAGACCAGACTTAGAGGATGCTCAGACCCATCCTCTCCAGTAGATCCCACTCCTCCTGCAGGAAGACGCCGTAGTGACCTGGAAACACAAACACAACTGGGTCAGAATGTGGTTTAAAGGGAAGGGATGTGTGTCTGTCTGAGTAAGTGTATGTGTGAGGAGAAGCTGTAGCAGGTGTAGGAGGAGGTGTAGCAGGTGTAGGAGGAGGTGTAGCAGGTGTAGGAGGAGGTGTAGCAGGTGTAGGAGAAGCTGTAGCAGGTGTAGGAGGAGGTGTAGCAGGTGTAATGGTGCTTTCAGAACGGATCATGCGTCTGCTTTAAAGACCTTATGACGGGTTTAAAAAAAAAAACATTGTGGATATCAAAATTGCATGACAATGTCGATCTGAAAGAGATTCCGGCAAAAAAAATCCTATATTTTATAAAAAGAACGTGTTTTTCATGAATTGAAGCTGTCTATGCTCTAACCTGTGTGTGACGTCACAGCGGGTAACGCCCATGCATTGAAAACCATGGATCTATACCACAGGACTGCCTTTTCTCTCTTCTCTCCACTGATGCCCAACACAATACTGCCCTCTACAGGTGACAATTGCTCATTACACATAAATTGCCGTTTTGAGAGTGAAAAAGTGTCTGAGGTGGGATTTGAACCCCAGTTTCTGGATTGACAGTCCATCGACACAACCACTGGACTATCTCAGTGACAACAGAGTGTTATAATCTAGTATTTATCTCAGACTCGCTGTACACGGCCTTGTCATCTTGAATATCCGCGGAAAAAGAACGAATACCAAATTATAAACAACTTACAGCGTTGAAACGTACCCACTCTGACGTCACCAAGGGCTGTGAAGATTTTCCGTCTCTAAGGGCGTTGCTATGGGGTTATTTTGATTTGGGGGGATCAGACAAAAAAAACAACTGATTTTGAAACCTTTAGTAGTTCTCTTCTAATATAAAATGGTATTAAAACTGTATTTCTAAATAAATCAAACCCGGCATAAGGTCTTTAATGCAAAGTCTATGGTGGCGCGCGTTCGAGCGTCACAACGCATGGACCTCTCGGCACGCACGGACTGTTCAATAATGACGCATGGACTTGGCGGGAAAGTGAAAAGGGAGGAGCAGGAGCGAAAAATCAACGCCCACAGGAGATGGATTCTGCTCATCCTTTCCTTGGGACGTTTGTGCGACAACCAATCAGAGAGCAGCAAAGTGGTCACGGGGACATTAGCGGACTGAGCGAGCAGACTGAAAATACTGTAAACATCCAAAACAGGACCCACACCAGACTTCACCAGAACTCAAACCAGGGTTGACAATGGGAGACTCTGTGCTTGTGAAAATATGCGTTGTCTTGCTCTCGTGACCTTATGCAACTGCTTCGAGTGTGTTCACCGATGCGGAAATACTGTTTAATAATATGAAAACACGTATGGCGCACCTCCGTGAACACATACTGCTGTTGTATAAAGCCCGTGGAAGGTCTGTGAGCAAAGACACGCTGCAAAGCTGCATTATTGGAGAAGATCTGTACACAAGAAGCCGCTAGCATAGCTCAGTTAGCATCAGAGCCGGCCGGTTACTTCCGGTACTTCCGGCTCGCGTCAGGACGTTCTGGTGTGAAGTCCTCTGCGTCTGAAAACTACAGAATGGTGTGCTCTGGTGAGCGAGGCTTCAGCGCTTCAGCGTTGGCGTTTTGAATGCACCATAAGAGGAGGTGTAGGAGGAGGTGTAGCAGGTGTAAGAGGAGGTGTAGGAGGAGGTGTAGCAGGTGTAAGAGGAGGTGTAGTAAGAGGTGTAGGTGGAGGAGGAGGTGTCAGAGGAGGTGTAGGAGGAGGTGTAGGTGTAGGTGGAGGAGGAGGTGTAGGAGGAGGTACCTCTCTTGGCGATCATCTGAGGGCAGCCCAGGTTGAGGTCGATGGCGTCGCAGTAATCCTGAGCGAGCAGAGCGGCCTGGATGAACACCTCCGGGTCGTTGGCACAGAACTGCAACACACACATTTAAAACACACACATTTATAACACACACATTTAAAACACACACATTTATAACACACACATTTATAACACACACATTTAAAACACACACATTTATAACACACACATTTAAAACACACACATTTAAAACAGAATAGTTCGCCTTCACTTTAAGTCACTGTATATGACTGAAAAAGACACTATTTCTGATTGCCACTTTCTTATTGTACATAATAAATCCTGCATTTAACATTTTTGCACATTTCCTCCTTTTGCACAATCTGAGTGTTCTATCCATGCCAAATGTGACTGTTCATTTCTCCTTTGTGAGATAAATAAATAATATCTTATGAACAACTACATAAGGTACACAAGAGTGCGAGCATGTAGTTCACACATGCACCACCAGAGGGAGCTGTGGCACACGGAAAGTCAACAGTCAAACCTGTGGAGAAATGTAATGTCACGTGATAGTTTTAGACTTCAGTTCACCTGCTTTGTCCCGGGGCAGACAAACTGGTTTAACTGGGTTTGGTCTGTTCTAAGATTGAAAACAGAGTGAAGTCTGAGTGAGTCTGTAGTGGATCTCGCCACAGCAACATTAGTGTCTTATTAACATTTTATGACAAAATCAAAACAAGATAAAACTAAAGGGTCTGAGCTTTACTACAGAGGACAACATGAGGCCAAAGGACACATGAAAAAACACATGAGGACAGATGTTGTATTTTAAATTAGACTTGATTTGTTTCTGTTGAGATTTCATGTGATTCTGCAACATCATAGACAAAGAAAGGAGAGACCAGAAAGACCAGAGAGAGACCAGAGAGAGACCAGAGAGAGACCAGAGAGAGACCAGAGAGAGACCAGAGAGAGACCAGAGAGAGACCAGAGAGAGACAAGAGAGACCAGAGAGAGACCAGAGAGAGACCAGAGAGAGACCAGAGAGAGACAAGAGAGACCAGAGAGAGACCAGAGAGAGAGACCAGAGAGAGACCAGAGAGAGACCAGAGAGACCAGAGAGAGACCAGAGAGAGACCAGAGAGAGACCAGAGAGAGACCAGAGAGAGACCAGAGAGAGACCAGAGAGAGACCAGAGAGAGACCAGAGAGAGAGACCAGAGAGACCAGAGAGAGACCAGAGAGCCCGGAAAGAGATCAGAGAGAGAGACCAGAGAGAGAGACCAGAAAGAGACTAGAGACAGAATGAGCCTGACCTGCGTGAACCAGACCAGAGTGAGCCTAGGGCTGGGCGATAAAACGATAACGATATATATCGCGATAGACATGTGTTCGACATCAATAGAGAATGGGGTCGATAGAATGTTCGATAGTTTAACTTAACTCCGTCAGGAAAAACAGGAAGAAAACACCGGAAGTAAAGCCGACTCATAAGCGCATGGCATTGTGGGGGATGTAGGCAGAGGCTTCTCGACCAATAACAGCCGAGCAGGAACCGCAAAACTTTCTGGGAAATGCAAAAACACCAACAACCGTAGCGTCCATGGATCTATAGCTCGTGTTTCAATGCCGTGTCAATGGTTGTGCACGTACGTGCGCGGAATAACATGTGCGGCGGCAGAGGCAGTGGACAGACCCGATGTATTCGGCGAAAGCAAGAGATTAACTTTTTCCTCGGGAAGCATGTGCGGCACAGAGAGCCGCACGGAGCGGTCACGGGGACACAAGACCCTCAAACAGCTAAACCAGGAGCTAAACCAGGAATAAAAAACCAGGATTAAACCAGGACTAACAACGAGGGACACAGTGTGAACATATTCCTCCAGCCTCATCGCCCCGTGACTGTAAACAAGGCTGCTAAGGTTGGTTAGCCCACACACAAATATATTTATTTAGGTAAAAAAAAACAACTCAATATATATCATTATCGACCGATATGAATGACTTATATCGTGATATAGTTTTCAGCCATATCGCCCAGCCCTAAGTGAGCCTGACCAGAGTGAGCCTGACCAGAGTGAGCCTGACCAGAGTGAGCCTGAGTGAGCCTGACCAGAGTGAGCCTGAGTGAGCCTGACCAGAGTGAGCCTGACCAGAATGAGCCTGACCAGAGTGAGCCTGAGTGAGCCTGACCAGAGTGAGCCTGACCAGAATGAGCCCGTGTGAGCCTGACCAGAATGAGCCCGTGTGAGCCTGACCAGAATGAGCCTGACCAGAATGAGCCCGTGTGAGCCTGACCAGAATGAGCCCGTGTGAGCCTGACCAGAATGAGCCTGACCAGAATGAGCCCGTGTGAGCCTGACCAGAATGAGCCTGACCAGAATGAGCCCGTGTGAGCCTGACCAGAATGAGCCTGACCAGTGTGAGCCTGACCAGAATGAGCCTGACCAGAGTGAGCCTGACCAGAATGAGCCCGTGTGAGCCTGACCAGAATGAGCCTGACCAGAGTGAGCCTGACCAGAATGAGCCCGTGTGAGCCTGACCAGAATGAGCCTGACCAGAGTGAGCCTGACCAGAATGAGCCCGTGTGAGCCTGACCAGAATGAGCCCGTGTGAGCCTGACCAGAATGAGCCCGTGTGAGCCTGACCAGAATGAGCCCGTGTGAGGCTGACCTGTGTGATGAGCGGCCGGTCCTCCGCACAGACCTCGTTGAGCAGGTTCTCTCTCCTGTAGTTGGCGTCTCTCACGAACACCTGAGCGTGGAACATGGGCGTGTAGCAGAGCTGGGCACCGTGGCGCCGGCTCAGCAGACGCCACGCCAGCTCGCTCTGGTCCACCATCGGCGCCACCACAAAGCGCGCCTCCTTCAGCGTCTGCCGCCAGAACTCAAAGCCCTCCAGCTTCGCCATCCAGCTGCAGGAAACAACAATATTCTGTTAGTTTGACGCAAGTTATTTTATTTAGCACAGAGTAAAGAGGAAACAGCTGGAAATAACAAAAACATTATTGGATTATTAAAGAGTTTGAAAAGGACACACTCTTGTATACATGATACACAAATATATCATTATTATTAGGGCTGGGAACTGGCCAAATGTGAAGATTCTTTAGTATCGCAATATTTGGGCCACATTTCAATATCGTCGTGATTCTTAACATATCGCGATACAGACAGGATGTGATTCTGTGATATATATCGTGATTCATGTCCTTCATATTATTCACAGACTTTACAAACACGGAAGAAAATAAGACTATTATATTTCAGGAAAAATTCATCTTGACTTCTTAGTAGAATTACTCTTAGTCTTGGGTTCTTCAGATTCAGACTACTTCCTGTATCCCATCAGGGGCAATTCATTTGAGCAGCACATACAAAAACAAAATAACAAATAAATAACAAACAAACACAAATGAAGTGGAGCCCCATACAAACATATGAACATGACACAACATTAAAGCTCAAACATCAAAGTCACCACCAGCTACAGAGTTCAGCAGTCTGGAGCAGTCTGGAGCAGTCTGGAGCAGTCTGGAGCAGTCGGGAGCAGTCGGGAGCAGTCGGGAGCAGTCGGGAGCAGTCGGGAGCAGTCTGGAGCAGTCGGGAGCAGTCGGGAGCAGTCTGGAGCAGTCTGGAGCAGTCGGGAGCAGTCGGGAGCAGTCGGGAGCAGTCGGGAGCAGTCTGGAGCAGTCTGGAGCAGTCTGGAGCAGTCTGGAGCAGTCTGGAGCCGTCTGGAGCAGTCGGGAGCAGTCGGGAGCAGTCGGGAGCAGTCGGGAGCAGTCGGGAGCAGTCTGGAGCAGTCTGGAGCAGTCTGGAGCAGTCTGGAGCAGTCTGGAGCAGTCTGGAGCCGTCTGGAGCAGTCGGGAGCAGCGCAGTCGGGAGCAGCGCAGTCTGGAGCAGTCGGGAGCAGTCGGGAGCAGTCTGGAGCAGTCTGGAGCAGTCTGGAGCAGTCTGGAGCAGTCTGGAGCAGTCGGGAGCAGCCTGGAGCAGTCTGGAGCAGTCTGGAGCAGTCTGGAGCAGTCGGGAGCAGTCGGGAGCAGTCGGGAGCAGTCTGGAGCAGTCTGGAGCAGCCTGGAGCAGTCGGGAGCAGTCGGGAGCAGTCTGGAGCAGTCGGGAGCAGTCGGGAGCAGTCGGGAGCAGTCGGGAGCAGTCGGGAGCAGTCGGGAGCAGTCGGGAGCAGTCGGGAGCAGTCTGGAGCAGCCTGCAGCAGCCTGGAGCAGCCTGGAGCAGCCTGGAGCAGTCTGGAGCAGTCTGGAGCAGTCGGGAGCAGTCGGGAGCAGTCGGGAGCAGTCTGGAGCAGTCGGGAGCAGTCGGGAGCAGTCGGGAGCAGTCGGGAGCAGTCTGGAGCAGTCTGGAGCAGTCGGGAGCAGTCGGGAGCAGTCGGGAGCAGTCGGGAGCAGTCTGGAGCAGTCGGGAGCAGCCTGGAGCAGCCTGGAGCAGCCTGGAGCAGTCTGGAGCAGTCTGGAGCAGTCGGGAACAGTCGGGAGCAGTCGGGAGCAGTCGGGAGCAGTCGGGAGCAGTCGGAAGCAGTCGGGAGCAGTCGGGAGCAGTCTGGAGCAGTCTGGAGCAGTCGGGAGCAGCCTGGAGCAGTCTGGAGCAGCCTGGAGCAGTCTGGAGCAGTCTGGAGCAGTCTGGAGCAGCCTGGAGCAGTCTGGAGCAGTCTGGAGCAGTCTGGAGCCGTCTGGAGCAGTCGGGAGCAGCGCAGTCGGGAGCAGCGCAGTCTGGAGCAGTCGGGAGCAGTCGGGAGCAGTCTGGAGCAGTCGGGAGCAGTCTGGAGCAGTCGGGAGCAGTCTGGAGCAGCCTGGAGCAGTCTGGAGCAGTCTGGAGCAGTCTGGAGCAGTCGGGAGCAGTCGGGAGCAGTCGGGAGCAGTCGGGAGCAGTCTGGAGCAGTCTGGAGCAGTCGGGAGCAGTCGGGAGCAGTCGGGAGCAGTCTGGAGCAGTCGGGAGCAGTCGGGAGCAGTCGGGAGCAGTCTGGAGCAGTCGGGAGCAGTCGGGAGCAGTCGGGAGCAGTCGGGAGCAGTCGGGAGCAGTCGGGAGCAGTCGGGAGCAGTCTGGAGCAGTCGGGAGCAGTCGGGAGCAGTCGGGAGCAGTCTGGAGCAGTCTGGAGCAGTCTGGAGCAGTCTGGAGCAGTCGGAGCAGTCGGGAGCAGTCGGGAGCAGTCTGGAGCAGTCGGGAGCAGTCGGGAGCAGTCGGGAGCAGTCGGGAGCAGTCTGGAGCAGTCTGGAGCAGTCGGGAGCAGTCTGGAGCAGCCTGGAGCAGCCGGGAGCAGTCTGGAGCAGTCTGGAGCAGTCGGGAGCAGTCGGGAGCAGTCGGGACAAAAGAGACAAGACCTAATATTGTCTGGGACAGTCACGATACTGAACAGAAAAGATTTTTCCCCAACCATTACTCATATGGATAGCAGGAATTGTCGTAATTTCAACAATATTTGCATTTGCATTAAAAATATTGATAATCCATTCATATAAATTAGGCTTTTTGAGTATTTTAACAGTCCTAAAGTGGTGGTTCTTCTCACAGCAATCACAACAGACAAGGCAGACAATGGCTGCAACCCGGCAACGGATTAAGTGGAAGAAAATGGATGAGGTGGAAGAGAAGGGAACAGTGGGAAACATCTCACAAACCTAAATTTAACTCTAATATTCACCTTCTATGGGTTTAACACTGACACAAATAACTTTCAGAAGGATTGACAACTATTGTGATTCTTGGAAGCACAAGCACTAATGAAAGTCTAAACAACCATGAAGTAGAACATGTATATAACCAAAGTGTTTTCCTAAGTCACTGTTAAAAGAGACGCAGTGATAAACGCCATCCATCCATCCATCCAATTTCTACCCTTTAATCCATTTCTGGGTCAGGGGGGTGGCAATCAGAGATGCCACCCAAGTCTCATAGCACCAGCCCCTCACTGACCCTCTGCAGGTGGTGAGTCCACAGGAGGACGGCTGCTCTCTGAGTGTGAGCATAGCCTTGATCTTTCAGTGGGGGCTTTGGGCAAAGTGGGGTTAAGTGTCTTGCCCAAGGACACAACGACAGCAGTCATCAGTGGGAGTCGATGGAGAAGGTGTAGAGGTGGGAATTGAACCCACAACCTTCAGGCCTGAAGGCCAGTGCTCTACCAACTGAGCTACTGTACTGTCGCCCCTGATAAACGCGTCAGTCCAAAACAATAAAGAGCCATAAACATATTGGACCAATGGTGACGTCACGTTACAGAGGTTCAGGTGGATTTGACATATTTCAGTTTTGAGTCAGAAATAATTGACAACATGGCACTTGAAGACACAGATGAATAGTGATAATAATTTAAAAAGCATAAGGCGTATATTTATGTTCTATTAGACCAGCTTCAAACCTCAGACAGTGGCAGACAGTCGTGAGGCTCATGCTAATGCTAATGCTAGCAGCTCCGTGTAGCACATGATTTACTGAACTCCAAGAGCGCTCGTCACTATCATCCACGCCTTCGCCTCAGACCCGAGAGAATCTGCTGCGTCCTGTCAGTGCGGGATCACAACGAGTCAACGTTTCCTTCATTTACCTGTAATTAGTGAGATTTTTGAAGAAATTGTTGGCGGAACTGTTTCTGACTTGGTGCAACAATCAAATGGGTCCGTCCAGAAACACCTGGCGCTGGTTGGTTTGGGCCGCTTTCGGGTTTGTCAGAATTATTCCTAAATGACTTTGACCTAAATCAAGCTGCAATATGGTGTCATCTTCTGCATCTTGTTCGCAAACACTTCACATTCAACAGCCGAGTGAGAGCTGGCATCTAAACATGTGACAGAGGACAAACATGTGTATGTGAAAACTAGTGAAGGAACCTGCTTCACTTTTGACAGAATTCTTATAAAAGGACAGAATAAATACAAAAAACATGGTATAATTGAAATATCAGTTTAACTTAGTTAGAAAGCAATAAAAAAAGAAGTAGAAATTGGCTTTGTGACGTCCTCTCTAGTTTTTGTTATCTTCGATGACACTGTGATTTTACTGTGTTTGTCTGTTTTAGATTTTGAGAGCACCTCTCTCTGGTCGCTCTCTGGTCTCTCTCTGGTCTCTCTCTTGTCTCTCTCTGGTCTCTCTTTTGTCTCTCTCTTGTCTCTCTGGTCTCTCTCTTGTCCCTCTCTGGTCTCTCTCTCTGGTCTCTCTCTGGTCTCTCTCTTGTCTCTCTCTGGTCTCTCTCTTGTCCCTCTCTGGTCTCTCTCTTGTCTCTCTGGTCTCTCTCTTGTCCCTCTCTGGTCTCTCTCTCTGGTCTCTCTCTCTGGTCTCTCTCTGGTCTCTCTCTTGTCTCTCTCTGGTCTCTCTCTCTGGTCTCTCTCTGGTCTCTCTCTTGTCTCTCTCTGGTCTCTCTCTTGTCCCTCTCTGGTCTCTCTCTCTGGTCTCTCTCTCTGGTCTCTCTCTGGTCTCTCTCTTGTCCCTCTCTGGTCTCTCTCTCTGGTCTCTCTCTCTGGTCTCTCTCTGGTCTCTCTCTTGTCCCTCTCTGGTCTCTCTCTCTGGTCTCTCTCTGGTCTCTCTCTCTGGTCTCTCTCTGGTCTCTCTCTGGTCTCTCTCTTGTCCCTCTCTGGTCTCTCTCTTGTCCCTCTCTGGTCTCTCTCTTGTCCCTCTCTGGTCTCTCTCTCTGGTCTCTCTCTGGTCTCTCTCTTGTCCCTCTCTGGTCTCTCTCTCTGGTCTCTCTCTTGTCCCTCTCTCTCTCTCTCTGGTCTCTCTCTTGTCTCTCTCTGGTCTCTCTCTTGTCTCTCTCTGGTCTCACTCTTGTCCCTCTCTGGTCTCTCTCTCTGGTCTCTCTCTTGTCCCTCTCTGGTCTCTCTCTTGTCCCTCTCTGGTCTCTCTCTCTGGTCTCTCTCTGGTCCCTCTCTGGTCTCTCTCTGGTCTCTCTCTGGTCTCTCTCTGGTCTCTCTCTGGTCTCTCTCTGGTCTCTCTCTGGTCTCTCTCTGGTCTCTCTCTGGTCTCTCCCTGGTCTCTCCCTGGTCTCTCTCTGGTCTCTCTCTGGTCTCTCTCTGGTCTCTCTCTGGTCTCTCTCTGGTCTCTCTCTGGTCTCTCTCTGGTCTCTCTCTGGTCTCTCTCTGGTCTGTGTCTTTACTGTTTCTACCTGTTTTTATTTTATTTTATTGGGAGAATAAAGATAACTTTGAACTCTGATAAAACCCACGCAGTTGATGGTAATAACCTGCTCTTCCTCATCGCTGACACCTCCTCATCATCACATGTCGTCTCCATGGTAACTGTCACATTTATCCTTCTGCTCAAAGATAAACCAAACCAGAACAGAATCACACACACCGGACTTCAGTCCAAAACTGGAGCATAATAAATATTTATTCAAAAATATATTAACATTTCCTACATTCTGGGAGTGACACAAACAAGGTAATTTGCAATAACAGACATTTGCAGTTTGGAAAAATCACCAAAATGTTATTATTTTTACCCAATATGTAGGTCCTCCTGTGGTGTGGACCCAATTTTGCAAACAAACGTTCAAACAGTAAAGTAAAAATTTTGCCCGTTAAACTTGTGGACCTGATAACAAAACCAGCGTACATTTCAAAAGGCTCAACATTTATAAATCTATTATATTATTATTTATTATTATTATCACACGTATCGTTCAGATGAGCCACAAAACTGGAAGACCATTTCAGCGACAACTCAACAGCGCCACAGTCTCCCCCGGTGGCCGCAGAACCACATTGCACACAGGACACACAACAGGACACACAACCAGGCAGACACTGAAGCAATAGGTCCATGATAATTATAGTTAAAGCGGATTATATCTGACAACAGTCGACAGAAACACTCCATGCACCACGGGACGTTAGCGTGAGATGGAAGCGACTACGGACTTAAAACTAGAGTCAAAACTTTGAGAAACGCAAAATAATAATGACTCAGTCTGAGGAATGTGTGGAATGCAGCCAAGACTAGAAAATAGTTTTTTTTAAGATTGTGTTTTTACCAAGGCACGTCTCAAACTGATATGATTCATTTTTTGGTTTCATATTGAGATTGTGTCGAGTGTAAAGATAAATCTATAACATAAAAACAAAAATCATTGAATTATCTTATTTTTTTATATATTTGTTGGTCTCAGGTCCAAAGTAAGTTTAGTAAAATGGCCAGAGAGAGAGAGAGAGTAAACTGCGCTTTCATAAAAGGATCATAAAAAATATGAAGGTCTAACAAGTGTGAATGAGCCATGACATCATCCATAAGTAAAGCACATTAAAGCTGAGGTACCTGGGTTTTTAAAACAAGAATATTACGTTGTGAGGCGTGTACAAGCCAAATGTAGTGGGTCCAGACAGAGAGAGCAGAGAGAGAGACCAGAGAGAGACCAGAGAGAGAGACCAGAGAGAGAGAGAAGAGAGAGACCAGAGAGAGACCAGAGAGAGAGACCAGAGAGAGACCAGAGAGAGACCAGAGAGAGACCAGAGAGAGAGACCAGAGAGAGACCAGAGAGAGACCAGAGAGAGAGACCAGAGAGAGAGAGCAGAGAGAGACCAGAGAGAGACCAGAGAGAGACCAGAGAGAGACCAGAGAGAGAGGCCAGAGAGAGACCAGAGAGAGAGGCCAGAGAGAGAGACCAGAGAGAGAGACCAGAGAGAGAGAC